GTATCCTCATAAGTTCGTAACAGTTGGATACTTTTATCGAGCGAATTGTCAAAGAGGGAGATTAACAATACTATATTACGCTAAAGGATACAAGTGGTAACAAAAAGAGGGCTAGGTTACATACGGCCATGTACAAGCAGGATACTATTATATATCGCGGAACTACCTATTTTATAACCTACAACAACGAGGTTATTAAATTCGGGTAGGCATCGGGTAAACGGACATCGGAAGTAGAGCACCTAACGCAAGCAAAGATAAAGGGTATTAAAAGGGTAGTCAAAATAGTAGCGCATCACCGAATCACTACCATTGCAGAAATACGAAAGGGACTGCAGCTCCTAGCCGCTCACCAGTTTCGGGACGAGATTGGTTGCTCTATTGACGACCTTCTATCGGCTACAACACGCACTGATACATTAGGAACCAAGCGCAAGGGGCCGTCCGACGCCATTACCAATACTGTATCTGGATCTAATAAGAAACAGCGATCCGATCACTCAAGTAGCTTCATAAAGCCGAGCATCCAGCCGCCGTCGTCAACAAGCAAGACCAAGCCGACCCTACCTGCGCCTGGCGAGGACCGGTGGGAAGATAGAATCTTTTCCTGCCTCGTCATTTCACCAGCCGGGCGCGTTATCAGCAAAATCTCCACTAAGAAGCAATTACTAGAATCGATGCGAGATGCGATCAAGGCGCACCAATCTCTCCTCGTCACTGGCAATATTCTCCACCGCGACATCTCTCCAAATAACATTATCATCACAGATCCCGAAACAGCAGATGGCTTTAAGAGTATGCTGATCGACCTTGACATGGCCAAAGCACGAAATAGCAGCCCGAGCGGGGCGCGACAAATAACTGGCACCGTCCAGTTCATGACGATTGAAGTAATGCGCAACATCGGCCACACATACCGTCACGACCTCGAATCGTTTTTCTACGTCCTCCTTTTCATGTGTGCATGCCAGTCATGGAACAACGGACTTTTCGGAAAGAACGAGAAGGTCCTTGAGGAGAGCTTTCTTATGGACAGTCGGAAGTTTCGATCATATTGCTCAGAACAAAGTAGGTGATATATCCGGTGGGTTTAAATACATTTTGAACCAGTTTCCAAGGTCCTTTGGCATTGTTAAACCGCTTTGTCGGAGGATTCAAAAGATTCTATTCCCCCTTAGGGAGGATAGCAGTGTAAACATTAGAACCCCGGAAGAAGATGAAGACCAGCTCTATAGACCTATCATAGAAGCCTACGACGAGGCTATTAGCAAACTCTAATGTCTTCATCGTTAGACGGGGGCTCGTAGACCAGCGGAGGGGCCGGGGCTCTGGCCGCAACGGCGTCGTCTTGAAGAAGGCAGCAGATCGCGGTGCACACGGCTGGGAAGACGGGGAGCTGGGCGAGGGTGAAAGCGTCGCTACTGGGAGGGGATGTACAGCGATGTGCGCCTCTTTTGTAAGGGTTGCTTGCCCCACGTTTTCCTCTTTTATTCTTTATCTTGTGATACTATAGACCTGGATCAACGTGTTCAGCTTTGTCTCTCGTGACCGCGTCGCTCGTGACAGATTCCACCGCACCAAGTAACTCCTCCATCCCATTGCAGGGAGGAGTGAGGATGTTGGTAGAATTTGGGCAGGACATTTGGAAATCTACATAAATATTAGTAGACGCTCGATAAAGATAACGAACAGCAATTTTCCTTAAGGCAGTAAAATGCCCCCCTTACTAGGGATCCCAAATTGTAGACCGCCGTCTGCGCCGCCGGTGGCCACCAAATAAATGCCGTCCCGGAGCCCGCGAGCCAACCATAGGCAGGCTCGCCCTCCTCCCTCTTGCGCGTCTTGCAAATCTACGACTCTGAAATATATAACTTCACGAAGGACGAAGACGCCCTCCGGTGCAATAAAGCCGCGAAAAAGCGCATCCAGCGTCACCGGCACTTCCTCCAAATGGCCGTCTGAACCGGCAAATCCCCAGCAATCCGTAAGATGGAGGAGCTGATGGAGGAAGAGCTGGCACAAGAACAGGCCAAAATGGCCAAAAAGCCGAAACTGATCGGTCGGGCCCCCTACGACCAGGAAATTACCGTCGCTGCTTCCGTACGCGGCTACTACTTCACCGCCGCTAGTCGGCTTATTGATATTGTGGCCATCTACATTATGTCCGGCCTTTTATCTAGGGTTGCCTTCGTAAGTAACTACTTGCACGAGAAACTCGGGCTGTACAGCCGCACGTCCGGCTCAGGACTGGAGATTTTCCACAGGCTAATGAGCGAGGGCTGCGAGACGGAGCGTAAGCGCAGAGAGTTGAGAGTCAAGAAGGAGAGAATGGATCAGGCGATGGAGATTATCGTCAATTTGGAGAATAAGGAGAAGATGTCTACGGCTATGGCGGCTAATTCGCAGGCGACGTAGGTGGCTGCGATGACGATGGGCTAGGAGGGGGTATTAGAACGAATGGAGGAGCTGGAGGGGTGTACAGGTGGATTTCTACAGTCCATTTTCTAAAATCTAGAGGGTATCAAGTCCAAATACTAGGTAACCAAGGGGTCATGGTAAAGAAAATCGAGAAACATTTGTGTTTACGTAGCCCCAATGCTACTACGACTTCGGGATTTGCTCAGGACTGATGCCCTGACTTTTGACTATCTGTCCAGTTTTCATTCCTCTAGCAACCAACCCCTTAAACTGCCTTAACAGCCTCATCAAGACCGGCCGCCTTCCAGAGGGTGTATGGGTATATGTATAGATGGATTATGCCATCAGGCCTCCTTGGTATCACCCCGCCTCAATTTTACTCTTTCCTTTCAATACCTCCCTTCTCGCTATGCGATAATATCGATGAATGACGTGATATGCAGCAGACGAACAAAACACCAAAAGTGACCCCGAAATGAAGATGAAATAAGACGGATGCTAGCTTGATGATGGTAAATAATGTGGCAAACAAAAGGGGGCGTGGTATAGCATATGAAATGGTGGGCATTGAGCCCTGGAAGGGGAAAGACGTTTGGAAATAATGCAGCCTTTTTTCTCTTCCTTTCACGCACGCCAGTTAGTGATAATGATCCAGTAAGAGCCGTACCATCCGGAGGCCTTCCAAACAAAGCCGTACTGAACGGCATCGAGCAGTTAAATCGACCATCTGGACCTACTAGCATCGCCGACCTACTGACTGCCGCCTCGTCATCTTTTTGCCCTTTATTTCCTCTTACTAATAGTCCTCTGAATCCTGCAAGATCGTCGCAGCCATGGTTGCCAATGCGTGGACAGAGGGCGCGGTCTTCTCCTAGGCGTTCCTCGTTGTCAGAGTCTGCCTGACATGCGCTGGTAGTGTCGAGGGGATATCTTCGTCATCAGAGGAGTCTGAATCGTCATCGTCGTCGTTATGGTTACTGTTGTAGTTAGTTTGAACTGGTCTCGAGGCGGGCTCGCTTCCCAGTTGGCGATCGATGTCCATCTCGTCGTTGGCGGTGCTGGGGCTCCCTGACCCCGAGCCACTCTCATCTTCATCCTCCTCATCCGATTGGCCGTTGCTGTTGGCACTTAGGTAGTTCAACGCAGGTGGCGGGCGTGTAGGATCGTGAACCTCGGCCGTAGCCGCGGCACCAGCTAGACCGCCACCGATCTCAGAAACGGATAGTGTCGACTTGGTAGGCGTCTGGTAGGTTCCGCTTGCGTCCATCCGCCTTCTCTTAGCCTTGTGTTCCTCCCAAACGGCATTGGCACGTGGTGCGTTAGCCGCAACCCAACCGCTACCGGTAGGACGAGGGGGAGCCGCCCCAGTGGAAGCAGAAGCAGGAGCAGCAGCTTGCTGGGCCGCAGCCTTTTCCGCTTTCTGTCTCTTCTTGAGCTTCTCGAGACCCATTCGCTCCTCTTCTGCCTGGATTTCTGCCTTTGTCCGGCGTTGACGCAGGCGAACTCCGTACTTCTTCCTGATCATCGATTGCTTGGTGCCGAAGCTGTTCCGTAGTCCTTCGATCTTGATCCGCCGCTCATTCTCGTCGGGTATCGCGTAGGCTTCGGCGAATCTCGGCGCAAACTTTTTTTCTGCTTCCTTGAGGTCAGCGTCCATCATCGCTAGCTGCTCCTGAGTTAAGTGACCGTAAGGGTCAGCTGGGTTAGGAGTCTTGCTGACGGCGGGTGTCTCGGCGGAGGGTGTCGAGCCAGCCGATGTAAGGTCTACCGTCCGGGTTACTGCTGGTGTTGCCTGCACTTGGGTCAAGGGGACGACAGATGAAGGAACTGGCTGGGGTTGCGGAACCGCACGAGGAGGGCGACCGGGTCCTCGATGCGAAGCTGGCCCAGCGTGGAAGCAAGTTTGGGCGCGTTCATGTGATTGGTGCTCATCACTTCTGGTGAACCCTTCGCCGCAATGCTGGCAGGAAAACTCGAAGCCTTTTACGCTCGTCGGGGGAGGGACGGCGCAAAGTTGACGGCTCATATGCTGGGATGCGTTAGACAAGTTGGTTGAGCTTCTCATGAGAAAATCTTGAGCTTGATGTCACTTACGTATTCGTAGGGAGCTTGATGTGTGAATATTCTGTAGCAGCCCATACATTGCAAACGGCCAGCGTGAGTTGACTGGGATGGTGGAGGAGGAGGTGGTCGAGCAGCCTGCGTAGTAGGCATGACCCTTTCATGCTGCTCTTCCACGACATCCGCGGGGTTGTAACCAAGACGCTCAGCCCGGGCAAGGGCCGTGATCAAAGGTTTTGCCTCTATCGTCAGGAGGCGTGCATTTAGGCACTTGTCTAGAAAGGCATCGCTTGCCTTGTTGATGATAGCGTCGGAAACATCATCAAGATCAGCTGTCGAGAAGTGACTGATCAACTCGTGCTTGGACTCGAGAACCATCTTTTGCCCAAAGTCTCTAACTGCGCGGCGGGTGATGGATGGTACGGCGTGATGTATTGATGCGTTGAGCTATAAAGATATGGTCAGACAAAGGTCGAGAAAGTGAGCTGATAGTGAGAGTACTGGAGTAGTGGAAGGGTGAAAGAGGAGAGATGGTTAGGTGGAACCGTTCGAAGATATATCTCGAAGGTGTCCCGTACGAGAGGCTAAGTCTACGCAAGATGGGATGAGAGACAAATAATGGCAAATAACGAAGATCACGATCCCACGTAGTACTTTTGTATCTCATCCCAACTTTTTCTTCCAGGATACCCATATTGGCAACCACTTGCGGGCACTCCTACGTGATAAAGGACGCTGTGCTGAGGCAGAAGAGCCCAGAGCATCTGATGTGGGCATAACGTCCGAGGTCTTCCCCATGGCATATGTAAGGTGATAGAGGTAGGCAAGGTGTGGTGTAGGTGAAGTGCAGGTGAGGTAGCGCCGCTTCTGGTTGGGCGCATAGTAACTTGAAAAGGCAGAGCAGGTGGACTCACAATAAAGGCTTGATGAAACTCGGTGCCCAACATACACTTCTCCCAGTTATCCCGAAAGACGCGCCGAACGGCGTCGGGTGTGCTCTGTTGAATCGCATAGGTCAAGCGTGTGCAGTCATCTGCGAACTTCTTGTTGAGATGTGCGTGTGTTGTTACTGGCGAAGGGAACCCGGAGCTAGGAACCGGCTCGGCCTGTGGCGGCGGCTGGCTCACGGGCCGCGATCTGGGCGGATCCATGATGATAGGCTTTGAGATCAAGCCGTCGTTACGAGATGTATATCGTGGCTCGTGTGGGTGGTATTGCTGCTGGGAGGGAGGCGGAGGAGGGTGATGCCGAGGATCACCGAGAAGATACGAATGCTGGTAATGTTGCTGGGGATGCGCGGGCGGCGGAGCTTGGTGTTGGTGTTGGGAGGCTTGAAGGTGGTGTTGGTATGACTGTGGTTGAGAAGGCGCAGGCGGCGGCAGTTGGGTCGAGGGGACCGGCGCCGGGGCGGGCTGGAGCGGGGGTTGCGTATGGTAAGGTTGAGGATGGAATTGATATGATGGTTGGTTGTAATGGTGCGGTCGTGCTGGAGGATCGTGGGCGGGAGGTTGTGATTGGGATGGAGGTTGCGGTGCGGGATGCTCTTGGTGCTGCCGGCTCGGTTCGTACTTCAATTGCGCCGGCGGCGGCAACTGCGATGATGCTGAGGATGGATGCGCGGGCTGGGCGTGGAGTCTTGCCGGGTGAGCGTGGCCACTGTTACTGTCGTAATGTACCGTTAGGGGGTCTCTCCATCGAATGGGATCCCTGAAGCTGGATCGAGCAGAGGCTGTAGTCGTGGTACTCGGGATCGTCGTGGTCGCAGGGTCGGTCGCAGAAAGAGTCGCGTTCGCAGGAGTCGTGGTTGAGGTCGAAGTCGCGGCAGAATTTGTCGCGTCTGGAATTGAGGTCGGCGACGGAGCGGGTACCTGGGGCGGTCTCTGGGGCTGCGGGGGCTGCCCATTGAGCGTAGAGGTAGGCGGGGGTCCGTCAGTGGTCGGAGTGGAGGACCCCGGCACTTGGGTGACCGTCGTTGGCTGCTCGCTAGAAGCCCCGGTCGCCGTTGAGCTACCGGTCTGGATGCTTCCACTTGGCGCCTTTGCGGTTTCTACGCCACCGGTAGGAGCAGAATCGGGGACTGTTCCGTTGATATCGTGGCCTTGTTCGATGTTCGTAGTCGCAGAAGGTGCAAATAAATCCGAATTAGGGACAGCGCTGGTTGATGTCGCGGTTGGGATCGCGGTTGTGGTTGTGGTTGTGGTTATGCCACGGGGTGCTGCTAACAAATGCCGATGATCGTCCTTAGCGGTGGGACTCGGGGCCTGGGAATTCTGGTGCGGATTGGAAGTCGGGGTGGACAACGGCGCTGGTGGTGCAGCTGACTCCGGGACCTGTTCCTGCAGCCGCCAATGCGGGACGTCTTGTGTCATTTTGCCAGCAGTCCAGAGCTCTAGCCAAACTGAATGAGACGGTTTTGGCCACAACGAAATTGAAATTCGATGGGGTCACAAAAGCTCAATACCACCACCACTGGATGATCTTTGTTCTACCGGTCTCTGATTATCCAACAAATAACCAATTGATGGGTGTTTCCTCCAAGATCGTATAATGTTCTTCTGTCCGACCTCGTGTCGCAAAAGGGAAATCAGAGACGGAGAGCTCCACGATGGGACGCGGGGTTGGATGGACGCGCCCAGGGAGTGTGCCGGAAGGTGTGCTGCTTGACTGCTGAGTGGTCCGGCCCGTGTTTTCCTAGCAGCCGACCGTCTGATGAACTTTGCCAAAACTCGGTTGTTATAAAATTGTTGGGTACTGATCAATTGCCGCGTTTACACATCTGGATATGTGAGAAATTCGCCAATCTCCGTCTGTTGGATGTTCCGGTGCCGGTGCTATAGCTATTCTTTTTGTTGACTCTTTTTTTTTTCGTGTCCTGGAGAAGAATCACGGATAGGTTTGATGTGTCAATATTTTAAGGGCCCACAGGAGCCGCTGCGAGGATTATCATATACCCACACCCCTGTACTGAGGATTTTTATGTATTTCAATGTTTAAGTTGATTGAAGCACTGTTTGAACCGAACAAGATGACAAGGTGTTGCCCCGACACTGAGGCACAGCCCTTGGGAATGTACACGTAAAGTCTGTATGCCATGTATTGAAATCAAGGCCTTCCCCCCCGAGTTTTGTAATAGAGATGTCGGTTAAACTGGAAACCCACTTGTTATTACAAAGTGCAACTATGTTAATTACTTGTCATTACCGAACCGGTTAGTCTTCCGATCCTCATTATCACTGATCTGTAACCGTATGTAGACGTGTGAATATGGCTTATGTGAGTTAATGTAACGGTTGATTTTATGCAATAGGTGTTGGGTTGTTAGTTTTAAGTTGTGTTTACTAGCCAGAATGTACAATGCTTCGTCCTCTCATCTGTCTTTGAAACTTATCATATGTGCTTGGCTAGTCCATCCTATATGTATGTGTTATGGGGTGTTAGGACCTGAATAATCTCTTCCGTATTCCGAAATCACATTGTAGGTCTTGTTTGATCTTCATTGCCCCCGAATATACACCACTTCGTGCGTTTGTCAGGCCAATTTTCTCTGACCGACCAACCGACAACCTGCTTTCTTGTCATTTCCTGCTGTGTTTGCTAACCATAATAGCATCTGCTTTGGTCTTGTCTATTACATACCAGATGAACGTGCTGTGCAAAGGAGTGGACGTGGCCAATCACTGAAAGTGTGCACTTCCAACTCCAGGACTCAAGAGGCGATTTGCGCGAGAGTGATACCAATAGTAGTGTCGTTGTTATTGCTAAATGAGGTACATCCGAAAAGACAAGGGGTTGTTTGAGTAGACACAAACGCCATTATGCGCCCCTGAGGCCGTTTGTTCTTCACATTTGATGAAATTCCCAAAAGAAGCGGTGATTGTCACACAAAATGTGGAACGATAATGAAGAACAAGAAAGCTCTGTTGTCTGTAAAGGGGAGTTGCTTAAAAGGACGAGCGTGCCGTATGCCCACGCAGATAATATCCCGAGTCGCATACTCGTGTATCTTGCGTCGCTTGTTCTAGCCGTAGAGCGACATCCACCAGAAGGTTCAGCTTGGAAGTATCCTTCAAACCACTCATGTAATATCCATAATCTCGCTTCCTGTGTTATCAAACCAGTCCAAACAAATAACCATCGGTCATGACTATAACTCAAAACTCCATGTTCATTAGGGTTAGGTATAAAACAAGAACACTGCGCCGGAGCACCATGTAAAAACCACCGGACCGTTCGAGGTGAACTTTGAAAGCAGTATTCCTCAGAACTTGAGCTGCTTTCTTCCCCTTGGCGCATCAAGTCAGGCACTTTTAGGCCAGAAGAGGCCACTCACTGTGCCTGCTCAAACTCAAATAGGTTCTCCACAAATGGCCACCAAAAGCCTCTGGTAATCGCCGCTGGTCTCCCCCTGCACTCTCTTATACAACTTGGTCTTGTAGCGTTGCTCGTACGCGTTCTTCACGTTGCGCAAGTTTTCGCGATCCCAATGGGCCCGGACCAGACGGCTGGTGAGCAGACGATCCTTGGTACCCAATCCTGCCATGGCATCCTCGAGAAGTCGGGCCTGCAGCATGTACTTGTCTGTGCCGTGGCGTAGCTGGATAAGAAGGGCGTCCTTCATGTGTCCCGAGAATTCCTGCTGGGGATGTTAGCTATTTGTTCCCAAAAAGCCTTTGAGTTTGATTTGATCAGCATTTCGCCAGAGGCCAAACTCACTTTTTGGATTACGGTATCGAGATCCCTGGCGTACTTTTGCCTGTACTCGTAAGAAATGGCACGGATTTGGTTGTTATTCCTCAGGCTGAGAATGCTGCACACACGCATTTCATCTGTGCCAATCTTGCCCTCGGTTGCGTTATATATGTCATCAACGTCTCGGTCAATGTCTGCCTTCACCACTGGAGCCGCATCTTCAGCACGTGTGGCACCGAGCACAATCATAAAGTGCCGTTCCGTCTTCATACTCAGCTCGCCGCGCACCATTTCCTCGAGGGACCGGCGGAAAACCCGACTGAACTCGGCTTTGATGGCCTTCAGGTCGGCGTTGGACCGGCGGAGTAGGATGTCATTGAGGATGTCTTCGTTGGTGCCTGCCCCATCCATGGCATTGTACAGCATGTGCACGTCGTTGAGAAGAGGACCGCGAGCAAGCATGACGAGCCCTTCCTCAAACCAGCTACTCGTCTCGCTCTTGATGTCGGCGATAAGATCGCGGCGGTGACGCTTTGAAAACGCTTCGCGAAGCAGATTGATCTGGAGAGGGTCCTTGTCGGCCAGAACCCGGATCAGCTCCTTCTCATCGGTGCCCCATCCCTTCATGGCTTTCCTTAGCCTATCCGCGTCCGGGTCGGGGTTCCATGGGATGCTCATCGCGGGGCCATATCCGGGAGAAGGTGGTGTCGGCGGGTACTGCACGGCATAGGGCTGAGGCGGGTACGTTGTGGGTGTGGCCGGTGGGGCCCCGTAGGGTTGGTGAGGAGGTGGACCAGGAGGTTGTCCGTAACCGCCCGCGTGAGGCGGCGGTGCGCCGTAGCCAGCCTGTGGAGGTCCGGACGGGTAATACGGGGCGTGCGGGGGAGGAGGAGCACCGTACTGCCCGGGTGGTGGGGAATGAGCCGGAGCACCATAGGGCTGTGGAGGAGGTGCACCGTACTGTCCCGGCGGCGGCCCGGGTGGTGGTTGGCCATAAGCTTGTGGGGGCTGTTGATAAGCGTTGTATGAAGCATGTGGCGGAGGTGCACCATACGGAGATTGCTGATGATGCTGCTGAGGAGGAGGCTGTTGGTAATATCCGCCTCCCTGTGGTGGAGGGGGTTCTGGGAGGTCCAAGGTTAGCCGTAATAACATAGACGTGAAACTGGACCTTTTATTTTTTGACTCACGGCCATAAGGCGACGCCGGAGGGTAGCCTTGGTAAGACATTGTGGGAGCGGCTCCTAACACAATGATATGGTCGATGTTGCGGTTGGTTACGCGATGCTTGGCTCGGCTAGAGGTGATGGTGCTAAACGCGGGGGCGGGGTTGGTGTGTAACCAATATGAAGAAAATGTAAAAAGCAAACTACAAGATGGGTGGTTGTTTGAGCAGTAAAGAAGAAAGAAATAGTCAAGAGTTGAACTGTTGATCAGAGACAAGCAGCCAAAATAAAACCGGGTCTGGCACAGAGGTGCTTTATCAAGGCGGGTTGAAGTCCGATCGATGAATTCCACTGGGGCTTGCCTTGCAATCGTCATCCTACCCTACATTACAGCATTACCCAAGCCATCGGGGCAAGGTCATTCATTGTCTGCGCCGCAACGTCCTGCGCGTCCAACTTGGCCGCTATACCGAGACATTATGGTACTAGGTACTTGGCGAACTACGACCACCCTATGTAAGGTACCTACGAAGCATGGTGCAGACGCACACCGAATGGGAGTGACTGCGCAAGACAGGTAATAGTACGTCAGATGTGGCTGAGCAAGTGGAAGCCTTGACAAAATGAATCAACTGTCCATGGCCAAGAGCTTTCCTTCCAGGGGTAATCCAACCTCGCCATCTTGGGCGGCATGAACGGAAGCATGGCCTTGTGATGGCCACCCTTTAACTGATAAGCAGTCGTTGCTGGTGAGAGGTAAATGTAACCTGCAAGAGCAGTAGCCACAACAAAGAAAAGGTCAGCTTAAACAACAGATAAATACCTGTAGTTTGCCGTCGAGGCCTCCAATTTCCCGAGAGCTGATTACTACAAAAGATGGGACGAACCACCCAACTTGCTCATCGGTACGTGAGGCACCAGCATTGGTGATGGGTGCGCTAAGGAAAAATGCCTTGAGACGGCGACGCTTGCAGCAGGCTGACACCGTTGCCAAAGCGTGGGTTGTACACAGTAGAGGTACCTACCTACATGGGCCTCGGGTGGCTTGGAAAGAAACGATAGTCAACAGCAAAATCGACATGATCGTACCTGCGCTAGGCTTGTGGATGATTGGGAATGGCATGGAAGTGGAAGCAGTTGAAGGCGTCGTAATGAGTCGGCCGTCATTCCTCGAACACCTGTTGGAAGTTGGAAAGATGGTATGTGGCTTACGCAGTGGTATTAGCGCGGCTAGGTACGTACCTGCCCTGGCCAAAGAGGTGATTGGAAAGTGGAAACTGGCAAACTGCCCGGGCAGGTGCTGAGTGGATCAACTTCAACGGAACCTTTCAGCGCTGCGGGAGCGCCCGCCGCTTCCCTCTCAGACCGTGAGTCCGTGACCACTCATCACTGAATTCTGAATCCCTTCAACAACTAAACCTCGAGGCTCGGCGGCGCCAACTGCTGCTACCCATGAACTGCTTCAACCACCCGATTTTTCTCTCTACAGGACATGTTCCAGCCTCGGGGGCCACAAGCTCGGGATGGGGATGCCACTTTTGTTTGGCAGTCCTCCCCGCCAAGAGATCCAGCCATTCGATTTTCGACCTCAACCGGGCGCTATGCTAGGGTATATCGCCAACTGCATCTCTCAAAGGCGGCCGTGATCGCTGACCGGGTTTGCTCTTGTTCTTGTTCCACTCAAGTCAATTTCAAGGTCAAGGTCTGCTGTCCTTCCCCGGCTCCTCTCTTTCCCCCCCCCCCTTTCACGGGCTTGAAGATATTCCGCATCGTCGGAACCTGCTGTTCTCACCCACGCCGTCGTCAGCCCTGTGGTTTAGCCTCTCTAGATGAGAGCACAGCCGACTGGCACCACAGATCCGTCAAAATGCGCCTTCATCGGACCCGTCTTCCCACCTTTGTGCTTGTTGCCCTCCTCGCGGCCTGTCAAGCTCTGCCGCTCATCGAACACGACAGCTCTCCTAAACTCTTGCTGCCGAGAGCGACATACTCGGTAGTCCCGATCAACGGAGGGTCGGGTTCGGAACATGGCCCTGGGGTTCCGGTTGTGACCAAGACTGTGGTGCAAACCGCTCACCAACCGTCCACTCACTCATCCACTGACTCACCCACAACCGCCCTCACGAGAACGGTTTCGGTGGTGCCTATTCAACCTCAACCCACTCTGACTTTGACCTCCACCACCGTCGTCCACGTCGTGCCCCCTACAACGACAACGACCACGACCACGGCAGCTTCAACATCCCCATCCTCCTCATCGTCTTTTGCGGTCACGATCTCCTCTCGGACCACCTCGGTGACCCCTTCTTCAACATCCAAGATATCGAGCCCTACTGTCACGTCGACCGTTTCTCTCTCTCCCCCAGCGTCTTATACATCAAAGTCCGTGTCTAGCTTCAGCACAAGACCCTCGCCGAGTACCACGTCAACAGAGTCCTCCATATCGATCACGGTCACGGTACCCACCACCACCGTTTCTATCCCGCTTCCTACGACCTTCACCAGCAGCAGCTCTAGCGTCTCATACGACGATGGAATGTGGCACACGACATATCCACCCTGGAATGGCACGACGACTACCTGATTAATGCATATGCGCCGCTCTTCTCAGCCCCGTATCCCGTGCTGTCCTGATCGATCTTTGCCGGGTTGGCTCTTATTATATCCGTCCTTGTCCTCAGGCGTCTGCAGGACTCCAATCAGATCCAGTGACCATGAGATGCTCTCAAGGGCCCCGATGAGTCATCAAACTTTTCCTTTCACGCTCATGGACGGAAAGGGAGCGAAGCTATCACGGAACCCCAACGCCAACCAAGAGCTGGACGGTGTTGCTAGAAGGGAAAACGGAAATCTTCATTTTCGGTGCTAGTATACCTTAATATCTAATCTTGCAAAACGATACGATTTCAACATCTTCTGCGCCTTGCCTGAGCACTGATCTCTAGTGAATGACCTCTAGTTGGGAGCTATCGCTTTCTAGGGCTTGACACCAACCCAAGATCTCGATCACAAGTGGCATGTGGCATGTGTTACATATGTGCCACCCCCCAGGAGTGTTCGCTCCTGTTCAACCCTTGCCAATCATCCTACGCTCCCTTATGGGAATGGACAGACATGGTTCCTTGGCGGAGACGGCCAACCAACTCCGAGGCAACGAGAATAAAGATGCCCTTTGCCAGCGGTCACGGAAGGCGTACTACGACGGTTCACAGAAACCTTAGTACGATGCACCTGCAAATACCGACGGTCTTTTCGAGAAATGGAAGCGAGGGAGATGCGTGAAGTCCATCTCAATCACTCAGAAGATCATGGTGACATTGCCATGCTCACGCATTTTCTATGGAATTGCTGACTAGGTGTGTTTGAGCACCCAAAATTCCCGAGCCATGAACGATGCGTACTAGGGCGTGCCGATATGTCGAAGTTGTCTCGAGGGTCCGAAACCCGAAGAGTGCAATGGTTTCCCAGCAGAGAAAGCAAGGGCCCGGGGGGCATAGGATTGACATAGGACATTGAGACCAATCGCCAGTCCACAACCGTTTAATACCGCGCATAGCAGATTTGCAGCCGGGCAGGACTCGGGGAGTCGTCGGGACACAGCCACGGTCTAGACGCTTGTCACCGCCGGTTCGGACTCTCTTGCCGTTTAGATCATGCAGAAGTTTTAACCACTTCAGCTCTTCTCCCGGACGGCAACCCCGGTCAAAGGCTCCGACGTCCATGTCTCCGGATTGTGAGGGGAGATATCACACCAGCGGCCTGGTGACAGATTTGCAAAAGCCTATAGCATCCGGCGGGCCAGGACTGGTCGACATGCACCATACACCTACTTTTGAGGTGAGTAGGACGCACGGCTTTGTGCTCAGGCAACCGTTGGCCAACTCGAGTCCTTGCATGTAGCTGGCTACACTGGTTTGTTGTGTTCGGGCCATTTTTTCCCACATTATCATTTGCTTGCCACTCGAATGCCGTCCACAACCAATTGGTGGAGGTTCACGCATGCCACAGGTACATTGGGTGCTAGGTCGAGATAGGAAACCACTGCTGCTCCTCCCTCTTTGTGCCATACACACTCGGTGCTTATTGCCGCGGGACCTTGCTAGCGATAGTACCCTCATATCTTGACTACTAAGGCCAGCCTTGACTCCGGGGAAAAGAGGCAACAGAAGGCAGCTCTGTATCGGTACCTTTGCTGCGAGTCTCTACTTCGTATCTTGTTGTCTCCTTGCGTTTGCCACAGCGCCCCCCTGCTTTCAGACAAGGCATTAGCCCAGCAACTGCACGAGCAACAGGCCCACGATGGACACTCTGTTGTCTCAGCTTGTTAACACGGCAGCACAGATACATAGCAACTCTGCCTCCTCACGAGATGCTGCGCGACTCCGTGTACAACCGGCCACAGCTTTGCGCCAAAAAACGGGCAGGTCGATTCGGCGTGGGACCGGCAGTCGAGCAACTCTTATCACTAGGATGACTAGGTTCAGCCCTCGGCAGTGAAGCACTTGTTCCAAAGGGGGTTCATCGTAGGACACTCTGTCCGAATGCGGTGGTCTCAAGCATGTCTTTGGGGGATGGGGACTGGCACCTTTGCTGGTCGGTCACAGTCTTTGGCCACGGGAGATCATGATGGTCGTGCGCCCCCCTGTTTGGCAACTTTATCCGATCCACCCTCGGCGGATTGCCGTGTAACGCGGCCGCCGCATTCTTTCTGAGTCCTGCAAAGACAGGGGGCCCTCGATGATAGCTCTTGCCGCTACTTGCCCTCGCACACTCCTCACCCACCTTCCCTCCTTCCCTCGTTCGGCCTTTCTGACCTGCATCGTCGCGCTTGCCATGTACGATCTCAAATCAGTTGGGAGATCCCGGTCCACCCGATGTGCATCTTCCTGTTGGTTGCCTAGGGATGTTTAGCACCGAGGCAGGAGCGCAGATGGTCGCTGGCGATAGATATAAGACCCGAACATATAAGGAAGGGGTCTCTACCACCTCAAGTCCCGTCCATCACCACCATCAACATCATCATCACTCTTCCCAACCATCGCAGACATCAAAGAAGCCTGAGCTTAAAAGCTCCAGTATCACGCTCACATTACCTTGAATCTCGTTTGCAACCGCCTTTTACTCACACAGAGTCACACCCCACTCAACCTCCATCAAAATGAGTTGCCTCGCTACCCGCCCTCTCTTGCCTTTGGGCCGCCGCCTCATCACCAGCCGCGCTCGCCTTAGTACCGCCGCGCTTGGCTCCCTCGACATTGGCTTTGGAAATGGCATGTCCATGCCACCGGGATTCAACATCAACGTCGCCCGCAAGCAGCCAAGAATCCAGCCACCCACCAACGTCGCCGCCGCCGCCGAGAAGATCCGCACTCGTGATGATTTGGGCAAGACCATGCCCCCGGGCTACAAGGCTCAAGTCGCCCATCTCGAGACCTTCCAACTCCCAGAAAAGATCACTGGATCTGCCAGCGACCGCGCGCTTGGAAAGGCCATCATTGACACCTGGCGCCAAGAGGGAATCATCCAAATCGCCCAGAACGATCTGCAGAAGAAGCTATGGAACGACGCCAAGACCGCTAGCAAGCGCTTCTTCCGGAAGCCCGCGGCCGAGAAGGCGGCTTGTGTTGACTCGCAGAGCTACGCCGGTTACATCGCATCCGGCGAGGAGGTGACGGACGGCATCGCTGACTACTCGGAGATTTTCACCATCACCAAGGATCTCGACTTGGAAGAGCCGCGCGTCCGGGCAAAGTGGCCATGCCATGGCCCTTGCCCCTGGCCCGATGTGGAGATGAAGGAGCCGATGATGAACTATGTCGACAACCTCGGGCTTGAGGGCGAGAAGATTCTCCAGTTGGCCGAGTTCGGTCTGGGCGTTGCTCCCGGTACACTTACGCAGTACACCCGTGATGGCTGGCATCATACAAGGGTCCTTCGGTAAGTCATCAAACATGAGATTTCTAATCCTGTGATACCGCCCAACCCTCCAGCTCTGGGGAGGAGCGGGCCGTGCGCTTATCGTTTCACACGAAAGGGCCTGTAAGCTAACATTTTGTTTTCCTCAACAGCTTCCCACCCCGCAACGGTACCAACGGAAAGGGCAAAGAAGGCCGAGGCATCGGCTCGCACACGGACTACGGCCTTCTTGTCATCGCCGCTCAAGACGATATCGGCGGTCTCTTCATTCGCCGACCTCGGGACGACGAGAAGTTCGCAAACTGGAAGAAGTCGGCTGCCGGCCACAAGGAGGACGCCGAAGGGTGGTTCTACGTACCGCCCGTCGATGGAGTGCACACAGTCATCCTCGGCGATATGATGCAGTACCTCACCAACAACTACCTTACTGCGACGCCGCACAAGGTCGGGCTCAACACTCGCGAGCGCTTCGTCATGGCCTACTTCCATGAGCCCTCGTTCCAGGCTGTTATCAAGCCCATCAATGAGGGTTGCGGCGGCATGCGGACCGACCCGGAGCAATCTGATGAGGGAGTCCACTACGGAACCCACTTCACAAACATGTTCATGCGCAACTATCCGGATCGCATCACCACCAAGAGGCTGTTGGCGGAGAACCGCTATGAGAAGCTGTCGAAGCCAGAGTTGAGGACCATGGATGCCATTCCCGAGCCTGAGCTCGATTAAAGACTGTCACTGTTACCTCTCTTTGTTTCACAGCCTCTGATTTCTTTTCTTCGTGTATACAAAAGCATTACCCGGGCGCTACGTGGGGGATATGGAGTTCTAGGAAGGAGAGGCGGCTATAGCACTTGGCTTTGTTTCTTTCAAGTTCCACGATACCACTTCCCTAATGTTCAATTACTGCTATTTACGTTGCTTTCAATGATACGCATACAATACCTTACACAGACAAGACAGACCAGAGATGAGCGGAGAAAAGGACCAAAGCATTTTTTTGTTATTATACAGCAAGGGTCCGAAACCACTACATTACGATTTTTGCATACTATTTCTTCTTTAAGATGTTTCAAGATGATGCCTAGCAATTGGACAATGACAAGTGGGAAGAGGAACAAGCAGGACTCACTTCAGGAGAGCAATATCTTAGGTGCTTGCCTACCTTAACACTAGTTTTAGTTGAATCAAAATTCGTCTTAAAAGATACTTGATTGTTCCCATTTAGTGTGCTGATATGATGCATCAAGTAAGAGTGGGGGATTCCCTTCAGCTCAATTCGATAATTGGGGATGGACGGACATGAGCTACTACCTACCTACCTACCTACCTGCCTGCCTGCCTGCCTACCTACCTACAGTATCCAGATCAACTTCCGCAGGAACGAGACTCACTCCCCGTGAACCACACTTCCTACGTGTGACGGTCGATCTTTTGCCTAACCCGCACCAGTCACGAAGTAGCCCGTGCTCAGTGACCACCTACCACAAAGTACTGATTGATACGACCGGACCCATATAATCTACAGCAAGAACTTTGGCCTATGATATGGCACTTTACACATACACATACACACAGACTGTGCTTAAGTTCTCAGGTAATTGAGGCTTCCTTGAGCAAGCTGAGTATGCAGGTACTAGGTAGTGAAAGTGCAAGATGGAATGGAAATGAGGAACAAATCAGGTTTCCTTCCAGTCATTTCCTCTCCTCGCTTTCTTTCACTTACCCTCTTCAACCATCATACAAGCACAGGCACAAAGAAAGACCCTTAGAATTCGTGAGCCAAACGGCAGGCGACTCGGCCAGTCAAAAGCCGGAGACGCATGCTCACATGGGTTACGGGTGAGTGCTCAGTAACTCCAAATCATGATATTTGTTGCTTTGTGTGTGTGTTTAAAGAGTGTTATTTTAGACTAAAACTTGATTCTAATGTATGTCCAATATTTTTGACTGACTGACTTTGTCCTAGAGGAACACACGGGACAGGACCAGACCCTGGATGAAATATCGAATAGTGTAACTCCATACTGGACAATAACTCGACGAAGAGAACTCGACCATCACAACACTTGACTCGGCAAAATATCCAAAGCCCCCGCCCCCTTCCACTGATTGTTCTCCTCTTGGCTGCATTTGCTCGTGTTTGTACTCGTGTTTGTGTCTTCTAACAGTATCCTGATACGGGACACGGGGGCGAGGGGGGGCGAGGGAACGGTCAGAAGCGCCGGAGTAGAATAGTTGGAGGAATTATCACCAAAAATTGAGGAGAAGGAGAAAGAGGAGAGGAGAAGAAGAAGACAAGAAGTGAGGAGAAACCTACCTCTACCGACCGGAAAATGGGAGGTGAACCCCCGTCCGTGTCACGACATCGACAATGACTGCCAACGTTACATGTTCCACAACATCACTTTTGTCTCTCGCTGGCTTTCAGTCTGGTAGGCTGGAAAGTCTAGGAAGTGGCTCGCACCTTCCTTTCCCAGAAATCCTGGACATAACACAAATCGCCTCCACCTGCCTACCACCCTTTTGTCACCTTGCCGCCGCCCTCGCCGCCGCCTGCCGCCTGCCACCCGCAGCCCGTCGCCTAGCGCGCCTCTTTTCCCCCTTTCTTTCATTTTCTGCGACTGGTGGTTGAAAGATGCCGTTGAACTAGGTTGCCTTGTCGAGGTGACCGTCACCGCCGCTCCCACCGGTCCCCCTGCCCCCGAAACTAATCAGCGGTAACTCGGCACCTCGCCGGCCGTGCTTTCAAAGCAGCTATATCCTTGTCACTATTCAATCTGAGACAAAAGAGAGAGAAAGTGTGTATTTGGCTAGCGATGCTAGTGATGAGAGAGGGAGACAGAGGGAAGGGGGCAAGTAACAGGTGAGACACTGCCTATCAACAGCTAGCTGCAAAGAGCAAGCTACCTATTTCTTGTTATCCTGGAGCGAGCGGGTAGTTACGTAGGTGGTTGTAGATCAGAGTCAAGTGTCAAGCCTCTTTGCGGGGAAGCAAAGCGGTTGCCCGTCTATCTGAGCCTGTATATCTGTCTGTCTGGGACAGAAACCAAAACACCAGGAGGGGGCTGCGGCCGTTGAGCCGTCCGAGCCGTTGAGATTTCTTGGGGAAGGCTGACAGCAAAGCAAGATCGATGAATCTGAATCAAAGGGTAGGTGCCTAGCCGCTCGGTATTTGGGAGGTTTGACGGTTATTGCCGATTAACGATCTTGTTCCAGCATCTTGACTGTCAAATCCGGCGCGTCGGCCGAGGAGATGGCCGGATCTGAACCATCCTTACCGGCGATGCATGTCAGCGTCCGGGGACTTCGGCTCTTGCCGCTCAAGCGGTCAAGTGAAGAAAAGGGTAAGAGTGTCCGACAAGCAGATATCAGACAATCTCGGAGTTGTTCGGCGAAAGGTGCCTTGTGTCAAAGCAGTGGGAGGGACTAGCAATTTTTTACCTGAAAGGTACGCTAGGCGAGTGATCACAATGGGCTGTACGATCCTGTCGTTATCCCCTCGACAGCTATATGCATACCATGCTGTCGGTCTCAGTTCCAGAACCTTCAAGCTGGGTCTGGTATGTGTGCGACCTAATCCGCCGGCTGGCTCACACTACAGAAAGGTGGTATGCCATTTCGAGTTAGGGAACTAAAGCCGTGACCAGACATAACCGCGCGAAGAGTGAGGTTACCGCCGGGGCAGTATGGGAGGTGTTAACTGCAAGTTGCTGAAACAGGAAATCTCGTACGGGCTTACCCTTGGTAGCCGCGGAGGGCAAGTGGCCAGACCAGGGCTGTGATCTTCAGCTGCTGTGCTATACTGGCGACTAGCCTGCTGTCCTCGCTGCATGTCTCGCCTCGCCACAAACTGCTGCAAGTGTAAGACGCAGGTCGTAGATCAGAGTCAAGGATGGGGTGGATGCGGCCGGTGATGATGGCGATGGGTTGGGGGAGTAACTGGTTGAGTTGTGTCGACAAAGGGTAATGTGATAGGAAGAAACATGGGGGGTTAATCAGACCAGGCTCGTTGTTGATGATGTCGTTGAAGCTGTGATGAAGACAATATCGGATGTAGACGGAAATTCACGTAAAGAAGAGTATCTAGAGTTGGGAATTTTCGGCGACTGTGATGATGCAACGTGAGGAACTCGCAAGAGAGGACGGGAATGGGATTTCGTTTATCCGTGACTTCATCTCCATCGCCATTGTCATTCGGTGTAGTATCGGTACATTGGCCGCTGTTTGGAGACTTGCAGATGTTTGTAGAGAAGTAGTAGATGCAGATCTTTGGGAGGGGAGATGATGTTATGTCCGACATGGGTAGATGATCTGATAGCGGGTGATGGAAATCAATTCCGGTGACATTCCTGCCTCGTGGGTGATTGCCATTTTTTTGAATGGTGATGACCTCAGATGTCACGGATGATCTTGCAACCCGGCAACCGGTGACAGTGACAGTGACGGAACGGGACGGAAAGAACGACGGGATCCGACACAATGGAAGCCGGACCGGATCAAGTGCAGTGCCGCAATTGCAACTTTTGATGCAAACGAGGAAAGTGCGACCGAGTCCTGGCCCTCATCACGATCCATTAATCTCCGTGCTTCCTGCCACCGCAAGGCTACAACCCGAAGCCCGGAAGGTGGGGATGTTGTAGGTACCGGACAACTCCATCATCCCGCCTTCCCGTCACCCCCGTTGTTACCGTTGTGGTCCTCGTTGCCTGACTTTCCATCTTCGACGTGGATGGAAATCTCTTCACACCATGTTGCATCGACAATTGCAACAAGTACACTTGACGTCAAGAATTTACTCCGAAAACCGCTGCGTCGTCAGATACACTCCTTGAGGTTCGTCCAACCGAGCCGGACAAGATTGCACCAATAACTGCAGATCATCTTTCAATCTACACAAAGTCCCGCCTTTGACGTCAAGGCACTACAAGGCACTACCCCATTTCAATACTACATGTAAAGCCATTACCAATTTTCTGAAAACAAACAAACAGGAATGACTCTATCGGCGTATCTTTCTTGCGTCATCTGATTCGCTGATCCCCGTTTCCTCATCCGCTGCTCTTTGCTCTTCAGGTTGTGCTGACTGTTCGTCTCTATTGGCATTTCCTGCAGGAATCTTTCCAATGATACCAGAGCCTCGGAATGCGACCAGGACGACAGCGAGCGAACAGAGTCCCAAGGCCATATGGAACCAGTTGGCGGCTCGGATACCGGCCAGAGAGGCGTCTTCCCACTCCTCCATGTACCCAGCATCTTCAACACTGACACCGCGTTGCTTCGCCATCACCGCAGTTTGGATCGCCGTCGCAATAGCAAGTCCTATCGCGCGGCCAATTTGTCCACAAGCGTTGACGAGCGCACCGCCCAGAGCCTGATCTGCTTGCGGAAGCGAGTGGCTTGTGAATAGAATCAAACACGGCCATGCTGTGTCCGCGCCGATGACGGACAAAATCATGCCTATAAATGCCCAAGCCCAGTAGGATGTATGCGGAGGGATCGGCGCGGCGAAGAGAATGCAGGTGATGGCCACACAAACGTTTCCGAATGCCAGCATCGTGTAGGTGGGCACGCGCGAGAGCAGCTGCGATACGACAAAGGCGCAGATGAGACCCATTACTCCGGTTGGCAGGAACCGAAGCGTTGTCTGGATCACAGACTGGCCTTGGTAGTCCTGGTAGAAGTAGGTTGCAAACACCAACCATCCACTGAAGCTGCTGAAGAACAGAGCCATGATGAGCATTGCCGCGCTGAACCTCTTGCTGTGGAACATGGAGACCTTCATGATCGGCGCCTTTTTGCCTGTCTTCTCAAGATGTCGTTGCCAAAGCACAAACACAACCACGAGGGCGACAGCGACGACGATCAGAACCGGCACCCAAGGAGTCCTCCAGCCGACCACATTGCCTTCGGTGAGCGCGAACAAAAGGACAAAAAGGCCGACCGTAATCAAGGCCGCGCCAATCCAGTCTACAGATGCCTTGACTGATACGCCGTCTTGGTGAAGAGTATGCTTGGGTGGCGGGATCACAAATATTGCTGCCACGGTGATAATAGCCGCGAGGATGGCTATTACACCGAAAACCCATTTCCATGACGCATATTCAGCAATGAGTCCGGCGACCAGGTTGCCGAAGACGGCGCCGAGTGGCGCTCCAGCGGCTGTGACCGTTGCATTAACCGTTAGCTATTGTGTGACAGCAACACGCGGTGGTGGAACATACCATAGCAGCTAAAAGCGTAGTTCTTTGCCTTCCCAGGGGGGAAGGTTGTTCCAAGAATACCAATGGCTGTAGGCACGTTTGCCGCCGCCCCCTTTTCGCACCATGTATGTCAGTCCGCGTTCATGTCTTGTTTGAAACTGAAGTCACATGCTAAACATACCAGGCCTTGCAGACCTCGAAAAAGATCGAATGCTATTTCGTTTGGCAGGAACGGATTGATGACGGTGGTGATGGCTACCCAAGCAGAACCCCAAATGAAAATCTTGCGCTTGCCGTAGATGTCGGCAATGCGGCCCCAAAGCAGAAGGAAGCAACCGAATGCAAGATTGTACGCAGACACCACCCACTGCAGCCGAGAATCTGGAATGTCCAAGTGTCGTCCGATGGTTGGCAGGACAATGACAACTGCTTGGCCAGATACAGTCTGCAAAGACGGTCAGTAGTGTACCCAAAACAGCACAAGAAATCTCCGGAGCAACTGCTCACATTCAGAAACTAGCTCCGGCAAGCGTTGCTACGAGGGCATGCATCGTGCCTTTGAAAAGGAAAGAGCTGGTGGCTGGTCTTGCGCGATCTCGTCGACAGTCCCAGCGTCATCGCTCGTGATGGAGTCATTCGAGTTCGGCTTGCTGGATGGTGCTGTCTCCCCCTTCTCCGTTCCCCAAGCTTCGTTTCTCTCCGGCGCGGCCTCAATCGACCCTGGCATGGTCGTTGTGGTGTCTGTTGAAATTGTTAATGGAAACAGACACCGACGAACGGTTGAACGTGGGAAGTCATGGAAATAAGCATAAAACAATCCCCCGGATTTTCAACGGGCATGGTGAAAGACTACCATAGGAACCACTTTTTACTAATTGGTCATACTTAATAAGGTTAAGCACATCGACCAGCCGCATACTCATTGGTTCGCTTTCGGAGAGTCTTGACCGGTTGGGGTAAAGAAAGCTTCCCGCCACCGGAGATGTGGTGCCGGTGACCGGCAAGCGGGGGAACATTGAACGAGCACCCATCCGTCGCCGCATCGGGACCGCTCACTTCGACTGTCGGCATTTCTAGCGTGGCTTGCGTGGCTTGCGTGACTGCTGTCGCGTGCCACGACGCCCAAGTTTGCTCGGGGAAACATGGTGCCTGCCTGTTATATCTGATGCGTCACGATAATCCAGAAGTCACATTGTGTTTTGGGGATAACAAAAGCTCATGTGAGGCAGGTCCCGAGCGAATGACTCCCTCTTTCCCTCAGAATCCTTGGCAGGGGATGCCAAGCCGTGGTGACATCCCATATCGACTCATTGCGCAGTGAGTTGCTTGTCCAACAAGGTTCCCGGAGAATATTGGACATCCAGATACGTTAGATACTGTCGTCAAGGGAAAGAGGTTGTTCCCTACGGTTCCGTTCGGCATGTGAACACCAGAGATGCCCGGGAAACCGCAAAGAAGAAACAAGAAAACAAAACGAAAAATATACAATCCTTTCGCCGGCAGCTCTGTTGGAAATCATCTTAGTTGACGACAAGCTTCACGATCTCCATGTCAGAAGGTTGGCGTGTAACATATCTGGCTTTGTTTTCTCATTTTTTCGGTAGTTCTTGACTCAAGGAGTTTCCCCTCTTGTGTCCTATTTTCCCCTTTTTGCTTGTTTACAATCTTATCCCCCCCCCTTAGTTTTCCTTGAACCAAGCCCAAAGTTCTTGGGGCCTTTTTTTTTTCTTTCTTCATGGAGTCCGTCATAACTGAACTTGAATCAATGGATGTAATCTACAAGGGAAAGTCAGCCAAACCCATCGGACTGGACAGTCACTCCCAAATTTGGTGACAAGCTTGAAGTCATAGAGCAAGCAACGGTGAAGAAAAGGACGAGTCAGAAGGATGAGTCTTTGGCAACAAGTATAAAGGAGCGCAACTATCCTTTGTCTCTGCCGTCGTATCTCTTCAACATCCAGCCATGTTTATTGAGTGGAGGTTGATCGACCCTAATGATAGATTTCACTGCCTTGACAAACTTGAAAAGATGGGATTGGGAAAGGGTAATTTGGGTTTTTCTTGTTCTGCCCGCGCTCTCGTTAGAGGAATTCAAGCGATGACAGCTCTCTCTCGTACTTAAGGAAAAATCTCCGATTCTGCATCCAGTACCTTCGTCCAATCGTCCAGCAAAGCTGGATGGCGCAAATCAACAATGGTTCAAGGTTCGAACTCCCATCAATATCACAACTCACGGGTACGCACACATTTGGCCCGCGACAACAACTTCCAGAGAAACCGTACCGAATCCTTCGTCTGGGTTGGAACCTGCTTCCTCCAGTAAGAACACCCTTGTCTCTTACTGCAAAATATTTCAACTAGGCAATTTCTTCTGCCTTTCCTCTCTGAGCAGTCAAAATTACAACCAAGACCCCATGATTTGATCCTAGAAAGGTTCGTGTTCAATCAGTTAAGTCGAAGTTGGAATGGATGAGTGGTTGTGGCGGTATACAAAGAGGATGTTGACAAATCCACATGCCAGATTGTTCCCTCCGGGGCTGGGAGAGTAGCAAAGTGCTCCCAGCTTGGAGATCGGGGTGATGGTGGTGTCGATGCTGGGGCCTCTTGGTGGTCCCATGCCACCCAGAATAATTGCGCTCCTCGTTCCTCAGGACCATGGTGTTTGGGCTTGGTTGAAAATGAGAGCAGCGTTGTTTGTTGTCGTGAACCGATCATCGTGGCTCACGAGGATTTCCCTGAGATGGCCAACGGCTTGTTGCCTTGCGAATATGGCGAGGCAAAAGCGCACATCGGTGATTCCTCAGACCTGTGTTGTTGTTGGAGAATAGCTCTTTGCGCATTCAATATTATGGGATATACCATAACTATCTCAAACACCATCACCAATAACGCCATTTAGTTGGCTACGAGACATCCCAGACCCGCGACATTGGATTCTGCGATCGACGAAGGAACCGAAAGGCGTTATGATTTGGTGTTCACTCTGCAGGAGAAGAAAACCGATAATGAGGACGAAGGCACCAAGCAATTCTTGCTCCGATCATAGTTGGGACTCCAGTCAAGAAAAACCGGAAACGGACATGACCAAGCTGTAGGCCTTGGCCAACCCCAAAGAAGGCCTCTGCACCCCGTTCGGATGATTTTGGCCGAAGGTTTATGGCCACCTTGCCCTCGAATATTGCCATGAAGGTCAACCTCCACGATGCCAGACTGACAGCGCTATCGTTGATATCGCAGGGGCATATCCGGGAGGAATGCCGCCTCTGGTATGTATATCTATCATCTAACCAACAATGGATATCAGAAAAGAACAATTCACTGCCATGAATTGGCATTGAGAGCTTTCATCATGGAGGCCCTCAATGCTCAATGTCATCTCGTTATATCTTCCATGCTCAAGAACGTTCTTTATCCTTCTAGTCGACAGGAAAACCTTAATATGAATTTCATTCAAACACCATTCACGACCGTTGACGAGTGCCATCATTCTTCATCTCATCACCTTTCCACGTCCAGGATATTCTCCCGACTTCTGAAAGACCAGAACTCCACCAGAACTTTCAGGGAATTGCCATTCACTACCGTCCAAACCCACCAAAAGCTTTCATCTCATCCCTTTCGCACTCGCATTCACCTATTGTTGTCGCGCATTCACTTGTCGCTTTCGAAAAGTGGGAACCATGGGAGAAGGGTATAAAATCCCCCTCCTGGACCAGCAACTCTCCCTTCCTCTTCTGCTGGTCAACCACCAGGAAGCTTTGGGGACATCAAGTTGCCTGCGAGTAGACGACTTGAAAATTTCGACGACCCTTCTTGCAAATATCTTCCTAAGCAGTGACATTCTGAATTACCCGCTCAGGACTTTCGAGAAGCACACCAACATCGCAATTTCAGGACGCCTGGCGATTTTCTCGCTTCCGGGGTTCTTTTGAACAGCGAGTGTATCAGGGTCACCTGCAACCCTAGTAAGTTATTTGTTTGCTTCGTTTTGGGGAGGGGGTTGACTCTTACTGCTCTTCTTCGTGTGAGTTCATGATGCATGGATCAGTGCTAATCGAAAGAGTTGTACGGCAGACGGTTATATCGAACACGCATCAGCGTTATATAACATTGGTCACAATGGGTTCCCAGAAAGGCGATTCGCAAGCCGACAGTTCCTACATCCAGGCCCAGGCTGGCGGATCACACGCTGGCAATTCCCAGGCCGGCGGCTCCCAGCCTGGCTCCTCTTTCGGTGCGGGCGCACCACGCAGACAATTCCGTCCCATGGACGCCATTGTCGTCAACCGTGTCGCTCTAACGGAGGAGGAGAAGGCAGCTCGGAAAGCCCGCGGCTTTTCGGAGAATTACATGGGCGACTACACGAATGAGAACAATATGTCGGCCGACATCCCAGACGAGCTGAATTGCTCGCTTTACATCACGGGCCTCCCTCTTGATGTAACTGTCAGAGACATCTTTGACGACATCCGGGACATTGGAAAGGTGTTTTCGCTCCACGTCTCTCCTCGAAGAGAGAGCAATACAAAGCGCGCGGCTGCCGTCGTGTTCTTTACCAGGATCGCTGCGGGTAAAATTTTTCCACCCTTTGTGCTCTCATCTTCTTTCGGACACTAACGACACTCACCGTGTATAGAGCGATTTTACAATCGTTTTGCGACTCGCGATAACCCGGCCGTCCGCTGGGGCGGTACTGTTCCTAATCCTGGCCGCATTCTTGGTCGTCTCCCGGTGAACGTGGTTTGGAACCAGGTCAAGGTTCCGCCCTGCACCAACCGAGAGCACGTAACTCGTGTGATTCAAGTCGAAGGACCCTCCGAGATCGTGAACGAGGAGTTCCTCCTTGCTTATTTCCGTACGAAGTGCCGCTTCGATATGGAAAAGATCTTGGTTCTCTGGGAAGGCTACCGATATGCCAAACCGCGTAACGGCCAGCTTCCCGCCATTACCAGTCCCGTTCCCGCTGCGCCGCCTGCTTCTGCCCCAGCGAGGCGCCAGGGTCGAGCCCTGACATCGAACAACTGGCGTGAACGTGCCCAGCCAGTTACCGCCGGGGAACCACAAGATGCTCAGGCAAATGCTGCCGCTCCTACCGAACAGAAACAGGAGCAGAAACAGGGAGAACAGCATTACCGGATCATGGAGTTCTATTTCGGAACCGTCAAGGGCCAGGCACTAGCCTGTCGGATGTCCCTGGATTGGGAATTCAAGGAGAGAGGAGTGTTGTGCCGCTATGGTAAGTCTTCATGAAGATCTTGGTGCTGGGCAAGATGATTGCCAGTGGAGGAGACATTTGCTAACATCACCTTCCTCGGTTAATAGGCACTGACCCTTGCGGTCCTTAGCTGTTGTTGGCGGGGAGAATGGGTCATCAGCTCAACATAATCATAATCATAATCATAGGCGCAAGGGGTACTTGAGAGACCCAAATGGCCGTTTTGCGCAAAAATAAAGGATTTAAAGGAGATGAATGGCATAATGGAAAAGAAAACGGAGTTTCATTAGCTTTAGAAAGAGTGCATTGCGGATGTCATTAGCGTGCTTCAATAACAGAATGTATCATAGACACACCTGTGCTACTCTTGTTTCCCCAACTGAGGCCTCATGGCGATATGTTTTCTGCGAGTGAATGATGTAAAATGTGGAGCGCTGGACCAATGAGTGGGAAAAAAGGAAGAATGGCCCACCATGTTCGATTCAACAAGTGCGACAATCCAAAGTATGCGTTGGGCTGCACTTTCCACCCGAAAGATGTATCTCATCTTCAGGCAGACATGTATCGCTCCTTCTTCCAGTGGCAGGTTCGAACAGGAAGCCGTGTTGAATGTGTCGAGTGTCCAGAGCAAGTGCAAGTGCGGTTGACGTTTGAAAAACACTTCCATATAGAAGCGGAAGGAACGAAGGAGGAGCCGATAATGCATCCATAAGTGACTGACAAGCACCACGACGTTCCTTCCGCAAGTCTGGATCTTCGATCGCTGGGCTGAATTCAAGATCCCGGTGCCCCTGGTAAATCCTGTAAAGATATGCATCGCGTACATCAAGTGGCTTGGGGCTTGAATCCTACTGCTACCATGCTTGAGGGCATTCCGGTACTGTAGCATGACTGACTAGTATGATTTGCTGGGCTGGTACTCTGACAGGAGCTCCTCAAGTGGGGGTTGTGATGGGACTAGGTGGTGTTTTCGAAGCGAGTGATCCTTCTGGTAGTTATTGAGCAGTCTTTATTGTTTTGGACGCTCGATAGGCGTCTGTTGATTGTATGCTTTAGAGTGTTGGAGATGGTGTTTTCCGCCACTACAGTACTGCGACATTGCGGCGTTGCTACCCCCTGTTGCGGCTGCTACATCTTGGGCTGCAATGTCTTGTTACGGATGGTTGATGTGACTCGCGTCCGGATATGTGGGGGTAAATATACACAAAAAATTCGGTAAGTAGGAGCGGGATGGATTCGCTTGCTTACCTCTTTTTTAGTGGTGGTGCGGTGATAACAGCGTCGTCAGGTCCCTGGTACCAGGGGGGTCTCTGAATTCTGACCATGCGAGTGAGATCATGTAGTTAGATAGTCAGTTATACTGTTCATGTCATGTTGGCAAACGGCAGTCGATCGCGGGTTGTTGTTGGTCTTTCGAGATGGCTGCCTGCAGAAGTTGATCTTTGAGAATACATTCTGGCAGCACTCAGATTCCGGCTTTGAGACCCGGTAGAAAAAACTGGAAGAGATCGCTTCGGCGGCAGTGATGAGCGGATGTAATCTGGATATATATGTCAGAAGCGAGACCCGCCTGGCACTTGTGCCCCCTAAGCCCCCGACTCGGAGTGTTTAACGCTGTGACACCCAAGGTATGATTGGCCCCATCCTGCGGTTCTCTCCGCGCTTCAGCTTCCTGAACGGGTTGCTTACCGCAGATGAGAATTAGTTGAGCAAGAGGGTGGCCATATAAAATTCTGTTACACTCATGGTCACGAGTTGACCTTGGTGTCCGGCAATTAGAACGGATAGACCCTTTGATGTATCGTAACGTGATAACAATGGGCTTCGTTTCAAGCCCCTGGGACACTAACTGTTTGACTCGGATTACTCCCGCTAAAATTGTGTGTTTCAGTGAAAATCTTACTGGTGCGTTGTGTCAAGATGCCATATTCGGCAAATATGGCTACAATGTTAAATCCTATCGCCTGTACATCCTAATGTCATTGGCCGCCCTAAATATTTCCATGCTCGAACTCTAGCGGAACCAAGGCACTGCAGGTTGACGTAACCATGGGAATCCTTCCGAGGATTCGTGTTTTAAGAAGCGCCTCGGTATGGATGTAGTCGTCGGCTAACAAGCGCGACACTGATGTACTGGAAACGAAGGACTAGAGCTGGTAAAGCATAGTCTTGAAGAGATGCCTTGGATACGGGCACCCTATCCGGCTTACCAGCTCGCGAGCCTTCAGGTACGAGTAGGTCAACGACCTTTAGAAGCTATACATAAATGTGAAATGAGCACCACAGCCACATGCCCTGCGAGCACAACGGATCTGGGGGGCTCGAGGTTGCGAAGAGCCGCGCGTGTATCGCCAAAATCGTACCCCCTGAGGCAGGTCTAGACCGGAGCTCTGTTTGGCTCATGTGTTCTGGCCCGGATCGGTGATGTCTTACACAAGATCCTTGCAGCCGACAGATCGTGATGGCGGGCCGTTCTGCTCGTTATGGCTTCCCGAATTGATCCCGTCTTGAATCTTCCATACATCATGTACATTGAAAAGGGGTCTCAGAACATTCCTCTGTAGCCTGGAAACATGTGTGTTGGCGGGCTTTCAGGCGTGTATAACGGAACTATGGCAGAACAGTGGCGTGCGTATCTGGTTATCGCACTGTTGAATCTGGACTAGGGAGGCGGTCCCTGAATCTTCTGGGGTGGGAGATTCTCAGATGTACGGAACGAGTTGGTCGGTAGAACCCGAGAACAATCCAAGGATAAGGCGTGGCGGCATGGCCCCTGATGAAAGCCTTCATGACGTTGCCGTCGATCATATAAAGCCACCCACGTTTGCAACTGTTGTGCGTAACCTCGGAGGACCCTAAAAAGGAATATGATGTTGTCGTCTCACAAGAGGGAAACGATGTTTAAGCTTAAAACCACCGACAATGCCATGTCAGAATCACCACTCATCGGTTGACTTAGTCGGATACCTGGAAGTGGTCAATATCAATGCCAAGAAACATCATGTTAATCCAACCCCAGGCTAATGTCAAGATGACAGTTGACTTCGGGAAGCACAAGGTCAACACGGTAGGACCGGGTTAACGGATACATGGCATACCTTGATGTAGTGAACATGAAGATAAGCAAGAGTCCGCTACTTGTCAGCCATGATCCCCCACATCGCTCTTGCGTTGATGGACAGCCAGACAGCACAGCCCATGTCCATGATGTGCTCTTTTTGTGTTCGCCGACCAACTCGGAGCGGACTCCGCCGAATGAACAGAAACATTCTCGAATTGAAAAGGTGAATGTGGGTTTCAAGCGGACGCGGGTTCTGGCCCGACGAAGTTCAGGAGATCTGGACGCTCGATGATGGTTGTTGTGGAGAGAAAACCACTTTTGTTTGGCCACCAGAATGTCACCGGATTCTACTTGGAAGCGGCGCGAGGGGGGGTCAGTGGAAGGATGTGGGTCGGGGGTGTTGTCCCTCGGCAGTGACCGAAGAATTTGGGCGGGCCCATCACACTGGAAAGAAAAGATGGACTGTAAGAGCTAATGATGCAGGCACTGTGGTTGGTCAATGATACCCGCTTTGCACCCAAAGGGGCGGCTTTCCATAAGCCAAACATGTAAGCATTTAGAGACCCCCTGGGTCTGTACTTTCCAATTGCCCAATTGCCGTCCATGTCGTCCGCACCTTTCTTCGATTTCTCTCAATCTGCATCACCATATCGCACACTCCGCCGGCTTGCTTTTCGAGGATCGCGGCGAGCAGCCCTATCCCATCTGGAGAATATTCGGCTTGCCACCCCCTTTCATTCGCCTTCATACCCCCCTTCTCGACCGGTGACCATGTCTTCCCACAGCCTACTTGTCGTATCATCGGCATCCTGGCATCCTGCTATCCGTTCTGTTGTCCCAAAGCGGGAGACCGTCCGAGGTATCAATACACTACTCATCACCAAAGAGATCGAAACCCAATTGCCAATCGTGATAGCCGGTGGCCTTGTGTGCTCCGGTCTTACTTGGGTAGTAGCATCCATGTTCGACCATCGAGTCCATAATGATATAAACTTTGGGCCCTACCAATCCTTCTCCCCATCTCCTATGTATTCTGTTGTGAACTAACACTGAAAAATACCTGTTCAACATCACGTTGAAGGTGACAAATAACGAAGACTGAGATCCTCACTACACACACCAACGTTCGCGACATATCCTCCGGGGCATATCCACTCTTTCTCGACGAGAAACTAGGATCACCAAGCACAGCAAACGATCATCTGCCAGCCTCACATAACAACAATCGCCACCTACGGCCGCGATAAAATCCCCGGACGGGGTCCTCATTCAACTCGATGGCGCAAAAACTCTACCTTCAACTACACTACTCAGGCCTCAGCCCTACCACCGAATTTCACTCCCCCACGACAAGCTACAGGACATCATCGTCGTCCTTGTCACCATCCCCAGTGATGGCTGTCGGTACGGTCTTTAGGCCAACCAGACCTGAGGACTGGGAGCCGTATCGGGACCTAATAGCTCATCTGTATACAACAATGAAGCTAAAGGATGTCATGAACGAGATGCATGCAAGGCACAACTTCAAGGCGACGTGAGTTTATGGCTACAGATCAAACTCCTGCTTCAAACAGCTGACAATAATTGTTAGCGAGAAGCAGTATAAGACGCAGATCAAAAAGTGGAGCCTGGACACCAAGTACACCAAGGCTTCTGAATACATGGCCATGATCAAGACCAAGAGGCGACGAGAGAATGAGAGCCCGCCAAAACAGACGCGTTTCATTCTCCGGGGGCGACCAGTGGATCCAAAAGACATCAACCGGTTCGAGAAGCGGGCATCCAAGAAGGGAATGATGAAGGACGAAGAGCTCGCCTACAACACCAAGGGTATGATGCCACCACGCAACAACTACCAATACGGTTGCCGTCAACAACAAGTTAACACCTTTGGGGGTGAAGAAGCAGAGGATATTGAAGATTTGGTCTACATCACTCCATCACCCTCACCAGAGCCAACCTTTTCATCATGTAAGACCCCCACTAACTGACTGAGATTTCCTGACGAATATATGAACAAGACAAAACTAACTTGACCTCTTTCGCAAATAAAAAGACGCTCCTCCCCCACCCCAAACACAATACCCACCAACCGACTATCATCAACAATAGCAATTAATGGGAGTGGCCTCCTCCCACTCCCAACCAACCACAACGGACGATTTGATCGGGGACTGGCTGGCCCGCGGAAGACTTGCTACTACTACTGCTACTAGTTCCCAGGCCTATCAGCACCATCACCAATCTCAGTCAGCGACAGCATACTCATCGTATCCCTCATACGCGCATCATCATCATCAGTACACGACGACGGCGGTTCCCAATACTCATTCACATACACAGCAGCACCAGCAGCACCAGCACCAGCACCAGCACCAGCACCAGCACCAGCAACACCAGCAACACCAGCATCAACATGGTCTTCCTGGCTCCGGTCATAATATCTATGATGATTATGGTAGGCGATGACGAGGAAGAGAGATGGAGATGGAGATGGAAATCACATGAACGAAGCTTCATCAAAAAGCCGAAAACAGATGTTAATCGTCCTCCCACGTAGAAGTCATTCACTTCACTTCACCACCAACTCACCGCCAACTCACCACCAAACAACGCACCCCCCCAAAGCTGACGATGATGACAAACACATATGACCAAGATATAAAGATGTATATATATATATATAGAAATAGATTTTTCCTTCATGAGAGGGATGGATGGATGTTTCATCATCCAATCAATGATACCGCCGTTTTCTTTTTCAAAATACTGCCTACGTTAGCGAGTACGTGAATGTCGTGTAACCCATTATGACTGGTTCCACTGAATTCACAAAGCCAAAGCCAGAACACCGACTGACAAGAACAATTGCCATCATTTGGTCCCTACTTCTGACTAGCGACTTCCGACTCAGGAACGGGAACGGGAACGGCAACTTAGGCAGAGAACTTGTGTATATCTTGTCTACATGTACCGTCCGGCGGTTGTGAAAGTTCCATGCATATTGCTAAGTGTAGTTTAGGGACGGTGGTTTTCAGGGGCAGGGGGCTAAGGGGAGGCGCAGAGGGAAATTATCATGTGCGGATTGTTGTGCTGATGAGTGTTACATGAATGGTCGGATGTATCTGTGGAGGCAATAGACCTGAGAACAACCTTCCTGTTCATCCATCTTGGTTGTCTAGGTCCATGTCAGGAACTGGCGCCTGCACATAAACATGTTGGCAAGTGTAAGAGGTCAATTGCCTCCAGTGTTACAGACTTCGACAGATGTGTACAACAACACAGGTCATCATGGCTAAGGATGAACGTCTCCATGGCACGTTCCACAATTTATGGGTTTCACGAGATGGAAAGCTTTATTTATCTTGAAAATAACGACCGATGCATAAATAATCTTAGGTAACCGATATCAAACAACGACAAACTCCACGACTGCCTTGAAACCAGTGATCCTTTGTCCTTCATCATTCATCCTTCCATGATCGATGTTAAGCCTGCATTACAGCCAACCCATTTGGATCCTCCTTGCTAGTCATTTTCGTCATCTGAATAGGGAAATTATCCCCGTATTTTCCATTCCTCTGAAATTAGGTTGTTAAAAGTCCTCGTCACTTCATCATACAAGTCATGAGTGTACCTTTTGCCGTGGAGCAAAGGTATCAGATCTCTCTTTGTAGGAGAGAGGGTTTATCAAAAGGCCAGTGTGGTAAATTTAGAGCTCCTGCTTGACCTTGTCGCCAGCCTTCTCGGCGCCCCTCTGGTAAGCATCAGCACCCTCCTTGACCTTGTCGCCACCCTTGATGGCCTGGTCCTGGGCGACATCAACACCAATGTGGAGCTGACTCTTGACCCAGTCCCAACCGGCCTTCGCGTTCTCTCCGATCTTAGCAAAGACGGTCTCGGTCGGTGTCGAGGTTCCGTACTTGAAGTAGGTCCACTGACGGCGGGCCAGAGCACGGAGTTCGTTAAGAGTAGAACCCTGGGGGACAGGAACGCCATAGCTATCAAGGTAAGCCTTGAGCTCGCTATCACTCCAGGTATCAAAGGTCTGGGCCCTTAGGCCCGAGTCGGTAGCCTTGGCGAGGTAGCTAGTAACGGAAGCATAAGAGTTACCACCGGCAGCGGAAGCGGAGGCATATCCAGACTGGGCAGCCGCGAGCAGCTGGTCACGGGTAGCACCGGCCGTGTTGGCGACCTTCTTACCAGCGGCATCACCGTTGGCAAGAACGTAGTCCCTCAAGTTGTCGTAAGTCCAGTCATCGAAAGTCCAGGCAGTGTAACCAGAGGCGGCCTTGTGGGCGTGCTTGCGGACAAGAGCGCGGAGCTCATCAGTCTTGGAAGCCTGGGGGACGGGGATACCACGAGCGTCAAGATAGGCCTTAAGACGAGTCTCAGACCACAAGTTGATAGCCTTGTCAAAAGCATCAGCAGCAGCCTGGGAAGTGGCATCAGTGGCCTTGGCGTAGTTGGAGCCGATGTTAGAGGTAGCAGCACCATAAGCCGAAGCAGCAGAAGCAGTGAGGGTATCACCAAGAATGTCGGCGCGGTGCTTGCGGACGAGGGCACGGATCTGATTGAGCTTGGTGCCCTGGGGGACGGGAATGCCGTTCCTGTCGCAGAAGTCCTTGAGCTGAGACTCACTCCAGGCATCGATAAGCTTGTCGGTCAAGGTAGCATAAGCAGCTTGGGCGCTGGCGGTGGCACTGGCCTGCTGCTCCTGCATGCGGAGGTAGGCAAGACGGGAGTTGCGGCGAACAGTAGCAATGAGCTTGTCTCTCTGCAATGATGGTTAATACTTGATGTGATGTTATGCACTCATGCATATCAACTTACGGTGGTGGGCTGAGGAGCAGGAATTCCGTGGGTATCAAGCCACTCCTTCAGGTCAGACTCGGACCAGGTCTCATACAGCCAGTTACCAGGGTAGGCAGCAGTCTCGCCAGCCTTTTGAGCGATGGTGTCGTAGCTGGAACGGGCCTTCTCGAGGAGGGTATCACGCTTGCGGGGCTGGGGGACTGTGATGGTGTCAGTATTTACAAGTCTGAACGATGGTTATGTGCATGAATCTTACCTGGGATGCCGTGATGATCGCAGAACGCCTTGAGCTGGCTGTCGGTCCACGAGTCCAGAATCCAGTCCTTCACACTGAGCCAGGAGTTGTGGGCCTTGTCCTCAGACTCATACCAGGCACCTTGGACTTGGTTGATGAGCGAGTCCTTGGTGGCACCGGCCGAGTCCTTGGTCTCGATACCCTTCTGCTTCAGGTACTCAGTGAGCTTAGCAGTATCCCACTCCTTGTAGGGAGCGACCACCTGGTTATCCCAGTTGGACTGAACGAGCTTCTCAAGCTCCTTGCGGTCCGCGGGTGTAGGATAGGGGACGTCGTGATCGGAAAGCCATCTCTCGAGCTCAGTCTCGTGCCACTTGTTGTAGGCTGTGAAGACGTCAGTTAGCGAGTGTCTAGTGAGACCAGAACAGCGAGAAGATTACGCACCGGCGTTGGAAAACCACGAGCTGCCGTAGACAGCGTCGGCCACGAGGGCCAGGGAGAGGAAAGTCTTTGCGATCCTCATCGCGAGCTGAGTTTAGATGTGCGTGGCTATCGTCGAGGTGAGAAATGAAGATGGTGTGGTTGTAGTGTTGTTGTTGACGATTATGCTCTCAAGAGGTGAGAGTATGTGCTTGGGGTATCAAAGCTGGTGTTCTTACTAGGAGGAGAGCAAGAGAGGAAGTCGACGGAAGAAAAGGTTAAATCAGTAGAAGTTGTTTTGATGTCGGTGTGCCCTGGATTCCAGAAGACAAAGGAAGGCAGCTGCGTTGGTCAAACCAAGGGACTGAAGATTTCTGGTGGAAACGAGGAGGGGCCGTCATGGACGTCACTTCTGCCCAAATTGGTGCCAGGCAGCGCAACCGCGTCCTTGTTCTTTCACGAAACACAACAAACGAGCCACAACTGGCACCACCGCCTGGCAGCTGCCGAGTGTCACCAATTTGGCAGGAACACAAGCATGTCTACAAAAAAATAGTGATAGGCATCCATTATACGCCACCGGTTTCACAGTTCCTTGTATAGCCCCGTGTGATCTACAACTGGCAGGAGCGAGCTATCTTCTCCTTCCCTGAATGCGATGCTCTGTGAAGGTAAAGTGGACGAGTGAGATGGAGGGGAAGCTCCGATACAGTGACGTAATTCTCCCGCGCGGGTTGCTGTCAGTCGAAGCTTGTTTCCGTCTTTTGATTGGCCTCCTTGTCAATCTCATCTCCGTCTGCCTTTGACCAACGGAAAGGCGATGCATCATTCGTTTGCTCTTTCATCCTGCCGTCACATCATCGTGTCACAGGCCAAAAAGGTTCAACATCTTTCAGTTCCAAAGCAATGACGTCATGTTGGCGACAATGTGGTGTTGAGCCCAGACCGTTGGCGCCCAGGCACGCTAACAGGATAAGCTCACTGATCCTAAGTCCTCCCTGTCCCCTAACCCTGGATCAGAACAAGGGTGGTTTGGGCTTTGGACTTAAACAAAAGCTGTCACATTCATCGTGGATGATGGCAGGAATCTCATATGGAAGCTGTTTGTGTTTGCCTCGAATCCATACAGTAATGAATGCAAGCGGCAAAAATGGAGTGTGGTAATCGAGCGTGATGCTGTCGTACGTACAAGTATTCGCAACCACTTTCACCACCAATCTCTTTACAACTCTTCAAAACTGCCTAAACAGTCCTCAACATCACGTTCCAAGACCAACTGAAGCACCAGACATTGTTGAATCAAGACATTGAAAAAGAGAGATGATCTGGAAAGTGGGATGCTTCAGACAGTCAACAATCCCATGTTCATCAAGGAACCTTCAGGATCCAGCGTCGTTCGAGAGTTCGTCCGATATCAAGATGCTGCCGCGTCCTGCAGCAGCATTGCCTGGGCGGAAATTGTCAAGCGTCAAACTACCGGTACCTAGACGTCAGCATTCAGCAGGAGTAGGTAACAGGACATTGCTGTATCCCTTGTATACTACCGGGGCACATCTAGGCGTGCTTGGATTGAACTTCTTAGTGAAGCTGATATCCACTCCAGCCACTCAACCACCATGGAAGCGTCATCGCCCGCAGCTGTCAAAGGATTCTGAAGTGCCATACCTCTGTGGATAAGAATCCATTTTTACGATCCATCTCGAGGTGTTAAGTGGGACGTGTTGAAATGCCATGTGTGTTTTGTGGCAGCGAGAAGAGAGAGAGAGTGATTGTCTGTGTCAACTGAAGACTTGAAAACATTGATGGTTGATACCTTTTGGGCATATCAGCCAAACAAACATGATAAAACTTTATGCTGAGCAACGATGTAAATCCTCATCCGCCAATTTCGAAGGACAGTGCTTTGGGCCATAATAAACAGGCTACGATAGGCCACGCTTCTTACAGTCTTTTTTTTCCGACTTCTGGAATGCGTAGGACCACATCCTTATAGAAGAGTCGGGGAGTGAATGGGAACGAAGTGTCTTCAAATCCACAAGTGGTGTTACGTCTGGAACATTGAGATTGTTCAAAACCAACCGCAATCAAAACTACTCTACACACTACACGAGTTTGTAGCGGTCGAGTGATCTCGTTATGCTTTGTGGATAGATGGTTGAACGAAGTGAGATAGAAAGAGAATAACGCAGCAAAACACCAACAGCAGGGTACCATTAGGAAAGCTCGAGGCAATTCTGTTTCATCAAATCAACACCTCTTCGTGATTACGGTGGAGAAACTCGTTAGTCGGGAGCAGAGACTTTCTGAGCTTCTGTCCAGAACATCATATTCTACATAACCTTTGGGTATCCTATCAGCGATGAAGACACTCCTATTTACCATGAACTTTTCTAGGCCAGTCCACTTCAAAACGCCTCGTCTGGCATAGCAGATCATACCCTGCATGTCTACAGTAAACTTACCGTGTCTTGGTGACTTCGTGCGAGATTACTTCAAGATCAAAGAACCCAGTTATATTGTCCATGGACCGGGTATGGAAACCTGTAGTATCAGCTTCAAGATTGTGTAGATGCTGCTTCCTCCATTAACGTCTCACTAGCACGTAGTGGGGGCGGGTAAAGTGGCGGTTTGGAACAAGTTCTCTACCGGGATGCAGAACGCCCGCGAGGTAGCAACGCTACAATATCACACATTGGGGGGCGCAGTTATTGAACCAGAGACACGAGCAGGTAGGATTCCCTAGGGCCTTGAAGCCTCTGAATTAGTATCGAGTGCATGTTTGGATGGCAATGGCAGGTCGTCAAAATTAAACGCTTCATTATGATACAAGTCATGCCCAACCTAACGATAGCTCTATTGCATGCCAATCTCTATGAACCGTCCATGACCTTGTCATTTGCCTCAAAAGGTCGGTCCTCGCTTTCAGTACGGTAGAAAATGCAATACCATTAAGCATAGAAGTTGACGGTCTGTACACATGGTTAGTAAACAGCAGCACACAAGTACGAGATTTCCTAGGGGGTTTACTCACATCCTTCTTCTTGGCCTGCACCTCGGAGATAGCGTCAACATAGTGTTCGTGTCCGATCTGGTTCTTGCCCATACGGAGGGCAATCATGCCAGCCTCGACACACACGGCCTTGAGCATGGCACCGCCGAACTCATCCGTGCTGCGCGCCAACTCGCCCCAGTTAACGCCGGGGTTGACCTTCATCTTCCTGGAGTGAATCTTGAGAATCTGTGCGCGTGCCTCCTCGTTCGGAAGAGGGAACTCGATCTTGCGATCGAGACGGCCGGAACGAAGCAGAGCGGGGTCGAGAACATCGATACGGTTCGTCGCGGCAAGGACCTTGATACGATCATCAGAAGCGAAACCGTCGAGCTGGTTGAGGAGCTCCAACATGGTTCGCTGGACTTCACGATCACCGGACTTCTCGCTGTCGAAACGCTTGGTGCCGACGGCATCCAACTCGTCGATGAAGATAATTGAGGGGGCCTTCTCCTTCGCTAGGGCGAAGCAGTCTCTTACGAGCTTGGCACCGTCACCGATGAACATTTGCACTAGCTGGGGACCAGCAAGCTTGAGGAATGTGGCATCTGTCTGAGCGGCGCAGGCTCTGGCGAGCAGAGTCTTGCCCGTTCCGGGAGGTCCGTACATCAAAGCTCCTGTTCTCAAAGTCAGCAACGATGGCAGAGAAACGTGTTTTTGTTCCTCGGCAGTTAGACATACCCTTTGGCGCCTTGATACCAATCTTCTTAAACCGTTCAGCCTCCTTCATGGGCCATACGATAGCCTCGACAAGTTCGTCGATCTGCTTGTCGAGACCACCGACATCTGTGTACTTCTCCTGAGGCTTCTCGTCAACCTCCATGGCCTTGACTCTGCTGTCGTACTCGGCGGGCAGCGTATCCAGAATGAGGTATGAATCCTTGTTAACACCGATGAGATCGCCGGGCTTCAACTTCTCGGGGTCGACCAAACCGATCAGCGGGAGGAAAATGGTCTGTCTGGTTGAGGTCTTGATGACTGCCGATTTGCCCACGCGCGTGGCGTCCAAGTCGATGTTGGCGCCCTCTTCCAAGGACTCAGCGGTCGGGTCGAGGTCCAAAAGTTCGACGACGTTTCCTACGAGATACGGGAGTTGTCTAATGAGGCCAACGTTAGTAAGGAAATGTGTGGCGGCTACTTGGGACAAGAGCGCCTGCGAGCCCTGGGGAAGAGGAGGGAATGCTTACCGGTTGTTAGCGATCTTTTCCTGGTTCTCCTTAATCTTGTCCTTCATGGTAGCCCTCTCGTGTGATAACCGCTGGTATTCGCTCTTCATGATCCTGGCATCGTTCTCGAGGAGGCGCTTCCGCATCAAGATGTCCTCTGTGCTCAAACTCAGGATCTCCTCATCTAGGATGTCGTCGGCCTCGGGCTCGGCATCCTTCATCTCGGCATCGCCATCTCCCTCCTTCTTGTTGTTCTTGTCCTTGTCCTGATCCTTCTTCTTGTCCTCGCGCTCGCGGCGATCAAGGTCGTCGAGTTCCTCAAGGGTCGACATGGTTGACGCAGGCGATTACGAATGTGGGGTATCGGTAAAGAAGGTCGCAAGGGCGCAAGGTAATGGATTACTGATCTCCTGTATGTATCCTCCGCGGAATGTGAAAAGGGCCGACACGGAATAGTGGTTGTTGGTGATGAAATATCGCCGAGTTGTTTGCGTTGTGGTTGGGAAGACCGTCGGTCGTGATTGCAGTGGAGGGCGTGGATGGGATGGTGGCAGTTGCGTGGTCGACTTGCGGCACAGAGCTTCGAGTGCTGTGGTTGACCAGGAGCTGGGCTGCAGGCAAAAGCGCGACGTAACAGGACCGGGTACCTAACGCCCCACAGTACTTCAGCTCTAGACCCCACTCTGACCCCAGAGTGAACCAGCCACAGCTGACTAACTACGCGGCATCGACCATCTAGGTTCATGGTTTCACTTTCACTGCGAGATCATTCACCTGCTGTGCTTCATCCAATTTCAATGTTCGGAAACCCATAAACGCATTAGAGGAAAAGCCTTGAGCTTTTTGAGATAGGCATTAGGCAACCGTTGTCGGACTAACAATGCACCAGCGCATTACATTAGAGTACGAATAGGCCGCATACACGACTTTCGTCAAGTATCGAGGATCAACTCCAGTCTCAGGACAATCACAATGCGGGAGGGATCCCGATCCGCTTCAACGCCAATGACCAGCAATAACCACCACTACCACCGCCTACTCGTCGTCCAAGATCCCGCTTGCTATCGGCCCAAAAATCGGTACTTCGTATCTGGAGAATCAGTCAGCTTTTGATCAACGAATCGAAGCTCCGAAGAACATACCTGTCTAACGTGTCGGCGTCCCTATAAGCATTAACAACCAACCATCCGACCAACGCCAAATCCGCCAGAAATAACACCCAGCTAAGGAAACTCGACCAAGAAATCAACAAATGAAGCACAAACAACGCCGTAAAAAGCAGACTGGACTGCCATGCGTGGAACCTAACCGCCAATATCCTCGTTAGCAATCCGTCTTGCCAACAACGTCGGATCATGGGCCGTGAACGTTGATTGGTACTCACCTAACATAATCACTCTTCCGCTCCAAAATCAACAGCAAAATCGCTCCCAGCGGCGGCACCGCCAAATACGCCAAACAAGCTTCATAATCCAGCCTCAGCCCCAAGCTCGTATCAAACTCCGACACCATCCCCTCTCTTGCGCCCAGCGCATTGAAATAGTCGCCCATGCCTCCACCTACTCCTCCTCCACTGCCACTACCGCTCCCATTGCTGAACCCGGCAATGCCACTACTACCGATCCCATTGGCGGCTGCCCCAGGAGTAGCTCCCGGACTCTGATACCTGCTGATGCCCTCGCCTGACCAAGCACGATGTGGTTGCGGGTGCAGCAATGGCGGTGGTGAAACCTGTGCCGGTCGCTGTTGATACTTGTTGCCGCTGCCGGGGGAGTATGAGGAGCGGCGGCCGTAGTCCCATGATGTGCGTGGAGAGGATGTGGAGTCGGGTGGTGAGATGGTGCGGCCATGCTCGGGGGGTGCGGCTTGGTAAGGTGCGAAGTCCATTGCTTTTTGTTTGTTTGTTTTGTTTTTCTCGATGCGGTTGCGCTGTAGGAAGGTGGGTTGGGATGTCTCGTGTGTGCGAGTGTTGGAATGCTCGTTTCGGTTCGTAAGTTCGTTATATCGTAATGTCAGGTATGTATCGTATCGTGCGTGAGGTGTTGGTCTTGTAGCTCGCTATCGTCCCTTACTATGGATCGTTCGTTGGTGGCTGTGGTTTGCAAGTGACCGCGTGTTGCTCTGCGGGCAGTTGGTTTTGGTATTGGTTTGAGGCTGATTCAGATTACCGTTGAGGGTAAAAGAAGACGTATGTATACTCTGCGAAGGAGAGGTTGTAGACGGTGCAAGACGATGTCCAAGTCCGGACGTATTTTGAAGGGTGGGCTGATGAGAGGTCGGTTGAGTGGAGTTGAAGACAGCGGGGACAATGGAGATAGCTTGTGATGGGGGTTTTGACGAACGGGAAGCTTTCGGGAGGGGAAGCAGTCGGTAGCTCGGCGACGCCTTTTTAGTGAGAAGCGGCCAAGATCACCATCATGAAGATGCAAATGCAAGACGTCGAAGGGCTATGCAGTCCCCGTTCGCGACAATGGTGTCTGTCAGCACGGGATTGTAGTCGTACGGAGCTTCCCAACGGTCGATTCTTTCAAATTGTGCTTTTGTGTTGGACAGCAGCCCATGCGGACCAGTGGCTGGATTGCAACGTCCAGTCACTTGATGGTCTGGATTCTGAGAACGATTGGAGAGGGCGGCAATGACAAGGGAGCGAGGGCAGGGGTGTAGCGAACGACTGCAGGGACCACCTGCCTTACACCGGACCTAAACATCAGCGGGGTTGAGCCTAGCTAGACCTCACTTGATCATCAAGGTCCTCTGCTAAGAACTCGGAGTTATATCATTAGGTTGTTCAGAGATCTCCATACCCAACAACCTGCATCGCAAACAACGAAACGATGATTATTTGCACCTTTACCCATGTCTTTGTTACATTGTATTGTACAACAGATCTGTTCTACTCGATTTCTTACAAAGTACCAGCGTCGCATCACCAGGTCCGGCAAGCCCGAGGAATGTAAAGCATCCAGACCTTTGGCGTTTTTGGAGTAGTTTGAGCTCCAGGATTCTTTCGCAAATGGCTTCACGCTGATTATCTCTACTCCTTCTTCTCCTCCGCGGCCTCGCCCTCCTTCTTGGGGTTCTGCTCCTCCTCTAAGACACTTCTGCGGCTCTCCATGGTAAGCCAGAGGCTCTTGCCAGCACCCTCCAAAACGCTGGTAAGACCCATGCCGGCGCTCTGCAACATGTGCACGAGCTGGGCGCGCAGACCCTCGAGGCCGTTCTCGATGCCACCAACCCACTTGATGCCGTCGTAGTCGAAGGCCTTGCCCTCGATGCGACCACCGACGAGCATGAGCTTCTGCAGACCAGACTGGCAGGTGAGATCATAATAACCGGGGTTCTTCTTCCTGCTGGGCGCAGGGAAGGCCGGGGGACTGGGAGCGAGGACGCTCAGGGCAGCACCGAGATGCGCCGGCGACACGGAGGGCAGGGTGAGAATGGCGACAGGTCCGACAAGCAGAGGAGCGAGCTGGCCGTAAACGGTCTTCTCAATGGCCTCCTCGTTCTTGGTAGCCTCCTTCACAGCCTTCCACGCGTGCTTCGACAGATCGTGGTTGTATGTAGCAGGAACCTTGGTACCGGCAACTGTCGTGGCCATGGTGGGCTCCACTGTAGAAGGGTCGAAGAACTCGACGGTCTTGAGCGCAACGTCGAAGATGCGCGTGCGGACAACCTGGAGGTGGATCTTGGAGGTGATATCGGGAGCGCTTTCGGGAACGGGAACCTTGCTGAGGGCAAGGCTCAGCTCTCGCCTTATCGCAGCCCACTCGATAGCGGTAAGGTTGTTGTGTTGGAAGATGAGCATCAGGGGGGTCGAGCGGAGCATCGAGGTGTAAGTGCGCAGAAGTTGCGACTTGCGCGTATCGACGGGACGGGCGCTCGGGGGTTGGGTGGGCGGCACATAGTCGTCGGGTAGCCTGAGGTGGCCGGGGAGTGCGGCGCGTTGTGGTGAGGCCGTCGAGAAGGCGGATGTGGAGGTGGAGGGCATCAACAGGGCGGCCGACCTGGACGAGATTCTGGAAGACTTGATGGCAGAACCCAGGCCGCGGACGGCCGGGCGACTTAGTCTGAAGGACATTTCTTGTTTCACATTGTGTTAATCATAAGAGACGCAGACTGGTTTTCATCTCCGGGGGGCCGGAACTTACTTTGTGAAAGTAGTGAACGAATCTCGTGCTCCGTCAGTCCCCCAGAGTGATAAGTCCCAGTCCCCGTAATCGCGGCCGGGCTGCTGGCGAACAGAGTCCCGAAATTTTGGCGCCGCGTCCCCAATGCCGGAACGCACTGACCACCCGATCTCCCGCTTCTTGCAGTGGAATCATTGCCTGCCGCAGCTCTTTCAAGATGCCAAGACCTGGAAACACTCACCGCCCGCCATTCTGCCTTTCAATTCAGGCTTATTTGCGGTTGCGATCTTCGGCTGCTGGGTGCTGGATCCCTGCATATCTGCCCCGCCGGTGCCCGTTATCGCGGGGCCCTTTGGTGGCATTGGATGCCATCATTGGGGAGAACAAAGCACGGCACTGTAGGAAGCTGTCATTCTAGGAAGGGCGTGTTAACCATGGCATTCCCACTGCCGTGCCGACTTTCCTTGTGCTCGTTTCCGATCCACGAAATGAGTCAACAACAGTCAAATTCTCTTTCTTCTACAGCTCCCCGGAAGCTGGTATTACCCAATTGGCCTCCCTGACAAGCCTGACAACTATCGAGGCCAGCCAAACAACTTTGATCCCGGCACAAACTCCACCTTATCGCATCCAGAACCATGTCGGTGCAACAGCAACAAGCGGCACCGGCAACCGCAACGGCGGCCGAGGACCTCCCGGATGTCAACATCAAGAAGCTACTGACCCGTCTCTGGCCCCTCGGACACCCCGACCCAGTGACACCAGATGAGCTCGCCACTGCTATCTCCTACTTCTTCACCAACCAAATCTCCGATGTCCAAGCCGGCGCCCTGCTCATGTGCCTGCACTTTACCGGCCTCGACCGCAGTGCCGAAGTGCTATCCAAGACGGCCCAAGTGATGCTGAAGGCCGCTGCTCAAACCGACCTGGAAGAGCTTCGTCAAGTCATCGAGAAGCGCGGCAGACAAGAAGGAGCCTATAATGGCGGACTTGTACGTCTGCCAACTTTACCTCTTTCCATCCTCCCTTCCCCCTTCTGAGTGTCTCCCTTCAACTAACAACCACCTCCCTGTCTCCCAGTGCGACATAGTAGGCACAGGCGGCGACTCCCACAACACCTTCAACATCAGCACCACATCCTCCATCCTCGCCTCCTCCTTGCTACTAGTCGGCAAGCACGGCAACAAAGCCTCAACCAGCAAGTCCGGGTCCGCCGACCTTCTCGCCTGCGTCCCTCCCCGCCCGCCGCAAATCTCCCGCATCCGCCCCGACACCGTCTGCAGTCTCTACTCGCAATGCAACTACGGCTTCCTCTTCGCCCCCGTCTTCCACCAGGGCATGCGCTACGTCGCTCCGATCCGCACGCAGCTGCCCTGGCGTACCATCTTCAACCTGGTCGGCCCTTTGGCGAACCCGCTTGACGTGCTCGATCCCGCCGTTTTCCAGGGGAGGGGAAGCAAGGGGAAGTTGGTAGAGGCGCGAATGATCGGGTGCGCGCGTAAAGATCTTGGCCCTGTATTTGCGGAAGCGCTCAAGATGGGCGGGGCGCGCAAGGCCATGGTTGTCTGTGGTGACGAGGAGCTGGACGAGATCAGCTGTGCTGGACCGACGCTTTGCTGGACGATTAAGCCAACCGAGGAAAACCCAGATGGTGAGCCGGTAGTTAGCCATTTCTTGCTGCACCCGAGCGACTTCGGACTGCCGGCGCATCCGCTGAGTGAGGTGTCGCCTGGTAAGGAGCCGATTGAGAATGCGGCGATCTTGAGCAGGATCTTGAACGGCGAAATGCCGGATGATGATCCCATCTTGCACTTTGTGCTGATGAACACGGCGGCGCTGTTTGTGGTCTCGGGTATTTGCGAGGCGGATACGAGTGACATGGGACATGGTGACAATGGGCAGGTTATCAAGGAACGTGGACCGGGAGGTGGGCGTTGGAAGGAGGGTATCAGGAGGGCGAGATGGGCTATCAAGAGCGGCGAGGCGGCGAGGCAGTGGGCCAAGTTTGTGGAGGTCACGAATAGCTTCAGCGCATAAAGTGTCAATTCTATGGTTCTTTGGTCCGGTTAAGTACTGCAGAAGTGGTTAGATGATGTGGTGGTTATAAGGTTACAAGCCTGGCTATATATGGTATATTGTATTTCCGGAAGACCCATTTCTGTTCTCCCGCCATGAGGTCTTAGTTCTCGGCGTTCGAGTAAACCTATGATTCTCCCTCTAATATAGATATTTGGCTCCATCGCGCTTTTACAGAGTCTCACTAGTGACCCTGAAGCCCGTCGCCCCTCTGCCCGCCTCTACCCCGACCGTGACCACCACCTCGACCACGCCCATGTCCATGTCCATGCCTATGCCCACGGCCCCGATGGTTATTGTGGTCATCGGTGTTGGAAGGTGAACCCTCTGCGGTTTCCTATCTGGAGAGGATCCCCTTCACAACTCCCTGCAGCGTGGGCTTACCATCGATCAACAGGTCGTAGATACCGGTCTCTGCTCCCGTGCCATGCTCCAACCACTTGGAAAGCAAGTCATTGCTCTCCTTGGGCTTGACGCTATCATCTCTCGTTCCAACCGTAATGTGCGCAACACGGTTTGTGCACTTCCACTTCGGCTCAGCGGGCTCGCTGCCATCGGGGTTGACGTTCTCGTCGCCCGGCTTGGGAATCAGGCGCACCACGATAGCCATGATACGGTCATCGTAGACCACGCGCTCGAGCTGGACATCTACCTCGCCGAGCTTGCCGTCCGGAGAGTTCGATCCTTCCTGCTCGTTGATGCGCAGATATCTATCCCAAAGCTGGGGGTTCTCCTTGGCACCGGCTCTGTGCATCAGAGTCACATGAAACTTGGGCTGTACGCGGCGTGTGCCCTGGAGCTGCTTGAAGAAGCGGGATTGCCCCGGAATAGCAGCGTCGAACGCCTTCTCGAGAGTGCTGAGCACATCCTTGGTGGCCATGTCGACGGACATGTACTCCAGAGGCCTCTTCTTCTGCTTAGGCTGTTGCTGCTGGCCGTTTTGCTTGGGCTGCTTATTGTTCTTGTTGCCACGATCGGGGATGACGTGGCGCAGGTCGGGTTTGTAGCCATCGAGGGCATATTGGATAGCTTCATCCATTTCTGCGGCAGAGGGAATGTTGGGCATGAACTTGGGGTACATACGATGGAGCTCCTTGATGACAATCTCCAGGTTCTGTCTGCTCCCTACGGAGGGATCGAGGTCGATGATGTCGTCAAAGTCCGAGTCGGGTTTCTGTTCTGGGTCGCAGGGTTCGAAGCGGCTAATGAAGCCCTCCATGATGCCGCGAACCTTGTTCATATCCGAGGCGGCCTGGATGGTCTGATGGTTATCACCTCGTGCAAAGACACGATCCCGGCAAACCTCGCGGACTTTGTCAAGATCATTGTGAACAAAGTGAAGCGCCACAAGGCGCGCGCGGGCATGCTGAATCTTGACGTCGGTGATGAGCTGCTTACGCTCATGCTTCTGCGCGTTGTTGCGGTCGGCAAAGACTGCGGGGACACCTTCATCGAGAATGTCGAGAAGAGCCTTGGTAAAGCGAGGCGGCCGCGCCTTACCCGTGATGTTGTCGTTTTGAACGTGACCCCAGCCAAACAGGTGAGTGAGAGCAAGACCAACTGTCGTCTTTCCACAGCCGATAGTGGCAATAGGCACCAGTATAATATCGCGTTCAACATCAGCCGCAGCTGCTCCTCCTCCATACATGTTCTCAAAGTTGGCAGCATCGGAGCCTTTGAGGTTCTTGAAAGCAAGGAAATCGTTGCGAAGTGCGATGATGCCGTGGTTTTGGTTGTATCGCTTGGCCAGCTGGCGATCACCCTGTAGCCGCTGACGAGCGTAGAGGAGATACTCCTCCGTAATCTTGACGTGCTTCTTGAACTTGGGCGGCTTGTTTGCGATGATGGCCTTGGTGCACTCACGCCACTGTCTATACATCAGATATGGCTCTTCGAACTTGTACTTGAAGAACCAATCCTGGAACGGCTGCTGCCCAGGCTTATACGACATCTTGCATCGGATGACAAAGCCCTCCACATCGCGGCCATCGTGAGCGCCACTCTCAGCTACCTCCTCAAGGAAAGCCTTGACCTCGTCGATAGTGTCGATGACGATAAGGCCAGTCTTGATGAAGCCCCAGTCCTCGGCAAACTTTTGAACGACAGGCGAGGGATAAGTCATGAACTCGGGAAGGTTGAGGTTCATGCCATGCAGATACAGGCCTGCCTTGTCGGGTCCATACGCCAGAATATGCTCCTCGAAGCTGTCGTCGCAGAGCTCTGCCACGGCTGTGACGTTCCGTCTCCTCAACTCGCGTGCGAGATCGGCCTTTGTCTTGCCAATACGTGCCAACTGCTCCTCCAGCCTGCGCTCGCCAGCGGAGGCATGACTGGTTTCGACATCACTACGGTCACCAGTCGAGTGCTTGCTGCAGACAAGCAGTGTGTCGTCGGCAAGACCACTGACGAAGATGATGCAACCGTTCTCCTTCAGCGTGAGTTCGTAAGGACCCTGGGTCCTGGTCCTGATGTTTTCCCACTTGGTTTCTGTGACCTCGTCGACGTTGAAGAACTTGTCGTAGCCTCGGGTGGTGATTTCCGGTGTCCCGTTCTTGTCTCTGGTGGTGAAGAGACCACGAGCATATGTCGGTAGGTCATGCTTCTTGTAATCCCAGTCATGGAAGCGCCACGAGTCAACGCGAATGTTGTCGCGGGACTTGGTGACTTCGTATGTCGTCTTTTTCACTTTGAAGCTGGTCTTCTTCTTGGCACCATTTTCCAGCCCGTTGACCAGGGTCGCCACCTCTTGCACATCCTGGGCGACGTACGGGACCTTGAAGCTGTCCGCAACTTTGCTGTACTCGGTGGAAGCAGTATATTTGGCAGCCAGTGGGCCTCGGAGATCGGTGAGTGGTTCGTCCATGGTTGGGTTGTGTTGTGGTGATGAGGTGGTGAAGGTGCGGGCTGGCGCCAGTGAGAGCGCTGGATGTAGTTGGGGAAGTTTATAGCGGGGGTGCGGAAAGAAGTTTTGGGGTGGATATGATGGACAGAAGCTTCCGGCCTCGACCTTGCAGTGAAAAGGGCTGGAAAAGAGGGTACTGTTCCGAAGCGTAGGATTGACGATTGAAAGAGGAGCTAAATAATGATCAGAGTTGAGAGGTGGAGGTAATTTTATAATGGCAAGTGATTCGAATTTCTTTGCCGTCGCTCCTGCCTCTCGTGGGTCAAGTGTTCGGCCGAACTTGTGAACAAACCTCCGCAGGAAGGGCTGTTGGAGATGCTGTCTCGAAACCCGCATCTAGACTTAGGATGGAATGAGCCCAATGGGACGAAAAAGGGTACTACCCAGCCCTATGCAAATTCATTAGTCACAGGCACTACCAGGCATTTTCATTAGATAATTGGGTCTGAATTACTTTTCGGTGAGTATGTTCACGAAAACGGTTTGACTAACTATATGGTCACCGATAGGCTGATTACAAGGAATGTCTGCCTTGCCGGTAGAGTCATACGGTTGATAGTAGGGGTATTCGTAACGGAATGGGAGAGCATCAACGTAGGCAATCGAAGAAAAAGGCCATGCCATGAACGAGGGACCAACACTATCGACTGCAAGGAATTTTATCCCTAAATGTAGATTACCACCAAGTTTTCTGCCCTCAATGTCTCCATAGTTCATGTTGTTGACGTATTGATGTACATACGGGGGCCGCACGAGTTCGAAGAAACCCTCCCGACATCTGACCAATTCCATCGTGTTCATAGGTATCGTTCGTGTACCTACAACTGGTCGATACGTTCCCCCATTCTAACCTCACCACAAACTCCATCCACATCGATAGACCGTGACTATCGTTCCCTTTCTTACGTACCGTCCGAATGGAATTTGCAAGTTGCGGATGAAATGTCCCGTCCCGTTTAGTGTAAATTTGTTCATACTAGCCTACAGTATTGCACAAGCGAATACGGGGTTCGGGTTGGCTATGGCAAAAGTGGCCTTGAACGCCGGGGGGCAATCGCTGTGCGTCACACGCCGAAAAGATGAAGAGGGCAGGGGTTCGACTGTTCGAGGGAGCGGCGCTAGGATTCTGGTGGTGTTGGAGCGCCCCGCATTGGCTTGACATGTCTCCACTAAAATTTTGTCCACAGGTCTCGCCCAAGTCCATCCGTCTGTCTGACCTGTCTTGACCAAACACCTAAGCTCGACCTATCTTGATACCCGTGGACCGCCAGCTCCGTCTCCCAAGACCGGAAACTACCGACCAAATGTCCAACCCATATCTCCTCGCCGCCGACAGCCCGGATGCGTGTATCGCGCTCCTTCGCGAGAACCCCTCCCTCGCCTCGGGTCAGGACGAACACGGCTACTCCCTCATCCACGCCGCGGCCAGCTACAACCACCTCGACCTCTTGCGAACTCTTGTCAGCGAATTCAAGGTCCCAGTAAACCTCAAGGACGAAGATGGCGAGACAGCGCTCTTTGTCGTCGAGACCGTCGCCGCTGCCAAGGTCTTGGTCGAGGAGCTCAAGCTGGACACCACCATTGTGAACGACGAGGGTCAGACCGCGAGAGAGAAAATCGAGGCTGAGGAGGATTATCCCGAGGTCGCCGAATATCTCAGGGGATTGGAGGGCGAGGCCAGCAACATCTCCATCGCCGTCAATGGCACGACAAACGGAACTACGCCAGCGGACCTCCCCCCGGCTCCCGAGGGTCTACAAGTACAAATTGGTACAATGAACGAGGCGGAGGATGCTGGAGAGCCGGATCCTGAGTTCCGCAGACGGATTGAAGAACTTGCCTCGAGAGAGGATTTCGAGACTGTCGAGGGACAGGCGGCGTTGCGCCAGTTGGTGGAGGATGCCATCCTAGGACCAAGACAGGAATGAGACATTTCGCCTGAAATGCCAACAAGAACTTCTCACTCATGGCTCTTGATCTCCCACATCACATACTCCCCCGACGCTCCTCGAGGCCGGCAGAGAGAAACCTCCGAGTTGTCTCCTGTCATACCCTTGGAGAAGGTCGTCGTACTGAACGAGAACCATGTTTTGGATGGGAGTCCAGCAACAAGGTCGAGAAGCATCTGTCGACACCAGGACGGAGCAAAGAAGCCCTGCCAAGTGACCTTGCAGATCTTGCCTTGCTGGCCGTCGCCAGGGACCTGGTATCGGCAAAGATACGGATCGATCTGGTCGCCCACCTGGATCCGGGGGCTCTGCAGTCGGACGAGGGAGAGCCACTCGTAGAGCTCGGTGGAAAAGTATTCCAGCTCATCTCTGCCCTCTGGCCCGATCGCGTCAACCGGAGGCTTCAACGTCGGCAGCATGGCGTCAATGTTTTGAAGGATACTGGGCTCTGCTGTGCACTTGGTCGGAGAATGTGGCGCGAAGGGATCGGGATTGGGGACTGAGGCGACGTTAGCGGGTTTGCTGTAGGTCAGCTATTTGAAGGAGTTGCCTACCGGTGGAAGAGGGATTGCAAAATAGCCAAGTGATTGGTGTACCAAAAGCGTTCTTGCTCGCATAGATCAGCCTGTCGAATCCCTTTTTGCCTGGGATCATCGATGAACTCGTGAGGTCGATCTCAACGACTGTGATCATGACCTAGTTAGCAACCATCGGACACAGGTAACCTGATGGAAAGAAACTTACCCCATCGAGGTTTCAAGCCACGCTTTCCCTTCACTCCGTCAGGCTTGCCAACAAGGCCTGCCCGTTCGTATGCTTCCTTGTCCAAAAACAGTGTCAAGATGCCTGCATCGTTGTGTTAGCAGTGTATCCATGGTAGTCCTCATTTGTGGATTTTGTGGCGAACCGTTTTTAAGTGTAAACACGTTGTCGATCCCTTTTCTTCCTTCCGACAGCATCATGACATCCCCTAGTGCATGACTTGTTAGTTTCGGCTACCTTCTTCTACCTTCTTGATTTTGAAAGCTGTTCAAATCTTACCCTCCTTGATATACTTGGCATAAAAGTCACCAGAAAGGATGTCGTGCAAGGACATGACCACGCGTTTGAACTCTGGTGCAGCCTTTTCATTCAAAATCTTCTGAACAATCTCAAGGGATTCTTGGGGGATAATGAGTTCGGCCTAGCAGGAGGTCTTAGTGAATGCTTCAAGAATAGCAAAGCAGAATGACATACTCTGTTGATAAAGTCCTGGGCTGCAACCGTTGACCATGGCTTGCTTTTGGTCGGTGGCTGGTTGAGGTCCAGATGGCCCATCACGCCGTATGTGACGAAGCATTTCGACGATTGGTAGACTGAAGGCGCTGGAAACGATAGCATGGTGAATGTGAGATAGTTTCAAAAGCTGCCGTATGGATGGATCTTCGATTTCTGTGCCGTTGTATGAAGCCGTCAGAGCTGCGATTCAGGGCTGTATGGAGCCAAGAAGCTCAACGGTAGTGGAAATTGAAAAGCTGGGGTATGGATTGTACCCCTGCCGTGGAGCAAACAGATGTATGGCCCACCTCAAGGGCACCAACTCACAGCCCTACTGGATCTGCAAGTCAGGGATCTTATCAATGCAAACACACCACATTAAAGATCAAACCACACACCCTCCTGCATGTGTTTTTGAGTAACTTCAACTTCAACTCATGACAAAACCTCACTGATACCACGCAAACCGTTGGAGGAAAGATTAATTTGTACCACGGCATACGGAAGACCATATTTTCGTTATATCTTTTCTCAGCACACGATGGGCCGTAAATGAAGAGCGAAAAACATTAAGCAACCTTCTTCACCAACACCAGATTCCATATCACAAAATGGCCGAAATGGAATATCTCGTCCGTTTCTCCCAGTCTCACGAGACGTTTCGTCTCCCCGAGCTTGAAGCCCTGGCAATAGTAGAAGGCATCGATCTCAAGGTCATCTCATACAGCCTAGAGGTAGGTTTCTTCAAACATCACTCCGAATTGGGAGACGTCCATCCCACGTAACTCAACCACTTCCTGCTTCTCAAACCACCATACCATGTAGTCCCCTTTGCTTGATCCACCTACTAACACACTTCCCAGTCCCCCTTCTGCATAATCTCCCTCCCGTCCCCCCTCGACGCCAAGCGCCTCATCACCCGTTCAATCCTCGTGATCTCCATCCACGAGCTCTGGGGCCACGGGGCCACACTCCCGGACGTCCACTCTTCCGTCCGCTCTCGCACCGAGCCTCTCTGGTCTCAATACCTGTCATGCTCGTTCAAGTTCACCATCGACTCGTACCAAGGCAGTCGCACCAATGACGACAAACTGTCCATCATCAACTCCTTCGCCTACCTTGGGTTTGCGGGCCCCATCAAGATGCGCAATCCTGACGAGGAATTTATCTTGTTTGAGGACTGGCCGTGGAACTCTACCCCGCTTGGGATCGAGAATCCAAAGTATTTTTATTTTGGCAGGTTCCTGGGTACGTCAGCTAGGGAGACCTTGCCCAAAAAGCTGGACTTGAAGAAGAGGAGATATATCTCCACTACCAGCATGGACGCCGAGCTGGCGCTGGTGACGGCCAACATTGCGCTTGCTGGTCCGGGAAAACTGATCTACGACCCGTTTGTCGGGACGGGGTCGTTCCCGATTGCGTGCGCGCAGTTTGGAGCGTTGACTTTTGGCAGCGATATCGACGGACGGTCGATCCGGGGTGACGAGAAGAAGAGGACGCTGAGGGGCAACTTTGAGCAATACGGCTTGACCAGCTGTCTGGGCGGCATGTTCACTGCCGATCTCACCAACACGCCAATCCGCAAAGCCAGACTTGGCACAGAAAAGAATAACGGAGTGAAGGGACGGATCTTCGACGCGGTAGTGTGCGACCCTCCCTACGGGGTGCGCGAGGGACTGAAGGTGCTGGGCGTCAAGGACCCGGAGAAGTGTCCGTGGGTGATTCCCAAGGGCATGGAGATGTACAAGGACCCGGATTTCATCCCGCCCCGGAAGCCGTACAGCTTCTTGTTGATGTTGGATGACATCTTGCAGTTTTCGGCGCAGACGCTGGTGGATGGTGGACGACTGAGCTTCTGGATGCCGACGGCGAATGACCAGGATCAGGAGATTCCGGTGCCGCAGCATCCTTATATGGGGGTTGTTGCTGTTTGCGTGCAGGATTTTAATAAGTGTGAGTTGGCACGCCCCCGTCCCTCAGTCGGATGAAGATGACCTGTTAGCAGATTTACTGATTTTTTTTTCTGAAGGGTCCCGACGACTAATAACATACCGCCGTGTTCCCGACGCCGAAGTCGAGCCTGCGGCTATCCAGGCCTATGAGCAGGCCAAGGCAGAACGGACCGTTGAAGAAGGAAAGACGGCGGACGACCTGAATCCCTTCCGCAACGCCTATTTCAAGGGGTTCAAGAACTGACTCACATGTCAACACTATTTTGCCAGCCAGCTTGTTGCATACGGGTACGCACTTATACACGCATATATGTGTATGTTCTTCCAGTCATGTTCCACATTGAGATACCCCCTAAGAATTAAGACATGTACAAGAAATGAGTCGTGATATACGGCGAATCCTGTTCGGATTGGCACTCGCCCTTCCACCTTCAGTCCCCGGCCATGCAGACACTACTCCTTATACACCATTCATCCACCTTGACGTGTAATAAGAGACTCATCATGCCTTGCGGGACTAAAATCCCAGACCTTATTACCCCTTGACCCTTTACTGACTCCCCATAACAATGCGTGCGTAAGGTGTGTGTGTGTATGTAAATGTCTTTCCTCGTCCATCTCTGTTGCCCGTCAAGAAAAGATTGCCCTCATGCCCCCTGAAAGAACCCCAAAACATGTCGAATAAATAAAAAACTGATATCAGACAAAGATCCAGCAGTAACAAAGCAATAATAGCAACATAGGAAGCAAATGGATGTGGTATGGAAAAAAGAAAAAAAAAAGAAAGCCGACCAATGCAAATAAGAATCCACCATGAGTTGAGTCAATCGGCAGCGTCGCTTGTGGGCGTTCGCTGATGGGTTGTTTTCGGGAATTAATTCCATCCACCCCGCCCACAGCCACGTTTTCTCTGGGCTTGATTTATGTCTCTGGATCATGTCCCAGAGACCAGATTCCCCGAGAGCCTGCGTCGATTTCAGCCCTAGCAAGAGCCGTGGAATATTGCCGACCTTCCAATATGACGTCCCTGCGTCGTCTCATCTGAACTCCATTGCGCCAAAGCACCCTCTACTCTCAACGGGATTTAGTTCCAGGTGTTGGAACCTGCGATTGAACACACACCGTTAGCAGTAGCCCCCACGCACTTTATAGATCGGAAACAAGGGAGAATGGCTTACTTTTCACTCTTGCTGTGAAAGTAGATTCCCTCGATTTTACCATGAATCTGGTTGAAGCAGATGTAGTAGAAGCCCTCAAAACTGGCCCCGTTGATGGTTTTGACACGATGATTCGGGACCAAAAAACTGCTCCTTCCATCGCATGAAAATGTATTCTTTCTGTGCCGGGTCCTTGATCTGAACGCCGCCCCTCTGCGCGGTTCTGGCGTACGGTCTGAACGCGTCGGGGAACTTTTTCCAATGGTTGAGATCGATCTTGTCATTTGCTCCCCATTGCGGATGTTGCGTGATGAAGCTGTAATGTGGGCCGATGATTTCGCCTTCAAAATATGTTGTCAAAGTCGGGTGGGTGTCAGTAAGACCTAGACAAGCAGCTCCCGGTTAGCATATTTCGTCCCGTTGCTTTTGCCTTTTTGATTGTAACACAAGAAGTGCCACCTCCCGCTACGTACCCTGAATCCGCAGATAGCCGCATAAGAAGGACTCGCGGAGATCAACGTGCTTGATTTCCACTTCCACGTCATATCGTGATCTCTCCGACTTTTGCATCCCTGAGAATTTACTGCCTGGGCGAAGATAGGATGAAGGCGTGGTCGGTATCATCCTTGTCTGGCAGTACTCGTAGCTGAGCCCTGCGAGCCCATAATCGTTCACCCAAGCTGCGTCATTGCCAGTCAAATCGACTTCTTCTACTTGGCCAAGAGTCGTAGCACTCGGCGCGACAAGCTCGTCATCTTGTTTTCGACTCCGGATAAGCCCATGTGTCGAAAATGGCCGTATGTTCGACTTAATGTTTGGCGCTCTGTTCGCCGTAGTAGTTGGCACCCTGTTCGTAGTAGCAGTTGGCACCCTGTTCGTCGTAAGAGTGCGGTTGGCTTGTTGGATATGGACCGCATGTGCGGAGTCACTAGCGGCCCCGGAAGCTTCGTCGTCAGTCTCGGTCCGCAGCTTGTGGGCCTCATCTGCGTCTCGGCGGGCGTCCCGCATGCGTCCGGGTCCATGATCCAAATCCACATTGCGGTTCCCCTCCGATTGACTTTCCGGAGACAATACGGCCGGCTCCGATCTCTCGGTATCATCGGCCGCCGTTATCGTGGGAATCATGGGTGGTGTAGGATAGTGTCGGTGTGGCTGCGAATGCACTTGGGAGTCATCGGTATCAGGACATGATGAAAATGGGTACGGGCGTGGCGATGGGGGATCGATTGCGTCGTTTGGAGGGGAAGCTCGAGGCATGCTGGGCTTGGATGAATGGATCTGATATATTAATATCAATCTGGACAGACGCCCAAGCTTCTATGCAATGTAAATTGTTGTGCTGATGACAGGACGGAGATGCGATGCGTCGGCAGGCGTGACACACTGTCCTGCGTCTCGGTATCTCTTGCGGGTGGAGCAGGGCTTCTGCGGATGATGCAGTGGAAATGTCGATGACAGCGGCAGGTGGGGATGACAAGAGTCACACCAAAGAGTCGAGCAAGAGATGCGATCTCTGCGAAAGTTGCAAAACCGAAGCGTTTGGATGTCGATGTGGGAGCTTGTAAGTGTAGTTAGAAGATCCCCAGGCTTAAACCAAGTGACAGACGTTCCCGGGCCCAACCAATATCGTGACGGGGGTGACTGGAATGATGTGTGAGTGGAGGACCAGGGCCCCTTCAGTGCAGCTGAAGTGGACTAAGACGACTGGAGTCCGGTCCGCGGTCCCAGTGTGTCTGTACTGTAGTGTGTATGCAGACGTGTAGCGCTCCGCCACTCAGGTTGCAAGAACGAAGAGGTCCTACAGGCAGGATGAAGCAGTCGAGCAGGAAGGAGACAAGAAGCGGTGGCAGACTGGCAGTTGACTTGTTGCCTTCGTTGTCGTTGCGGGTTGGCTCGATCACTGCTGGCAACAAAAGGAACAGACTGAAGGACCTCGGGCCTCGAAATCCCAAAGAAGGAAAAATGTCAAGCAACCTCCAGCTCAATGTCCAAAAAAAATGTGCGAGATGCGAAACCAGGTGGCAGGTGACAGCGGGAAGAGATATTGCTGGACAGCCAGTTTGGAAGGTGCGGTAGCAATGAGATGCAGCTTATAATAGTCGCGGGAAAGAAAGATGAGGGCAATGACGATTTTCTGGGTCCGGAGTGATGGCGCTCTGCCGTCAATAATGTCAAGGTGGAAAGTATCGCTCTAGCAAGACTGCCACGGACTCCTGCCCTCCGCCTTGTTAGTGGGCACTACGATGGTCCCCAGGTTCCGCCCGCTCCCACTTTCCACTCTGGATTGCCCGTGATGAGCGTGCGCGTGGGTGGGTGGGTGACGGGCAGACAAAGGTCAAAACTGGCTGGCGGTATCGGCCTCCCACACTTTCTACTTGGGTCGCCATGTCGCTTGCCATTGTACCTACCTCTCGGCGCCAAAACAACACACATGTACAGCATGCGATGCAACTGCCACCCACGCACGCCGTGATGCCAAGCGGATTGGATGTTGACTGTGCGCTGCGGGATTGGGGGAAGCTCTGCCGAGCCAACCTGGAAAGAGGTGTCCAACGGCGGGCATGCAGTTTGGCGGTGTCGACAGTGGCTTCAGGGGTTCGAGAGAGCCTTATCGGTGTGGGGACACCTCACGTCAGTAACCCCACCGAGGTAACTTCCTCCAGATACTGGGACCCTTCCTGAGCCTTCCCAATACCGTTGCACATGTCCACCATCAAAAATAGGATAGATCGAACTACTCCAACTGTTTGTGCTACTCGAATTCACCATAGGCTGGCGCCATTTCGCATCGGATCTGTCTCGGAAGGAAAGTCTAACCCGCGATACTCGACAAAGAGTGCGGACTCCAGTTACACAGCATAACCGGTCTACCGCCAGTGACAGCCCCCACTGGCGATAGCAAAGTCTGATTGATTAACTTTTTCACCTCGACATGTACGGGCCCTCTTACTGCTATATAGTTGGCATCCAACCTTGTCACTTGATCAATCGTGATTCATCTTTAGCCATGCCAGGTGTCTGTCCAAGTTGGAATCCGATTTGCCCCGCGAATCTGTAGAGCGGCGTGCCTCAGAGTTGCTTCGTGACGAGATGTTGGTGTTCCAAAACTCGGGAACACTCGATCTCCGCTTGTAAACTGCATCGTGTATCATGCCTCACCCCGCTTGGTTGGTGAATGCCAATGGCTGACGCATGGAAGCGGCCATGCCCCTGGTGTTTCTCAGGTTCGGGGAGCAGTGGAGCGGTTGGTCGATATTGTAGACAATTTTGCCAGTCCTTGAATTTCCTTGTTAAACCCAGTTTTAAGAAACCCGTCTGCGCCGCTAATAGATAGAAAAGAACGCCTTCAGAAAACGCCACATTATGCCACAAGAACCTCTCCTTTCGTTGCTGAGGGTGGATATCAAACTCGGGGTATTCGATCGTGTCCGCGAGGCAATTAGATGGGCTTGATCTTGAAGTGCAAGGCGATAAGACTGAACACCAGCGCCTTGAGGTCCTGAACGAGATAGTAGAAGACGCGCAAGCCTTCTGGGTCGGCCGAGTCCGTAACATCGTTGATCGATCCAATCTTGGCAGTCTATGACCCGTATTAGCTCTGAATGTTCTGCAAAGATGCAGTCCATGACTGGCGGACGCACCTCAAACGAAATGTGGTCGTTTCCGAGGCGGATCTCCAGCTCCTGCTTTCCGTCCTTGTTCTTGGTCGGCCATTTCTCATCGTCTTCCCTGTTGGCTTGTCAGCAGCTGCCCAAAGTCGTTTGTATCAAAGGGTAAGCAAGCTGTCGTACTTCATAATCTCGCTGTCCTTAATGATGCGCTTGATCTCGTCAATGACCAGAGAGCTGACACACACTACCAGAGATCCCCGTCAGCATATGAATTTCCCCGGCCGGCCAAATGGTGTTTCCTACTCTCTTTCCTGATCAGACTGTCGTTACGATAGTTGGAGTTGTTGGCATATCGGGCAGTGGCGCTGCGTCCGTCGCCAAGAACGCGAAAGTCGAACTCTGTAGTCGTGGCAGTTTAGCATCGTGGTCGGGTGAACGTGGGAGCTTGCCGTCTCGAGTCGCCGATGGCTGAACACACCTAGGAACTCGTGGCCGAAGCGGCCCGAGTGGCCAGAGCTAAGTCTGTAGTTAGCATACTATGTCCAATCCCTAAATAAGAACGGTAAATGTTTGCATACTAGTAGCGCAGATAGAAGGGTTCGTTGGCGGCTGACATGGCTGTTTGATGCTTCCGTCAGTAGGCTTTGCAAGACAGAAGATCCAGCCTCTGGCTTGGTTCCTGTCGCTTTGGATGGGCAACCTTGAAAGTCGCGCCCGCGCGGCCATGCTCCAGTGACATTGGCGGGGCACCCGGCCCCATATTTGACCCCAGCTTGGCCCAGGGGTATTGTTTGGGCTCCAGGCTGACTTCGGGTTCACGAGCCTGCCTGGCACCTGGTAGCGGACAGCGACACGTGATGCTCCTAACTGTTGTGACAAGCTGGCAGATGGCAGACTCGGCCAGGAGATGGAGGCTTGGTGAGGCCGCGAGGGTGTCGTGGGTCCGTGCTCCCCAGTGCTGTTGCGGCCGGCCAGATGCCACATCTCCCAGGGGGCCATCTCTGGATATTATTGACCGACCTATCCACGCTGGCTCTTCGTTCCAGACATCAACAACAAGCACAGGTGATGCACCGCTCTCTCACCTCGCCGGCGCACTCCAGACAACCCTTTCATTGCGCAGCCGTCTCTTGATTTCCGCCCACCACGACCCTGTTTCAGTCCAGGGAGGAAAGCCCATCCAGCACGAGGCCAGCTCATCGTCACTCCCGTCTTCAGGAGCTCGAGGCAGCCACCCACCACACACTCAGTTCATCCATTTACTAGCACCACCTAACCTACAACGGGGCAACAACTTTAAGCACACCCGCCCCTCTCTAATTCCCGACCCTGACTCCTCTTCAGGACTCCCGGCCAGCTACCTCTACTTTCTACCAAATTCAATCTCAACTTTATAATCAACAAGTCGGCCCGGCCGCCGCCAGCTCTCCAACATGTCGTTCCTCGAAAATGCGTACAGCATGGTCAAGGACAATGCCGTCGATGGCACTCCAACCGTCCAGGAGCTCAAGACGCAGCTCGAAAAGGGCACCGACGAGAGCAAGATCGAGACCATGAAGCGCATTCTTACCATTATGCTCAATGGCGACCCCATGCCCCAATTGCTCATGCACATTATCCGATTCGTAATGCCTTCTAAATCTAAGCCCCTGAAGAAGCTCCTATACTTCTACTACGAGATCTGCCCCAAGCTCGATGCCCAAGGGAAGCTCAAGCAGGAGTTCATCCTAGTATGGTAAGGCACTCCATGTCCGTCTGGGCAGGCTGGCCCGCAAGCTGACCAGCCATTGCTTCGCAGTAACGGCATCCGAAACGACTTGCAACACCCGAACGAGTACATCCGAGGCAACACTCTGCGCTTCCTCTGCAAGCTGCGGGAAGCCGAACTTCTCGAGCCTCTGCTCTCCTCAGCCCGCGGCTGTCTCGAACATCGCCATGCCTATGTCCGAAAGAACGCCGTCTTTGCTGTCGCCTCCATCCACCAGCACTCCCCATCGCTTATTCCTGATGCTGCGGACTTGATCTCCACGTTCCTCGAAGGCGAAAGCGACCCAACCTGCAAGCGGAACGGTTTCGCCGCCCTTGCCAGCATCGACCACGACAAGGCTCTTCTCTATCTGAGCACCGTATTTGACGGTATTCCCAACGCGGATGAGCTTCTGCAGTTGGCCGAGTTGGAGTTCATCAGGAAAGATGCTGTTGTCAACACTCAGAACAAGGCGCGCTACCTCCGTCTGATCTTTGACCTTCTGGAAGCCAGTGCCTCGACCGTTATCTACGAAGCCGCCTCCTCGTTGACGGCTCTCACCAACAACCCTGTCGCTGTCAAGGCTGCTGCCAGCAAGTTCATTGAGCTTGCGATCAAGGAGGCCGACAACAATGTTAAGCTCATCGTTCTGGATCGTGTTGACCAGCTTCGTCAAAAGAACCCCGGCGTCCTGGACGACCTGACCATGGAGGTGTTGCGTGTTCTTTCTAGCACGGATATCGATGTGCGGAAGAAGGGTCTCGAGATCGCTCTGGAGATGGTCTCAAGCAAGAACGTGGAGGAAGTCGTTCTTTTGCTCAAGAAGGAGCTGTCCAAAACGGTTGATCAGGAGTACGAGAAGAACAACGAGTACCGCCAGCTTCTCATTCATTCCATCCATCAATGCGCCATCAAGTTCTCCGAGGTCGCCGCCAGCGTCGTCGGCTTGCTTATGGATTTTATTGCCGATTTCAACAACAACTCTGCTGTTGATGTTATTAACTTTGTCAAGGAGGTTGTCGAGAAGTTCCCTCAGCTCAGGCCAGCAATCATTGCGAGACTGGTAGAGACACTGAGCGAAGTCCGCGCTGGCAAGATCTACCGCGGCATTCTCTGGATTATCGGCGAGTATTCGCTCGAGGAGAAGGACATCAGGGACGCTTGGAAGAGAATCCGGGCGAGCCTAGGCGAGATCCCGATCGTAGCATCCGAGCAACGGTTGTTGGATAATGTTGATGGTGATGCCGAGGAGAAGGAGAAGGAGCAGGTCAATGGCTCAAGGGCAGCGGCCACTGGCTCACGCAAAGTCCTTGCTGATGGCACATACGCTACCGAAACTGCTCTTACCAGCCAGTCCACTGCTGCCGCACGCCTAGAGGCTGTCAAGGCTTCGTCGAAGCCCCCTCTCAGACAACTTATTCTTGACGGTGACTACTACCTTGCCACCGTTCTCGCTTCGACCCTTACCAAGCTTGTCATGCGTCATGCCGAGATCTCCTCGGAAGAGGCTCGCACCAATGCCCTCCGCGCTGAGGCCATGCTCATCATGATCTCGGTCATTCGTGTTGGCCAGTCGCAGTTTGTCAAGGCTCCCATTGACGAGGATTCCGTGGACCGCATCATGAGCTGTGTCCGTTCCCTTGCCGAGTTCACTGCGCACAAGGAGTTGGAGACTGTTTACCTTGAGGATACCAGGAAGGCGTTCAGGGCGATGGTCCAGGTTGAGGAGAAGAAGCGCGCGGCAAAGGAGGCCCACCAGAAGGCAAAGACTGCCACTCAGGTGGACGATGTTTGTCTCATCCGCCAGCTTTCCAAGAAGAACGTCACGGATGGTGCTGACACCTTCGACGCCGACCTCGACCGTGCCACTGGCGGTGACAACAGCGCGGGTGAGGACCTCTCTGGCAAGCTTAGCCGGGTTGTCCAGCTTACTGGTTTCTCCGACCCTGTCTATGCTGAGGCATATGTCAAGGTTCACCAATTTGACATTGTACTAGATGTACTACTTGTGAACCAGACAACCGAAACCCTCCAGAACCTTACCGTTGAGTTCGCCACTCTCGGCGACCTTAAGGTTGTGGAAAAACCCACGAGCCAGAACCTTGGACCCCACGACTTCCACAACGTTCAGTGCACCATCAAGGTCTCCTCCACGGATACCGGTGTCATCTTTGGCAACGTTGTGTATGAGGGTGCTCACTCTACTGATACCCACGTGGTTATTTTGAACGACCTGCATGTTGATATAATGGATTACATCCAGCCGGCCACTTGTACCGAGACCCAGTTCCGCACCATGTGGACCGAGTTTGAGTGGGAGAACAAGGTCAACATCAACAGCAAGGCGAAGAGCCTGCGTGAGTTCCTTGATCTGCTCATGGCATCGACAAATATGAACTGTTTGACGCCCGAGGCCAGTCTTAAGGGTGACTGCCAGTTCTTGAGCGCCAATCTTTACGCAAGAAGTGTTTTCGGTAAGTTTATACATGCTTCATCCACCCTCCTACCCATCGGTCTTGCCGACAGCATTGCTAACGTATCTTCTCTCATCAGGCGAGGACGCCCTAGCAAACTTGAGCATTGAAAAGGAAGGCGAAGACGGCCCCATTACCGGTTTCTTGAGGATACGCAGCAGATCGCAAGGGTTGGCCCTCAGTCTTGGCTCCCTAAAGGCACTGAACAAGATCGGTTCTGCCGCTTGAACAAATTTTCTCTCCGCATAGATGAGATGGAAAAAGATGATGTATGTGGTGGTTGGGTGGGTTGTATAGCGATTAATTCATCACTTGATATTCTTTTCATCTTTACGTTTGGTTCAGTTGTCGTTATCACGATGTTCTCCTTACACATCATGTAGTCAATGTTTTTATGGAAGAAAAGCTTCATGTCATTCATTCCTTTTCCCCTTTCTGCCACTAAACAAAACATAGGGTTACTTACGGATGAGGAAGACAAAAGCAGACAGGATGAACTCCAAAACAGGATGGATTATGCAGAAGAAATCGAGACAGATTTACCCACGAACTTCAAGCATCTGAAAGACCAGCCAGCCATGATGCAGTCATTGTAAATACCAATCGTCTTAAAACAATCTCAAGTGAACATCCACATAAGTGAGGTTTGCATTTTCATTCAAATCTACCTATCCGTCCCGTCATCAACCATTTATTCCATCAACATCATTCCTTCTTCTCCCACCTCCCTGTTCATGATACACCCATCCACCCATCCGATATATGATTACCTATACAAGAAGCCCTCTCTCCTTTCCGCCAAGCGTTTTACCCCCCTTTTCCGCGCGTGAACAAAAAGAATCATTAAATAGTAACAGTAAAAAGGCCCATCCAACTAAGAAGCCGCCCTGGATTATTCGAAGAGTAGGAAGAAGAAGAAGTAGTACTAGTAGTAGTAATAACAGTACTAGTAGGTGAAAAAGAAGAAGAAAAGGGGGGTATATAAGGTATCGTATAGCATTTTTATTCCAATCATCCCCTTTTGGTTCCCGCCATTGATCATGACATATGAAAGAAAAGAGCTGTGAAGCTGTGAAGTTTTCGCCCAGGTATCCAATAAGAGCGTGGTATCGTAATCGTTCTGTAGCGGTTGATGGAAGTAATGAAAAATGTGATTATGCTGGTGGTGGTGGTGGTGTCGAGACTTTAAAGGGTCGTGTCCGAGTCGAAAAGGGTCGACGCGTTGAGTTGGTGTCGTGGTATTAGAGTATATATATTTTGAGATGTAGACGGGCAGGTCAATGTTCCTGTTGACAGTTGTTCATGGCCTGATACTGATGATGATGATGATGATGATGATGATGATGATGATGATGATGTCATGATGATGATGATGATGATGATTACTGATGATGATGATGATGATGATGATGATGATGATGATGATGATGTCGATGATGATGATGATGATGATGATGCCGCACTCTCTGGCGCCCGCGCCATGTCGGCTCAGCTGTTCTTGACTTCTGATGAGAAGGAAGGAGCGGCCGGCCCGCTTGCGAGTGGGCAACCACCCCACAGCCACAATCCCCGTTACCGAGGCATCGTCTCAACTCGCCATAAGTATAACGACAGGAACCGGTCAGTCGCAACATGTTCATCTGATCGCTGTCGACTAGAAGTAGCTGTGGCCGTGTTGTTCGCCGTCGCCGTCGCCGTCGCAGGCTGTCGTTGTCGTTGGTGTCTCCTGGAGCTTCTCCTGAGCGGAGGCGGAGGCGGAGGCGGAGGCATAGGGTTGGCAATGGCGGAAACTCTCCGGTCAAACTCCGCCGCTGGTTCACAATGTAACTACCGATTGAAAACCAGGGCGTTGACAATGTTTCCTCGCTTCCAGCCTTGGTCGGGGAGGGTGGAGGTTTCCTTGAGGATCTTGCCCATGTAGACTAGGCGGACCTTCTTGTCGGAGAGCTGTTTAAGGAATGGTTAGCTACTGTATCACGTTGCATAAAACGGGGAAAAAAAATGGGAAGACGGGATGAAGGGAAGGGAAAAAAGCAAAAAAAGGAGAAAAACGTGCCTTGGCCTTCTCAGCAACCTTTCTCCCCAAAACCCGCACCGAATCCCCCTTGTCAACTTGCACATTAACGTCCTTTGACCCATCACTCAACCTCGCGCGAACGGTGATCAGGTCCTTGACGTTCACCACCGCTTTTCCCTTCTCCTCTCTCCTGGAAGAGGCCTCATCACCGCTTTCCAAAGCCTCCTGGCTGCCTTCAGGACCAATCTCTCCATCAGTCACCACCGACATGGCGCCCTTGGTATCCGTCGTGTCTGCGTATCCATCCTCTTCATCTTCAACCTCGGAGGCTTCGGAGACCGGTCGACTGTTGGAGATGTTAATGGGGTCTGAAACGACATGTTCCGGCAAGGAGTAATAATTCCCCAGCGAATCGTAGGCCCCTCCTTGCGCCAGGTCGCCGGTGGGCAGCGTGATCTCGGCCGCGGAGAGGATGGTTTGGGCTGTTGCTAGGGCTGTTGCCCTGTCGTCTTCTTCCTGTTCCGCATCACTATGACTCCCCTGTCCCTCCCCTTCATAGTCACTGGCTGCTGCAAGCGTTCCGTCACCATTTTGGGCAGCAGCAGCATCCTCCTGCGCCGCCTGATGCCACAAGATCTCCAGCGCGGCATGAATAGTCTGCCACACCTCCTGTCTGCCCGTGACTCTGGTGTCGAAGAACTCGGCCCGCTCACGGTCCAGAGTGGCGCGCGTCCAGACTCGGTGCTCACTTATCCACTCGTGTCGTTTGAGCGGTTTGTTGATGTGTTGGGATAAGGGGTGGTTTCGAAGGGAGGAGTGACGGCGGCTTTCACGGTCTCCTCCACGATCACCACGGTGTTGAGAGTGGCGACGAGACTGTCGCCGCTGTGCTCGTTGTTCTCGTTGCTGGTTGGAGTATGATGTTGTCGCCCCTACTACTGAAGGAGGGTGAGAAGAAAGAGGTAGTCGGCGGTCTTCTTCATTGGTTACTGAGCCGGCGCCTTCTATGCCGCGGAGTTGTGATCCTGCTGGTGTCCCGGCTGCTGTTGTGGGAGCTGGTGAACGCGAACCTCCCGGACCTCGACTTACTCGACGGGCGCTGTTGAGTGCTCGGGAAGAGCCGGAGGTTCTCGATGCGCGGCTGCCGGCTGGGTAAGGGGCTGTTACGCCCTCCTCGGAGGAGGAACGAGATATGCAGCAACCCTATGAGAAGAAAAAGGCAAGAGTACGTGTTAGAACAGAGACTTGGTAAATCAGGTGGGAGGGAATTGGAGCCTGGATTAACAGGATAGGAAGGTAGGTAGTCGTAATACACACCATGTTTTTTTTAACTGTTTGAGATGGATGATAGTTCCCAATATGCCGCTAAAAACAAGATTCTCTCTGTCTCTCACTCTTTCTCTCGGATATTCTATATCCTAGAATAGGTGATATGTTGTTTTTTTAATCCACCTTTCCCGCCCCCCTTTGTTGTTGTTCCTTCTTCCTTTTCTCTGATCTGATCTGAACCTTCAACAACCTTTAAACTGATTTCACAGTCTGCCTAGGTGCCACCGCTCGCTCTGCTCGGGTTATTCCAGCTGCCTGGATAGCCTGTTCATGACGGCCCGGGCCGGCGATTGGCCTTGAAGGCGCCAACGAATGTCGTCGTTTCGTAACGCGCAGTAGACCCGTTTGAGAGTTTTGCGCCGGTTGAAAAAAGGAAAAAAAGAGATAAAAAAAAAACACACACGAGGCGGTATGCACAAGCCGTGCCAGAAATGGATGTTTCCCCTGAATTGCGTGTCGTATTCGTCCCGTTCCGTCCTTCTCGAACGTCTTACTCGATGGGTCCCGGCCAGTTACCTGCGGATCTTCCCTTACCCCCTTTAGGTCGGCAGTTGTTGACGTCTGGAGGGAGCCTCGTTGGACCTTGTGAGGATGAACAAATCGAGCCAGAAAGGATATGAGGAAAAGGTGCTGTCAAAGTCGAGTTAATTGTCAAGTTGTCGATTCTTTGACCCTTTCCTCTCGAGTGTTAAAGATGGGTTTCGGCCCTGGCAGTTCCCTGCTCGCCCGTTAAAAAGCTCCTCCGATGCTGCACGTCTCGGTCTCGGCAGGCAGGCACTTGTGGTGTGTTTGATGCTAGGGTGAACCCCCGCAGGCCGATCTGTTGCGCGGGGGTTATGCCCTGTAAGGGTCCCCGTCCCTGACTAAAAGTTGCTGATGCGCGGGCTGCTAGCGTGGCCGGCCGAGTCTGGGGCTGTTAAGTCCTTGCTAGGGCCTTCCTGGGCGTTCTCGCGGTGAGAGGGCTTCGTTTCACTCCCTTGAAGGGTCCGTCAGGGTGGTGGTTGGTGGTTGGCGGTGTCTCAGACTGTACCTAAGCCGTGGATTGGCTGAAAAAGTCGAGCTTTTAAGAAGAGTAGAAGGAATTTGGAGAAGAAAGGGAATTCTAGATCTCAACCATCCCTTACGGTCTCGGGATAAGGGAACGGGCGGTAAGGATGGGTGGATAAATGAAACGTGCTAGGCGAGGACTAAACGAATTTCATATCATGACGAATGCGTGTGCGAACTTCCAGACAAGTTTATGACACGGAGAATGACGTTAGAGAGGGACTTTGTCATTGTGATGCGATCCCGTCCCGTCACACTGCCGGCCCGGTAAGATCATGGCAAAGCTAGGGGGTGAGCTCTGCCGTTATCTAGTGTAAAAGCCCGAGCTCCCGTCACCCGTCTCCAATTCCCTGACCTGACGATCTGATCTGGACTGTGTTGTCGTGGATCCCCTTGACTAAATCCGTCTTTTCCTACATCAATGAGGTGGCCATACAGCCCGTCCAAGATATGGCCCATATCATGAATACCTACGCAGCAACAAGACCATAACTGCCTTCTTCCGCAGGATATTTACACGGCGCTGTTGGAGTACAGACCCGAGCACGCCGACTTACCGGCTCTTTTTAGTGATGGAAGCGTGTTGCATTAGCTCTGCGAGAGGTAGGGCACGAGGGCACCTGAGCATGAGGGAAGTCAGGCCACCTGGTAACGGATGGGTTTGCGGGGAACGCATCGTCAATTGATCTTTTAGGGACACCATAAGAAACGACAAACCGTGATCCAACTGATGTCCAGGCTGGTGCAAAGCGCTGTGCAGAAATGGGTACTTTTGGGACAAGGTGGTGGTTGATTAGAAGAAGAAACTAACAAAGGGAAAACCCCCAAGAACCCAGGTTAAATACCCCGCAGTGCTAACCGCACATTGCACCTTTCCACAGTATTTACCTCCTCTCCTCCCAGGCCGACACCGCGCGGCCGCCACAAAACATCATTGCCATCATTATCGTTACCATTATCATCATCGTTATCATCGTCAAAAGCATTCCTTCTCCGATATCCCTAGCTCGTCCAAATCACTCCCAATAACACCAAGTTTCACTCCGACGACCTTCCAACCCGTAGTTTCATCGACCCAATAAACCCTTCGTCAACTCATGTGAACCCCGGCGGATATTGCCCCCAACTCTCTGGGCTCTGGCCTAACAACGGCAGCCACTACTCCTCCGTTTGGCCGGATCTCGGACGTGTACTTGTGTTGTAGTATTCGGATGTAGATTCGAGGTAGCGGCGTTGATCATGCTTCACCAGAGATAGCCTCTGCACTTTGCAGTTCCACAGAGACATTTGGTCATCTCCGAGATCTTTGATGGGTCATGCGCATCGCTCTCTAACCCCGTTAGCCCGTTAACATAGTCAAAGGTTAATTCAGTCTCCTTGGGAATATCCTTAATAGCGAAAAGGGCAAGGTCGTGAATGTGTTTGTCGGCGTGGTCGCCTACCCGGGCAAAAATGGCCATGTTGGGATCGCAGCTGTGATTGATGAACCTAGTCGGTCCACTCATATACTCGCCGTCGACCTCCAACGGCTGCCCGGCCAACAACGGATCTAGTGAATCCGGATCGGAGAACTTGTCGAGGGCGAACAGGTAAACATCCTTCCGCCTGGCAATAGTTGACTCTGCTCGTCGCCGGTCGGCCTCCCCGCTAGTAATAATTTCACCCAAGTAACGGTCGACGAACTGTCCCCTCTTGATATTGACGGGACACTTAACGCCCCAGCCCCTGTCTGTGGTCCTAAAGATCTGTAAGGGCACTGTCCGGCCACGTTCTACCACTCGATTTGGGCAATCCCTGGAGCAGGCGCAACCGTCATGGCACTCGTAGATGGGCTCTTGGGACTGCAAGACTCTATCTCGCAATAGTCCCTTTTTGGCGCCTTGGGAGTAGTAGGCAAATCGCTTCTTCCGGGTATAGGGATCGGCTTCCTCGTCGCTATCTGGCGCCATCTCGTCGAGACACTGACATGTCGAGTACATGCACTCCTCGTCGCTGGCGCAGGAACAGCCTACCCGGAAAGACTGGTCGGCGACAGGGACGTTCTTGCCTATTACAGAGTGGTCGATGAACCGGAAGTTGGGGTTGAGGAACTCGTCGCCTTCCTTGTTGACAATGGAGATGGGGAGCTTTTCGTGGGTTGCGAAGGATCGGATCTGGCACCAGTGGCAATTCCTTTTCTCTTGAGGGTCGGCCTGGTCAATCAAAAACACGTCCGTCAGTACACATTCATCGAGCTGTTCATTACAGGTTCCAATTCAGGAGCAGGGGGGCACTTACATCTGGCTTCCCATGTTTGAAAAAGTGAGGACGGAAAGCTTTCTCCATCTTGGTCAGGTCGATCTGAGGTTGTTTCGAAGTTCAAGTCAAAGTCGCCGCTCTGGGAGGATTTTGGAATTCTGGTCGCGGTCCTGGGAGCTAGCAGTACGCGTCTTGAGAATGGTGGAAAGTGTTGGGAACGCGAATTCCCGTGAAGACGAGATGCTTGGAGGCAGGGGTCAAGCTTCGGGGGACTAAACCAGATTGGGGGAATTGATTGGTCGACTGGCTCAGGTTGCTAGGAAGAAGAGGAACAAGCCCAGGAAGGCCCACCTAAATACCCCAAGAACGAAAGTTTTTGTGGGGTGCAACTTTGAATGGAGTCAGGCGCAAGTCCCTGAACCCCACCTGCAAGGAAACCGGTGACAATCAGGTCAGGGCAACCTCCTTCCTTTCCAGTTTCAACAATCAGACGGAAGGGATGGATTGAGCAGTCACGGCCCTCTAGGTGAGGTGAACCTGGTGAAGTTCTCATCCGATCTTCTGCTACAGTACAAACAACCAACAATGTACAATCAAACGCTGCTCGAGTTCCACACTTTGACAACAGCCCCCGCCGCCACTCCAGCTGGACTCGACTGCAGCGCAAGCCGAACAACATTCAGCGCCTGGCTACCCAAGAAGACGGGCGCCTTGAGCCTCTGAGCCTCTTCAACAGCAGCGGAGAGCCCGCCCGCAACCTCCTTGAGACTGGTCTCGCTTTCGGCAGCACTCCAGCCCTCCCTCGCCTTGCCCTCCCGGAAAGCCTTGATGATGCTCGGGCCATACTTCTTCAACACCTGACTTCCTCCCGCCGCGTTGATACACAGGTCAAACACCTGGTCGAGGTCCAGCCCAACCTTCTCCGCGAAAGCCAAAGACTCGGCTGCTGAACAAAGCAATATGCCCTTCAACAATCCCATCACCAGCGCCAGCTTCTCCTCGTAACTCTCGGCAGTCCCTTGGACCGGTCCAGCCCTCCCCTTGCCTTCGGCATACAACCGTACCAGCCCGCTGTCGTCGTCCGCCCCGTATCCCCTTCCTATGGCAGAGAAGTACATCTGCTCGGCCACGCTCGTCATCAGCGTGGAGAACCCGCTCCTCCTGGCTTCGGCCGTGATGATGCTCGTATCCTTGACAATGATCACTGTCGCACTGGCAATGGGCTGATAGTTCGTCACCATCCTCGGCACCCGGTGTTCAAACATCCAGCTCCACGCATCCGAGTTCACCACAGCCTGATACGTCTTTATCGGGTCCAGCCCCAGATGAGTCGCAAATCCCATGGCCTCGCTCGCCGCGAGAATCTGCACCGCCGCGAGCACCTGGTGCACCATCTTCATGTTGCTACCAGCGCCGATGCCGCCCTGGACGATGTACAGCTTGGCCGGGTCCGCCAGCTCTCCCAGGAGCGGCTTGGACTTGGTGAGTGCCTCTTCGGAGGGCACGCCCGCCATGATGGAGAGGGTACCGTCGGCGGCGCGGGCGGCACCGCCGGAAACGGGGCAGTCGATCAGATGGATGTCCGGACGGCCAATGGCGGAGAGCTGCTTGGCCAGAGATTGAACATAGTCACAAGGGACGGTGGAGCAGAGGAGGAGGGCCGCTCCTTGGGGAAGAGCCGGAGCGGCGGCGTCTGGCCCGTCGATAAGCACAGATTGGGCTTGTTGCGCGGTGGCGACCATGCAGACGCAGAGCGGCTTGTCGCCCACGGCCGAGGCAGGCGTAGTGGCCGTGAGACCGCCGGCGGATGTGAACTTTTCTAGGGTTGGCGGCCAGACGTCGAAGCCCGTTACCGGGTAACCTTGCTTGATGAGATGAGTGGCCATGCCGAACCCCATGGCCCCGAGGCCGATGAAGGCCACAGGCTGCTTTGTGTCCGACATGATGTTCTGGGTTTGACTCGATAGATGGGCAGACTCCTAGTAAGCGAGCAGTGATGAGTGAGTGTTGGGTTGCTCCGAGGTAGGGAAGGGACACTGCGTAAGGTTCTGTCTTGGTCAATGTCTCTCATGAAGGTGAGTATGGTAAGCTCCTCCTCTAAGCAACTATCACTCTTCTGCGGAGTTTCGATTCCCCATACTTGAGGGAAAGCCGACCTTCCCCCGCAACAAGAACGTCATTTGATATTTTTGCACTGAAGCCGAACAGGCCGTTTCCGGATGAACAGCAACATGGCATGATCCACCGGTCTTACACCGAGGCCTGTCTATAAGCCGCTCCTCCTCGCCCCCGCCCCCGCCTAAATGTCAAAGGTTTAAGCCACGAGGTGATCTTCAACCAGATGACTTTCCCCTTTCTCGATGGCGTTGACAGGAAGCCAATTAGCCCCTGGGGTAGTTTCCCCTCAGGGAAAGTGTCCCGCAAGGTAGGTACTGCGTCATCATTAGGCTAAAAGAGATGCATAACATCCAAACTCAATCGGGGTCAAGTCGGGGTTTCGGCTTGGAAATTTGGGGTCAAGTTGGGGGTCATGTCATCAATGGACTAATTGCCCGCCTCGGTTTGCCCAATCCGGAACTTGTCGAAGACATCCTCCAACTTGGCAACACTCTGGAAGGATAAACTATTCCCGGATCTCGGCTGCTGGCTAATCACGGCTCTCTGTGATTGCTGCTCATTTTTGTAATCGATCTTGTGAGGAGAGAAGAGGCAACTTTTGTCAGTGACAGAAGCACCTTCCATCCGCCTCCGCATGACCAGACAGACCACAACAACTTGTTGTCTGTTCCATCAGCCCATCTTAGTTCTTGCTCTCACTTGGCTCCTTTTCTTTCCTTCGTTGCGAACACCATACCAAAGTCAACACCAAGAAAAATAACAGCAACCATGGGCCGCCCACCCCTCTCCGAGAACCGGACCATGTCCATTCTCAACAAAGCCAAAGCCGGCGGCTACGCCGTACCGGGCATGTGCTGCTACAACATCGAATCCATCATCGCGACCGTCAAGGCCGCCGAGGCCGCCAAATCCCCAGCCATGGTCCTCCTCTTCCCCTGGGCCATCCAGTACGCGGGCGACTCGCTCGTCAAAGCCGCGGCCGACGCCGCCCACAGCGCCAGCGTGCCCGTATCCCTACACCTGGACCACGCGCAGACGCCCGAGCTGGTGCGCCGCGCCGCCGACATCCCCGACGGCTTCGACAGCATCATGTGCGACATGAGCCACTACGAGAAGGAGGAGAACCTCAAGCTCACGGCCGAGCTGGTGCAGTACTGCCACGAGCGCGGCATCGCTGCTGAAGCGGAGCCCGGGCGCATCGAGGGCGGCGAGGACGGCGTGGCGGAGACGGCGGACTTGGAAGGGCTTCTGACTACCCCCGACGAGGCCGAGGAGTTTGTCAACACGGGTATTGACATGTTGGCCCCCGCGTTTGGAAACGTGCATGGAGAGTATGGACCCAGGGGCATCCAGCTCGAGTATGATCGTCTGCAGGCCATCAACGAGCGCGTGGGTGAGAGGGTCAGGATCGTGTTGCATGGTGCGGACCCCTTTGATGAGGAGATCTTCAGGAAGTGCATGGCTGGCGGTGTGACCAAGGTCAATATCAACAAGGGGATGAACAACCACTACGCGAGGGTCCAGAAGGAGATGGGGGGGAAGCCGTTGACGAGCGTGATTGAGGCCGGGACCAAGGCGATGCAGGAGGCTATTGAGCAGTATATGCATTGGTTGGGAAGTGCTGGAAAGGCTTGAGGGTGTTTGTAGATACTTCACGATACAAAAACCACGAGACTGTCTAATAGGCTTCGAGTCGACGTTACGAGTTTCATCAGAGGCAGTAACATCTACATCGTCCCCCCTAACCTCTTGCCAGTGAAAGAGGGTTAGGGTTCTACCGGCGCTTCCAACCCTTGAATAGCTTCAACCTCTTCACTCCAGCTCTCAGCCGATTCACACTCGCCCACACATGTTTTTGTCCGATCAGTCTGCCGCAAACCGAGATTCATATACCACTTAACATAGGTCCAACAAGCCAGTCCGATTAGATCGATAACGATATAGATGAAAAAGGGCACCAATGTAGTAAACGACCTAACGCACAAGACCGGCTCGTTTGTTATTTTCTTTTTTGTTCATCCTATCGTTCAAACCTCTATGTCACTACGCAATTTACATTCATTCATGAACATTCATGAATCATTAACCTAATCAGGCTAATACAAGTCCTTGATGCTGGCAATTAACGATGACCACCACGAGACACTCGTTTCATATATTCGTCCTGTGCATTCAAAACTTTGAATTATCCCCCTCTCTGTTCCAAGCTTTAGTTCTTACTTCCCTCCTTGAATTCAACCTCGGCTACCTCACAAATCGTTTTCCAAAACTGTCCCTCCTCATGCGCAAACCTGCCCAAGAACAACCCATCCACCCCATCCTCATCCTCTTTCAGTTGTCCAAACAACCCCGGCCCAGCACTCCCTCCATACATAATCCTCATCTCCCCACCCTTCTCCTTCCTCTCTCTCACAACTTGACCCTGCCGCATAGCCCTCACCACCCCCCTCACATGTTCCACTCCCGCTGGTTCTTTTGCCCCAATCGCCCAAACAGGTTCATATGCTAACCAAACTTCTTTTGTGGGGTCAACTCCCTCCAAGCACTTCTCTACCTGCCTCACCACTTCTTCCTGTGCTTCTTCTATCTTGCCCGCCGTGCCACCGGGTTCACCCTCTCCGACGCAGATGAGGGGAATCATCCCGTTTCGTACCACCGCTTGAGCTTTCTTGCTTGTGATCTCATCCGTCTCCCCGAAATACCGACGGCGCTCGGCGTGACCGATTTCGACTATGCTGCACCCGATCTCAGAGAGGACGCAGGGGGGATATCTCCCCTGTAAAAGGACCGGAATCTTCCCAGTGACAGTCTTGCGCGCCGAATAGGATCGGAATTTTTGGAGCGGTTGCTGCTGTTGCTGCTGCTGCTCGGGAAACCTGACCTGGGTGGTTGGCGGCGAGGTTGATGGCGGACTGCAAAGACAGGTGGTCTGGGATGATGAAGATGTCGATTTTAGAGGCGAGGGCGGTGCCTAGGCCGTTGTTGGATTCGCCTGCTTTTGGGAGGTGTTTTGGTGCAAAAGGTCCAGAAAGGAGGTGAAAAATTGTGTGGTGCGGGCGTGGGAGAAGTACATTTTTGTTGAGACGCCTACCAGACGTCGTCGGCGCTGGCGGGGAAGTTGTGAGGAGGACATCGTTGCTGGTTTTTGCTTGAATTCTCCTGGACAGGTGTGTAGTACTGAGGCTTATGATGGTCTTTGGTGGTGTGGAGGTTTGGCGATGGGATTTGGGTATGTTTAGAGAGGGTTAAGTTGTGATGAGCTCGAAGCTGACTGAGATGCCTTGCAATTCGTTCTCATGATTCTTTCAGTCCAGAAATTGTGCTTGAATTACTGCTTGCTCCTTTCTTGACAACAGACTTGGTCTGGTTCGGTCACGATACTGTTCCGACAATGACTGGCAAGAGACATTGACTGTGGTCTTGGCGGAAGTTGGTGATGATCCGAAAGTAAGGAAAACTGGAAGCAAACCGGATCGTTACCCCGCGAATAAGCGCACCCGTTAATCTTCACCAAATCGGTTAAATGAATGCATCACCACACTTCTTCGTCTCGTCATTTGTTGACGTCTTTCAAAAGTGGTTTGCATCGTCCTAACCGAGCGGATAACCCTTTCTGGTCAAGTCTGCTTTTACAAGAATCCGGGGGATCTACATATAACAACCCCCACAATCCACAACAAAACAAACAAAATGTCATTCTGTCATGTGTCAAGCTCGGGGTAGCTTTGCTTGGAGATGTCAAGATGTTCTTGGCGTTTGTTCTAGCGCCACCTCCAAGCTTCGGGGGAATGACACCCCGAGCCCACGGTCACTTCTTGGTCATCTTTTGGTTTGGGGGTCGGGTTACGATATCCGGGGAAGAGAAGACATCCACGACGAGATTGGAAAAAACTGTCTGGTCAAGGGTTTTCCCCACGATCAAGGAGGTCTGGACTCCTGGAGTTGTGGGGGAGATGGAGAAGGGGATCGACATTGCATTCAAACAAGGGACAGAGGACGAGGGCAAGATTGGAAACAACAAGACTTCAACTTTGATCTTCGTGTAAGTTGAAACCAACAGGCCATTCCGCCGTTTATTTTTGTCAAGCAAACCGCAAAATGCCCGTAATCAAATGCTGACCTACCCAACCCCATCATAACTTCCAAACAAAGCATCGCAAACAAAAACGCAAGAGCTTATGTAGTTTGCTACTAACACCCCTTGACCTCCTCTGTTTCCCGACCATTATCGTCGCCTCCCACACCGGTCCCCTCCTCCCCCTCATAGTGATGAATAACCTTCACCTTCTCCGCACTAGCACTGCTCTTATCAAACACATAGCCTAACCACTCCTTTGCCAACCGCCTCGCCAACTCCAGTCCCACTACCCGTTCACCCATGCATAGCACCTGGGCGTTATTGCTCAACACGGCTCTCTCCACGGAAAAACTATCGTGGGCCGTCACCGCCCGGATGCCCTTGATCTTGTTGGCCGCGATGGCTACGCCTAGCCCGGTGCCACAGATGAGCAGAGCACGATCGCATTCGCCCGAGGCAACCAGCTTGGCGGCTGCGGCGGCGATGTGTGGGTAGGCGGTTGTTTTGTCTTCGGAATCGTGGGAGACGCCGACGTCGACAACGGAACCGACGCGAGGGTCGGAGGAGAAGTCAGATTTGATTTTGTCTTTGTAGTTGATGCCGGCATCCTGTTGGTTTGGGGAGGGAGTGTTAGTGATGTCCCCTTTGAGACTCCCGTAGAGGTTTGACAGCGAGAGAGAGGTTCGAAGAGGGAAGACCTACATCGCAGCCGACGGCGATGCGCCAGCGAGGTTGTTGTATTTCTGAAGACATTTTCGCTGTTGATATCACTATAAATTTGATAATGACCGTAACCGACAAAACTACTGAAAGGCGTCCTCTTTGTTCTTAATAACCTTGCACACGCATCTGTAATGGGTGTTCGCAAGGCTGGCATAGCAATATCATGACTAATGACCGGAAATAGTTCGTCGAGTGAAGCCAAGCTATTAGACGAGGGGGGCTCGGATTTAGCCAGGACGTGATGCCGTTCTGGGTAAACCGGAAGAATTGGGGGTCACTCCCGGGCCAACATTGCCACCACCACTTCCAGAGCGCTGCTTGATTGCCCCTCTTTGGCACATGTCTGTATCTATGAGGAAGCCAATTCCGCACGGCAATTGATCAGCCTGGACCGGGAATGATGCAAACAGTATGGTGGGTGAGGAGGGGGGAAGTATCACACGAGTGTTCCAGGCTCATACCGGACGATATGACCCATGCTGGGTCAGAGAACTTGTAAGTGACCAATATTTGTGGGAACTTTTCAATCCTACAAGTGACCTCATCTTCATAAGCACCTATTCTTCTTTGTGTCTTCTCTACGTCCTCTTGCTTGTGCTTCACCAACATTTCCACATCATGTCCACGCGCCACCTATTTCCATCACTGGACGGGCTTGTCCCCAAGGCTCTCCGCGGCATCGTTGCTTCCAACCCTCGACTCAACCTAGACGAAGCCAACAAAGTGGTATACGACTCCGAAGCACCTCGGTCCAATGTCAGCATTGTCAGTGGCGGAGGATCTGGCCACGAACCTGCTTGGGCAGGTTACGTTGGCACCAACTTTCTCGCGGCAGCCGTAATGGGAGATGTCTTTGCTTCACCAAGCACCAAGCAGATTCTGGCCGCGGTCGAGTCTGTGCCATCCGACAAGGGCACTCTCCTTGTAATTACGAACTACACAGGAGACTGCCTTCATTTTGGACTCGCGGCGGAGAAGACCAAAGCCAAGGGCAACCCGTGTAAGATGCTCATCTGCGGCGATGATGTGTCGATCGGGAAGAAGGGAGGCTCTCTGGTTGGAAGACGAGGCCTTGCCGGGCAAATCGGTGTGCTCAAGGTTCTCGGCGCGGCAGCTGCTCAGGGGGCGACTCTGGATGAGCTTTACGATTTCGGTTCTGAATTTGCCAACTCGATTGTCAGCATTTCTGCCACTCTCGACCATTGCCACGTCCCGGGGAGGACCGAACACGGAGCCCTAGCAGAGGGCGAGCTTGAGCTGGGAACTGGACCACACAACGAGCCAGGCTACTGGAAGCTATCACCAGCCCCTTCTGCCGAGGGACTCGTTCAGAAAATCCTCAAGTACTGCCTGGACGAGACAGACCCTGAAAGAGGTTACGTCAAGTTCAACCCCGGTGACGAGACCGTCCTTTTGGTCAGCAACTTTGGCGGCATGTCGAATCTTGAGCTCGGCGGGCTCGTAGACGAGATTCTCCAACAATTGCTGAAAGACTGGAACATCGAGCCAACTCGAGTGTACTCGGGATGTCTAGAGACGTCACTCAACGCTCCGGCGTTCTCTGTTTCTATCATCAACATCACTGCTGCCGCGGCTAACAGCGCCTACACCGTCGATCAGATCAAGGGCTTCTTCGATGTCCAAACAGACACCGCATGGGAAGCTGTTGCCGGATACCAAAGCTACCCGCAGCGACGCAAGCGGGCCGAGCAGGTTGTCTCACCCCCAAAGGAGATCAGGAGGGCAGTCGACGACTCCACAGACCTGAAGATTGACCCAGCGTTGTTAGAAAGCATGATCAAGAGCGCCTGCAACGCAGTTTCAGCGGCAGAGCCTGATCTTACAAAATGGGACACGGTCATGGGCGACGGCGACTGCGGTCTGACTCTCCAAACCGGAACCAACGCTCTGCTAGATGCTCTCAAGACAAAGCAGGTTGCCGCCAAGGGCTCGGTGGTTGAGGTCCTGAACGAGTTGGAAGATATCGTCGAGGGCAAGATGGGTGGGACACTGGGCGGTATTCTCGGTATCTTCTTCGTGTCGCTTCGGACGGCGCTTCAGGAGAATATCGGACTCGCGAAGGAACAGGGCGTGCCTGCGTTGTGGGGGAAGGCTTTGTCAACTGCCATCAGCCATTTGCGTCAGTATACTCCGGCCAAGGTTGGTGATCGTACGGTGATGGACACACTCATTCCCTTCGCCATGGCCATGGAAGAAGGACAAAGCTTTGAGCAGAGCGTCGCTGCGGCTGTCAAGGGATCTGAAGGAACCAAGAAATTGAAGCCAAAACTGGGCAGGGCTACTTACGTTGGTGTTGGTGCCGATGACAACAAGGAGCTTCCTCCCGATCCGGGTGCATGGGGAGCCATGGTCGGACTCCAGGGTCTCTTGTCGGCTCTTTGATTTTGCGATGAAACGGACTCGAGTTGTTTTTCAGAAATGGGATCGGATCGCGAGGCCCGGCCGTGCCTGTCTTGAAGTTGTTGGTTGAACGAAGGGAAAGGGCAACCCGGTTGTTCCTGCCACAATTTTCCCATACCTGTACATCATTTTCCAGCGTGATTTTTAGAGTAGCCCAAACAGCAGGGACAAACCACGGTGCATACCATGACAAAAGTACGAGCACAATTTCAAACTTGTGCCCTCCCACGAAATGAGGCAGGAAAGACTGACAGAAGACCGCCATGTACCCACCCTTATTCAACAAGATGAGCGTAAAGGGTCTGGAAACAGGTAAAGAAACTGAACAAAGGAAAATAGAAAGTATAACAAAGGAATGAATGTCATCAAAATTCTAAACCCAAAGAGCCATCATTCTGTGTGTCTATCCCTACCCCAAGAGTAAGTCTAAACTCCCAGCAACACCCCCAAGAAAAACGATTTTGAAGAAAAGGGACCGCATGTATTCTCTTCTACACTCACTCCTCCACACCCTCATCAAATGCACTTACGCACTTTTATCCCCACTTGATAACCACATCACTTCGTTCACTTTCACCTTGCCTTCACTTCGCAACCGTCCAAAGCATCATCTGCTGCTTACTACAGCCCTCCTCAAACGTATCCAAATCCGTCGTCGACCCGTTTGATCTCGAGTCGCAGGTAATCGTCACCATCGCTATCTTAGTCACATGCACACCACCACGAGGTCCACTTTTACTACCACTGCCACTACCTCTACCATGGAGCTGCTTCGGTTACTGGGGATGAAGAGGCGGCACCAGTCGAGAAGGATGGCGGTTTTGCTAAATGAGAGAATGAAGGAGTATGCGTGGCCGTAGACGGGGATGAGCTGTGTAGAGGACGAATTGTTAGTTGGTGTAAGATGGGCATAGGGACGCTCAAATCAAGTTTATGGTATATGGACCAAAAGACACTCACCTAAAGTGGCCAACCTGAATCGCCGTTACGTAAATCCCAAGTGTGAACATAATAACCTGGTGTTTTAATCATCTCGTATGCTGGCCGAACTGTTCCGCAATATGATCCCTGATGCATAAGGTGGTCAGTGGATGTCTTCGAGGGTGACTGGGAGAAGAATGATACCCACATATGCACTCATGATCAAATCTTCTGTCCGCACTCTCTTTTCTATCCATACTCTGGCGTATAGTCGAATGAATAGAAACAACGTTGAGACGACTAGGCAAAATGTCGTTATGAAGTAAGCGAGTCCGTTTCGATTTAGTGGATCGTCACAATTTGCGTTTATGCTGGCGGAGGCTCCTGCGCGGGAAGACTCAAAATAGTGAATCGATTTGATCTTGCGATACCGACACGTTGGCGGTTTCGTAATCGTAGTAAAAGACGCTATGTACTAATGTTGAACCTTGGTGTAAACAACCGGGTACTGTTGCCGGACGGGAGGACTGAGAACAAGGACAAGGCACCCGGCCACTGAGTAAAACCAGAGAATAAAAGTTTGTATATCAACGACGAGGGTCAAGAGGAGCATCAATGGCCCCCTTGAATAACGCACGGGGGGGCGGAACCTGGTATAGTATACCGGGGTCTCAAATTTTTCCACTACATCACGAAGCAAAAAGAAATATTTTCAGCTGACCATGACGGCGCAGCTCAGGTCAAGATGAACAGGATCAACGGGGACACTAGCTCTGATTTCCGGTTTCAAGTCCAATTAGAACGTTGCCGACAGTCTTGTAGACTATGAATCGTATCCCTGACCGAGTGTAACGTCTGCTCTCTTCTCTTTTTATTTTTGGCAGGGACAAAATGCGCGAGGAAGACCCCAAGTGTCGTCAACCAATTCAGCACGGTGCCATCCTCTTCCTCGTCTTTGGTTACTGCCACCTCGCTGATAGGAAGCGCCGACGAACTGCGACTAGCATGGCGGGGCTGGATCCATCCTGTCCTAAGTTTCAGACTTGTGCTCTATATCTGCGAGGAAGGATGCAAAGCTATCGACGAATGAAGAAAGGTCGAGGTAGGACAAGTATTTGGATCGATATTGAGAGAATCCTATCCAGGGACATGTTTCCCCAGGTCAAGCCAATAGGACAACCATGATCCCAGTTGTATGGAGAACGGTTGTTAACGGGAGCGCTAGGGAAGGCCCAGAGTGGGTGAAGACTCGCATGGCCGATGGCTGTCTAGAATCCCATCCTCGTGCTCTCCTCCTTGCCACGTTGAACGGTGGAGATATATGAACAGGGGTAATAAATGTTAGTGCCTCCAGCGGTAGAGTCTGTTGGTGCCTAGGTATGAAGCGGTATCTTCTTAGTTGTACCATCGGGTTCGGAGACCAATTGTTGTCAACCTTCAGACCTCCTGACTGTCGTGTTCTGAGCCAAGGTCACACAGTCTGGAAGTACACTGCTACCCCGCGTTCGGAGGCCAATTGTTGTCAACCTTCTGACCTCCTGACTGTCATGTTCATGCGGAATGGCGAAATGCTTGCGGTTCAATAGTCGTGGATTCGCCGCATTTCCGTAACGGTCTCGATTGATTCCGAGAATATCGATACTCTCTATGAGCTACGATATTTCTCAACCCCGTAGCCACGTATAAGACCCCTGTGAACAGAGACTTATCTCCTTCCCCTTGCCACAAGAAGCGGAACCTGACGGAGGACTGGCATTCTCAATCCCGATTCTCAAGGATCACAAATTGTCGCCTTTTCCTTCGACTCCGTATATGCCTCTCAAAGAAAGAACCGGAAGACAGAGTGAGGCTGCTCATCATTACACGGAACTCCAGACTCATCAGGACATAACGGATACGCAAGAAGGTGTGAAGAAATCATGGCTACCAGTAAGGTTCCCCAAAGTCTCCTACAGCGTCGAGGCTCAGGCAGGTGTGATACACGGTCAAATCACCATCCTGTAGATCGACTGAATGCCATCATTCCAGTATCGACTAACAGCCAAACAGCTGTGAACAAACTTGCGCCCCACGACCATGAGTACTTACCGCAGGTTGACCTGCGTGAGATGTTTGAAAAGCAGCCCCTACCCATCATCGCTCCGGGGACAGTAGACTCTGCGTCCATGGTTGGTGATGAGGCTACCGAGAAGGCTCTTGCTGTGGTCGACGCCTTGAATGCAGCTCTAGTAGCCGAAGATGCCAAGTCTCTGGAAAGCCTGTTCTTCCCTGGGGTGGTATACTGGAAGGACACGTTGGCTTTGACATACCATTTGCGTACTTTCAGCGGAGCTGCTGTAGTTGCTGCAAGCATTTTGGAGACCAGAAAACTCAGGGGAATTGAGCGTGGCATCCAACTCGAAGGGCCAGCGCAGTTCGTTCCAGCCAGTCCAGTATTGGTAAGTCACTTACGAGGGTGCCATGTGAAGAAGACCGAACATGAAAGAAAAAGGCGGAACTAACAACTTGCTCTTGCGGGGTTGATGTAGCAATTCATCGACTGCAGCATATCATTCAAGACATGTTCGCCAGCGGCATCCTGCAGTGGAAGGGTCCTATTCTTGCCCGTGAAGAAGGACAACGGCTCACTAGATTGGAAGGTTTGGATCCTGAGCACCCGACTGGAAGGCCTAGATCTGCAGCCAGAGGATGAGACGCTGCTCAAGGTTCCAGGAAAGCAGCTAGAAGGTGTTGAATGTTTTGAGACTGACGTCTTTATCATCGGAGGCGGAAACGCGTAAGTGTGAGCCGTCGTTGAAGAGATGCGGTAATTTTGGCTAACCTCCATCTCAATAAAGCGCTGTTACCCTTTCAGCCCGGCTCAAGGCTTTGGGTGTTGAAAGCGTCATGGCCGAGAAAAACGCTCGACCGGGCGACAACTGGGCCAACCGATATGATTGCTTGAAGTTCCACGTCCCCACCACACTCTGTCAAATGCCTTTTATGGGTAAGTGATGAGCGATGGCGATGACTCGGTATATGAAAGCCAACCACTGACCTCTTTTGATGACAGACTATGGCAAAGAGCTTACTGGCAAGCACATGCTCACGCGTAATGATCTCGCCAGCCAAGTTCGGAAGTATGTGGAGGCCTTCAAACTCAACATAATCACATCGGCAAAGATCAAATCGACCGTCTACGACGGGTCAACTGAGAAATGGATTGTCAAGTTCCAGACTCCGGATGGCCAGCGGACTACCATTGCCAAGCACGTTGTCCAAGCTACTGGAATTGCGTCCCACAAGCCATACATTCCCCCAATGGCTGATTCCCAGTCGTACAAGGGCGTGAACATTCACTCTGAGTTTTTCGAAAGCGGGAATGAGCTGAAAGCCAGGGGCGTCCAGGTAAGTCCATACATGGTCTCCATCTCATCTGTCGTATCCAAGCATATTAACGAACGCCAGTCGGTGATCATTGTGGGCTCCGCCAACACAGCCTTTGATGTTCTCGAAGACTGCCACGCTGCTGGTCTCCAAGCCACTATGGTTGTCCGGTCGCCCACTTACATTATTCCCCTCGAATATGTGTGTCACCCGCGCAGTCTCGGATTGTACGACTTTGATGTGGCGATGGCGGACCGTATGATCCTCACTCTGCCGAACTTTGTAGACGGGCAACTATCGCGTGAGCTGTTCCGCATGTTCGCTTCTGAAGAGCCAGACCGGTACAAGCCCCTCGCGGCGGCGGGTTTTCCGGTCATGGACAGCACACACCCCAGGTCGGCGTTGATGCACAACCTGATTGAGCGAGCGGGTGGGCACTATGTGGATGTGGGCGGCACCGACTTGATCGTTCAGGGCAAGGTCGGTCTGAAGGCACTTATTGAGCCAGTTGGATTTACAGAGACTGGCCTCCGGTTCTCGGACGGCAGCGTAGTCGACGCGGATGCCGTAGTGTGGTGCACCGGCTTCGCAGACAGAGATGTCCGGGAGGTGACGGCAGAGATTCTCGGGGGAGAGGAGGCTGAGGCCGAGGTCAAGGGTGAGAACATGCTCGGCCCCAAGGATATTGCTGCCAGGCTGGAGGGTACCTGGGGTCTCGACGCTGAGGGCGAGGTGCGCGGTCTGTGGAAGAGGCCCCTAGGACTGGAAAATTACTGGGTCATGGGCGGATATACACAGCAGCACAGGTGGTACTCGCCCATTCTTGCCCTTCAGATCAAGGCTGAGCTTGAGGGAGTGTTGCCGCCAGCGTACCGCAAGACTCCTACTTCTGTTGCCACGGGGAGCGGGCAGGCGCAAGGAGTCAAGGGTGTGACTGTGGTCCACAAGATGAGCGAGCTAGTGGAAACCGTCAATTAGATGTCCAGGGAAGCTGGTAGCGTGTTATCGAAGTGTCGGCGGATGTTGACTGTGGTGCTTCTTCAGAGTTAGTCATGTCCATGTGACAATAGCCCATACTTTGTAATATGCCATACTTCTTTCAACACATTCAATGACATCGCGCCTTTACGTTTTCTCTGGCATAGCCGGTCGAACAAGCTGCCCTGGTCGTGGAACTGCTGATTGAAGCCATTGTCGGTAGAAGCTGCGGGGAGCAAGAAGCCTAGGGGAGATTTCACGCCGGAAATTAGGTCTATGGCGAAGGTCAAAGAGGTCGCCCATGGTAGTACCTAGATGGAAAGAATGGTAAATCCTTTTGTGTGCGCATCAGGTGGAATGAGCCCATAAGGGTTTCCCGTCATCGTGACTTCCAGTTGTGCCCATCTCACAAGATTAGGAAGATGCCGAAGGGCATGAGTAGTTTCTTCTTTCAGTGCTTGTAAGTGACCTGCTTAATCTCATCAAAAAGTGCATGCAATGAAAAAGCAAGACTGAATGGCAAACGTCGCACAATGACCGCGGTGTGGTGAGCTCGTGGACGTGTTGAAGCTGCAACGTCAACTCATTCAACCGACGTTGAGATTTGCGCCAAGATGGTGTGCTACCAGGATCCCGTCAATTGAAAGCTTCATCCCTGACAGTTTCAGTTGCGCAAGAACCTCTGCGGCCACTGCAATGGAGGATAACCTGAACAACAACGACGACAACAACAATGATTGAGCCTGCCAAGGCAAAAAAGAAAGCATATGAGAGAAGGGATCCCACCAGTTTCATGAAGGTTCTACTTACCTATCTGAATGCGACAATGTGCCGCCAATTGATTACAGCCCTCTCCTCCTAAGTCCGGAGTGAGACACTGTTGATGGGCACGTCGTTGTTTGCAATCAGCCCAATCCGGCGAGAAGAACAAAACCGTTTTGGGTATAAGCCAGGATACCCTTCCAATGGCGGGCAAACAACGACAGCGATGACGATGATAAAAAAAAACAAAGTCAAAACAAAGGGCAGGGGGCCCATCCAAGAAGAGAATCTCCGGGGTAACGGGAACCTTCCTAACCCACACGCACGCTTCTTCCCAAGTCGTGACGTCAACTGCATCGTTTCTCCGAATCTCGAGCTGACTTTTGAAAGCAAACGCGCACCGCCGAATGCACGACGATGACGTTAGCCGACATGTTCAAGCAGATAAATACAAGGCGGGCGCGCACCTCTCAAGCCGACCTCACCTCAATGTCATGTTGTTTACTTCCCCCTCAAGACTTCAACTCACTCACCAGCACCACAAGTCCAAGTCATCACAGCAAAACAACTAAACCATCTAACAGACCAACCCAACGACCAACACCCAACCCTTAGTTAACCATGACTCGCAACGTCTGCATCACCGCCATCGATGGCCAGACCGGCTTCCTCATCGCCGAACTCCTTCTCAAGGAGGGCAAGTTCGCCAAGCAAATCGACAGCATCACCGGCCTCGCCCTCAACCCTGCCAACCCCAAGTGTCAGGAGCTCGAGTCTCTCGGAGCCAAGATTGTTCCCCACAAGCCCGGCCGCGAGCGCATGATGATCAAGACCCTCAAGGAGGTCGGCTGCGACACCATCTGCGTGATCCCCCCCGCCCACAAGGACAAGGTCGACATCACCATGGAGCTGTGCGAGGCCGCCAAGAAGGCCGGCGTCCAGAACGTGCTGCTCATCTCTGCTGCCGGCTGCGACTACGCCGAGCGTGAAAAGCAGCCCCGTCTGCGCGAGTTCATTGACATCGAGGCCATCGTCTTGAGCTCCAAGGGCGACCCGGACGTCGAGCTGGGCCACTCGCCTTGCGTCATCCGCGCTGGTTTCTACGCCGAGAATCTGCTGCTGTACACTCAGCAGGCCCAGCTGGAGGGTACCCTCCCTCTACCCATCGGCGAGAACCACAAGTTTGCGCCCGTTGCTCTCGGTGACATCGCCCACGTTGCTGCTCACGTCCTCGCTGGCAAGGGCAAACACGGCTTCGATGACCGCCACCGCGGCCAGATGATGGTCGTCACTGGTCCTATGCTTTGCGCTGGAAAGGAACTGGCTGAGGCGGCTAGCCAGGCTGTTGGCCAGAAGATGGAGTTTGAGAACATCTCCGAGTATGTCCCTTTCTCTGCTTGTACCTCCAGAAATATTGTGTGTTTTGATTGCTAACAACTTATCGAAAAAAACAGGCGCGAGGCCAAGCGTGTTCTCCAGGCCCAGGCCGATATCGACGACTCTGAGAAGGAGTACCTCCTCGAATACTACAGCTTGGTCCGCGAGGGCAAGACCAACTATGTCGCCACTACTGCCTTCCACGAGGTCACCGGCGAGCAGCCTACCCAGCCGGCCGACTTCTTCCGCATGTACAGCCATGAGCTGCGTCCCAAGAAGAAGGTCAAGACTGATGCTTAAACCCCAATTTCTCTTTTGATTGTTTCGGCACAATTTTGATTTCGGTTGTGTAATCGCTGGAGCATGGAGTTTGGGCGTCAGGCTTGTGAAGGGAACACAAAGGGAGTACTTCTGGATGGGAACGACAAAAATGGAACGGACTTCTTTGGTGGATATGTTGATCGGGATATAGCGGACTATTCGTTGTAGATATAAAACATATCTCTATATCTTGGGGTAGTCCAGTTAGCCCCCGAGCAGTCACCATAAACAAAAACCTGATTGATTCTACTCAGCGATGCACTCTTCCCCAGAACTGTGTTGACGATTTGTAGCAAACCTAACTGATTAGTCTCGTCCTGATCAGATCGCAATCTGATCAACAAAGCCGTGCCCATGGAAGAGAAACACAAAGCAGATGTAACTTTGGAAACCCTCCAAATTTGATCCCCTTAACAATCATGGCTGCCGCACTAGTCTAGGCCTTCCCCTGGGCCTACCGCTTGCTCTATAACTCTCCTTCCTCGGTCTTCCTCTCCCTTTCCCTCTGCCCCTCGTCGGTTGCATACCACCCCTCGTCGCCTTCATCGCCATATCCCTATCACCACTTGCTGGAGCCGATTCCAGCACCAACTCCTCCTCCCAACTGATCCTCTGCCATTCAGCAAAGTCCCTGTTTCCACGACCTGGGATCTCGATTACCAGGTCGGAGCTCATCATATTCCTCGCCCTCCTCTTTTCGTCCAAGGTGACATCCATGATTACCTCTCCATATTCATTCTCCTCTTCTTCCCCGGCAAGGTGGTTCGGGTTCAGGTTCATTTGGTTGGTGTTGGTTGGGCTCTACCTCTGCCAGTGTAGCGACGACGTCGAGTGACTCCGCTGGCTTTTCTCCAAGGCGGCTATGATGTCGTCTTCTAGCTCCAAAGAGAGGGGGCCGGTACCATCCCTCGGCTTGTTCTTCAAGTAAGCAACGATGTTGTTGAGATTGGGGAAAATACCGTTGTTGGTGGTATCTCTTATAGCCCCTCCGGTATGGTCAATGGCCATGGCAGTTGTTGATGTTGATGCTGCCGATGTTGATGTTGTTGCTGCATGTGCCCGTGCTTCTTCTTCTCTCGCGGATTCTGCTCCATTTGGCCCTGCTTCTGCCCCAGTTATTGCCCCCAGCCCATCCCTTAGCAACTGAAGCCTCTGTCTCTTTGCTCCTCTGGTAGTTACGGCGCTGGTCTCGGCGGTCGGCTCATCGGTATTCTCGCTGTCGCTGTCGCCATCATCGGTAGCTTCGAACTCGGTTTGCAGCGGATCTCCGAGGCTGTGGCGGGTGCCGCGGTGGAGGACTCGTCTCCTTTTCCATTGACTTTCTGCAGTGTTGGCGTTGTTGGGGTTTTGGCCGATATGGCTGGGGTCTTTGGCCAGAGTATTGTTGCTGTATGTGGAGGGATGGGAAGCTGAAGGGTTATAGTTGTACGTGGTCCGGGAGGTGTTGTGGAAATGGGACGTAACCCCAAGATTTGGATGGCCGCCCGAGTTGTTATGGTTGTGGGTGTATTCGAAGGGGCGGACGTACGGTCTGCCGTTCGGTGCGTTGCTTCCACCGCCAAAGCCATGAGCAGGACCAATACCAGTACCAGGCGGCATTCGACCAGGCGGCATTAGTACACCAGTACCAGCACCAGGAGGACCCATCGAAGACGAATGCAACGACCTCTCCGGCACCGGCTACGGCGAATTCGGCATACGGAACTTACTCATCAATTCCCTCTGCGTCCTCACGCCCTCATTTACTCCCGTCCCAAACCCCAACCTCGCCTTCTCCAATATCTGGTCGTCCACGTGGCTCCCTCTCCTATTTTGCTCCTGCAACCAAGCAAATATCTCCCCAGGCATCGGAGAGGGGACCGGCGTGCTCGGATTGGGGGACGGCCTCGGCCGGCGCAGAACGCTTTCAGCGTTACAAACAACGACTAACTTCGCCACGACGACTTCTATGTGATAATCTCCTCCCTCTTTCCAGTCACCAGCCCTCAATATCTCCGGGCTGACGGCGAAGTTGACCTTGAGCGAATCGGCGATGGCTCTGGCGTTCACGCTGGCGTCGTTGAGGCTGACGGAGTCTCGCTGGGAGGAGGTTGCGGCGTTGAAGGAGGCAAAGCTGATCGGCTTGATTTCCATCATTGAGGGCCGGAATTCGAATACTGCGGGGTCTTTGAAGATGATGGTGTAGTTGGCGAGTGAGAGGCGAAAGGTGTTGTCGAGGGAGATGGCGGCGGTGAGCAGGGCTTCGAGGGCACTGAGGAGGCTGGGGGACGGGTATGTGAGTGGTGGTGCCCCTGGTTGGGGGTAATGGTTCTGGTGGTTGTGATGTTGGTGGGGAGCTTGTTGTTGGTGATGGTCGTGGTTATTGTGTTGTGGTTGTTGGCTGTCGAATTTTGATCCGGATCCTGATGGGACTGCAACGGTCGGGCCGGTGATGGGCTCGAGGAGGGAGGCGATCCGGTAGGCAAGGGCCGCGATTTCATCGCGAGACTTGGGACGGAGTTGTTTGAGGAACACGAAGGACCGGGCTTTCCAGGAGTGAAGGGCGGCAACTCGGGATGCCCAATTAGCATCTTTGGGAAGGCTTGAGACGTGTGCTTCGGTTGTCTGCGGTTAACATTGTTCTTTAAAACCCCAGGAAACGGGGTGTTTGAGGAAATACGCTACCCATCTGTGGCTTTGTCGTAGGCTTCGCCAAAGTCCTGTCCCGTTTTCCCAGTCCATCCTTCAGCGTGGCTGCTGAAAACGTACTTCCAGAGTGTCTCCCAGAGCAGGCTCTGCAACGTCTGCACAGATCATCTGGATGCCTGGAAGGATGTTCTTCTTGTGGAGCTCTTTTGGGGTAGTAAATGGGATGGCCGGGAGGCAGTAAGTTTGAACAAACTGTCGTACCTGGATGGCTAGGTCCTTCCAACTGGCCTGAATCTCCGCGTCTGCTTTTCGGACTGGCTCAAACGGATCTCTGGACTTGAGTTCCGCCACCTCTTTTGAAAAGTTGACAATCGCTCCGTCGAGTTCGGCTTGAAGGTTGTTCCACCTTTCTTGAACTTTCTCCTTTTCGGCTTTCGTCCGGTTGATATGCAACTGATGTTGCAACTTCTCCTTATACAAGGTGGAAGATAAAGCCCCGAGGTTGCTCTTTAAATGTTTTTCTTTGACTGCGTGTTTCTCAGACAGTTGTCTTATCTTGTCTACGTACGCGTTTTCCTTGGCCTGGTATTCCGCGGCCGAATCTGCCCTCACTCTATTGATGTCAGGCGCGAGGTTGTTGCCCAAGCGCAGTTCTCGTAGGCGCGCGAGATATTGGTCTTCTTTTCGTTCCAATTGCTTGGTCAACTGCCCCAGGTGTTGTTGATACTGCCTTTCTTTCGCCTGAAGTAAAGCCTTCAACCTGCCAAACTCTGTGTCTAACTTCATCTTTTCATGCTTGTCATTCTGTACCTGCCAGCCACTGGATAAATCCTCGCCAACTGGCGTACAATCGTGTGATGAGGACACAGATTGGCTGGCACCGGGTGCGAGACGGTTGTTCAAGCGCAATTCTCGTAGCTGCGCCACATACTGGTCTTCCTTTTGCCCCAGCTGGTTGGTTAGTTGGCGAAGCTGCTCTTGGTACTGTCTCTCCCTCGCCTAAAGCGTATCGGCCGTTCTCGTCTCCTGGCCCCTCATGCCTTTCCCCTGTTGACCGGATGATGATCCATCTTGTGCCAGCGCAGTTTTGCTGGTTGAAGACCTCATCTGTTCTTTCAACTCCTCAACCTCATGAATCTTCTCCTCCAGCATGTTTTCTGCGTCGTGTCGATCCCGGGTCACCCCCTTGATCTGCTGTTGCAGTTTTGAAAGCTCATTGCGTAGTTCGAGGTTCTCACGCCGCAGGTGAGTTGATACCTCGGACTCGTCCGTGCCTGTCTCGGGCACTGGAGTTTTGCTCCTTGTACGTCCGTTTCCCTTCCACAGGGGCAATTGGACTTTCCTGGCTTGAGATTCATCGTTCTTGTCCTCCAAGTCGGAAGATAATTGGTGGTATCAGACTCCTGTCAAATTGTGAGCTTCCTTGTCATGACTTGGGTGCAAATTGGTGGCATACGGGAATGGGATAAATCTCACTGATTACTGATAGCTTGTTGGCGTCCTTGGAAATCTCTCGCTGAAGCGACTTTTCTTTGGCGGAAGAGAACGTTGACCCAGCAGTGCTGTGATGACAACGAAACGAGTACTCGAGGGAAAAGGATACTGGATGGGTTGCAAGAATTACGCAACGGACACAATGGTGAGTACAAGTTGATACTCTCCAAGCACAAGGCGCGAAGCAGGATTGTGGAGTGGGGAGGGGAAATTGTTCAAGCCGTTCTTGATGACTAGCCTATCGTGTATCAGGTATTGATGGCGCAAATTTACTCAGATTTTCGAAGTAGCCTGATTGGGCGGGCAAGCAAGTGAGATCCTCAGAAATCAGCTGGGTAGTGGCACAGGAGAATGTCGAAAGAAGACCCCAGGGCCAGCCGTTGAAATAAAAAATTGACTGACAGATTTCAATAGGACTGGAAGATCAGAAGGACCAGACTCCACCATCCAGTCGCAGAAGGTCTGGACTTGACTGACTGCAGTCTCATATTCTTATCTTTTGACGCGGAGTATCCCCCCTTTCGGAAAGGTATCTGGACATATCGGTACGTCCTACCTTGATAACCCAGATCACTGATAGGATTCGTATACTTCTAGACGTACTCGATTAAAGCACTACGCTAAGTATTTCCTAAGTATAGGCAGATGAAGCCGACTACAACTAGAAGTGTCTGTTAGTCACAGGCAGGGTAAAGGTACCCCCACTTCGGAGAGATAGCTTTCAGATATGCCTGAGTACAGGGACGTTATTTTGTCACTCCTTACTTGACAAACGGGCAGTGACTAGCTTATTGAAGCCGCCGACAGCGACCTCGAAGCTTGGCTCAATCCGAAACAACCACACCACTACTTATTCTATCCTTGCTCAGTGAATGAATGGGACCACCCCCTCCATCATACCGTTGTTCTGTGTGCCTGAGAACGTCGACCTAAGACCGAATCCGTGAGATTCCCCACTCGAACTTCCCCCATTGATGGCAAGACTAGACTCAAATTCTTCTTCCTGTTTCTTCCTGACAACACATCCCTCATAAACGGCACATCCAGCTTCCGTCAACCTTTCTCAATACTTTTTCTCTCACCATATTTTTCCCGACGCGTTTTCCCACCGTGCATTGCTTGACGATTTCTCTCGCCATACCTCTTACGACAACTCTTCCTGTCCTCCATTCACGGCTAATGATAAAGGCAAATATCACCCTGCTGTTCTTCCTCTACTCTGCCACAAAGCCAGTCTACTTTCTGCCAGGCTGCCAGGTAAGCTGCTGCATCGTTGAAGCTGTCATAATCCTCCATGAATTTGTCATCACCCCGCCCTCACCTTATCCTTCCTACACCACCGGTCGGCCATCCTCAGGCACTCCCAACTCATGAGTCTTCCTTTGTCCGGCCATCAGATCTAGACACAGGCCTTGGGAAATTCGTCAGCGCAATCACCGAATAATTGACTAATAATCACCCCCGCTCCTTCTAGGTACCAAACTATCTCGGTTCGACAGAGTCCACGAAGATCTACTCGCTATAGCTACGCTGAGATCAAAATGCCTCCAACTCCGCGACGATCCCCCGCAAATTGGCCAGTTCTCAAGGAACTATCATTGCCGGGATTGACTTTGGAACGACCTTTTCCGGTGTCGTCTTCACCTGGTCCAACCAAATGGATCAAATCGAGATCATAACCAGCTGGGACGCTGACTCAAGTGACAACACTGACGAGTGCAAGACACCGACCGCTATCTCCTACGGTCAGGGAAATGAGGTGACCTGGGGTTATGCTATTGAGCCGGAGAAGGAACAGCTCAAATGGGTTAAGCTTCTGCTCCTCAAGGACGAGGATATTCCTGAAGAGATCAGGACTTCCGACAGGATCAAGAAGGCCCGTGAGTATCTCCAGAAACACAACAAGACGGCAGAAGAAGCAGTCACAACGTTTTTGCACCACCTTTGGCAACACGCCACGATTGTATTACCAAATCGATCAGCAGAGGCATGGTCAAGTATGCCCAATTTCACATCGTAATTACGCTTCCGGCCATTTGGCCGAGCTACGGACGCGAGAAAATGAGACTTGCGGCCGAGCATGCTGGTATGCTGGACAAAAAGATGGGGGTTGAGACACAGCTCACCTTCATCTCTGAGCCCGAGGCAGCTGCCATAGCCACCCTTGCGGACATAGAAGGACGGTTCGATGTGAAGGCAGGTCAAAGTCCCACAGACTTCTTCAACGAATGCTAATCCAACTTTTCTGAGCAGAACGGGGATACATTCATGGTGGTCGACTGCGGTGGCGGAACGGTTGATCTCATTTCTTACAAACTGATTCAGGCCAAACCCATCATCGTCAAGGAGTGCGTGAAAGGAAGTGGTAAGCATCCCCAATCCTCCGGTGCGTATTGAGCAACTGTTACAAGATACTGATGCAGTGACAGGTGGATTGTGCGACGCCGTGTTCCTTGACGAATCATTCACGGATGTCCTCAAGAGCAAATTTGACAAGAAGTGGGAGAGAACGGATGGGTCAAGTCGGCGCGACATGCTCCACACCCAGTGGGAGACTGGGATTAAGCGGAACTTCAAGAAGGGCTCCGGAAAATTCTACAACATTCGCATCCCATGGGAATGCATGTTGGTCAAAGATCGACGTGGGATGGAAACATCCCCTCCCACAGTCACGATTACCCCAGAAGACGTCAAGGGAGCGTTTGATCCGGTCATTGAGAAGATCAACAATCTTATTGATGGTCAAATCAACGCCGTCAAAGAGAAGGAGGGAGTCAGCCCAAAGGTAAGATGATGACAAGTAAAATCTCAATCTCCCATTATTGCCTTTACTGGCTCGTGGGATGATACAGTACGTCATCTTGGTCGGCGGGTTTGGCTGGTGCAACTATTTGTTCTATAGAGTGGAAGAGAGATTCGGCAAGGAGGTTGAGATCCTCCAGGCAAAGGGAGCAAAGCCGTAAGACTTCTTGCATGTGGCCTTTTTATCACTTCATACAGAATTGCTAACCAAATATGTACTCAAATTTGGACAGCTATCTGTCGCGGAGCCGTCATCCATGCCGCTACCCAATCCGGAATCGGGAAGCTCTCTGTTCAAGTCCAGTCCAGAGTTGCACGGGCTAGCTATGGCATTTGTTGGAATGAACCTTGGAACTCCCGGCGCCACAACGCTGAAGACAAGTATTTTTGCGACATTTAGCAGCAATACTATGCGCGTAACCAGATGGCATGGCTTCTCGAGGAGGTACGCACCATTCACAAAAATGCTCGATAGGTAATAACTATACTGACAGACAGCTTACCATAAACAGGGTGACAATATTTCGGCCCTGGAGCCCACGAGCCGCTCGATCAAACAAACCTTTGATCGCCATGGACCCATGAGGGCACCTGAAGATGAGGAAATATTGCAAACAAACGTCTTCCCCCCTCCGACCAGATGGGATCCCGAGGTCATCAAAGAGCTGTGCTCTATCAGATGGGAGACCATCATCGATCCTGACGCTTTGCCGAAGTTCACCAACCGGATCGGAAGAGTTGACGGTGAACTGCTCTACCGTTGTGAGATGACTTGCTCAGGTGAGTCAGTTGGCTTTGCCATCTACCGCGATGGCAAGAAGGAAGGCTCCAAGAGCGTTAAAGTCGATTACAACACTCGTTGATTATTTCTCAGACTCTCAGCTATATTTTTGCTCTAAGAAAATTGCCTCAAATTTTGCTACAACTTCTCTCAACATGGAATCCCGCATTCCAACCATTTATCGCACCTTTGCGTGCTAAACCTGGCACCACAAGGAGCCTATCTTCGGGTTACGAGCAAGCAAGGCTCATAGTTTCACAATGTACACTAGATCAATGATTAGCCCAACTGGCACTCGACCAGATAGACAGAACACAGAATGTACCCTTCGAAGTAACGAATCCGAGTGAGTTTTTGAAACCTCAAAAACCGAAGTAGCCACCGAGTTTCTGTCAACCGATCTGCCCCAAAGCTTCTGGCTCAAAAAGATGACTGACGGCTCGCAGGCAGACGATATCTTGATTAAGTAACCCATCACTCAGGAGATGTATACCCTTGCAGCACCGAAGATAATCAGTCAACGCCCGCGATAGATTTATTTACCACACATCTACTTTCCCGGGCCAGTCTGAATTTCTTCACGGGTCGAGGAGCGGTGCACAATCAGATGGCGTAAGGGTGGTCGACACACCCAAGCCTCGCTTTTCCCGTTCACGAACAATCTGAGAAAGGGTTTCTACACGACTTGTGCAGGAGGAGAGTCACAGCACTCTACTTCTCTTCCATTATTAGGGCAAGAAGGTGGGCGACAAGTATGTGACCCGGACTATCGGCTACGACACTTGGTCTGATGAGCTTGCTAATTGTGACAAGGGCAGTGTT